CGAAGATCCTGGCAGCGTTCCCTCTTTGAATAGCTAGACTAATTCTTTGTCCAAGGTAGCTGCCAGCTCTTCGGTCTTCTGTGATGTCGACTAACCTTTTCGTAATTTCTTTGAAGTTTTATAGCGCTAGGACCCCACGGACCAAGGGTCTCGACACCGAATGGGTCAAATTCATATTCGGAGCCTAGACCTCTGTATTTACATAATTTGGCTTTTTCAGCCGCTTCACATGCCGCCACATATCCTTATTTATATATTTACTTAAGCCGGGGCTAGGATCTCCTTGTAAGCATAATATTATACTAGTTGACCCGCGCAACTTCGCCTGCATTACACTTGCATGCCATTTATTATTATATTTCACCCAATTTACATAATACCTTTTAAAATTATAGCCTACTAGCTACTCGCCCCAGCTTCGCCCGGGTGTATTAGTAGTAGTATTATACATATAAACCTTCCTCTTGAATCATTCTATATATATTTAAAAAACCCGCTTCTAAATCCGTTGCGTAGTTTTAAAGATTTAAGCATACATAGGGACGGACAGACAGCGACAGCGACTTTGTTTTATACTATGTAATGATGATTATTATTATCATCTTGTTGTGGTGATACAGTTCTCCTAGGCTTTCATATTTTTTTATACCACTTAGGTGGCAAACAAGCATACGGCCCATCTGATGGTAAACGGTTACCGTAGCCTATGAACGCCTGAGACACCAGAGGTGTTACGTGCGCGTTGCCGACCCTTAAGAAACCTTAATATACCCTTGAAAACCCCATGTAGTCTCGTGAGGCAACCTCGGCAGATAGTTCATTCCACAATCAAACACAATCAGGAAAGCCGTTTACCATTCAAATTATATTAAAAAAACAGTCAAATTCTGGTCGTTAACTAGTTTTAATAAATAAAAAGCAGATGTAATTTATTATAATTTTAATAAATACAAAATACACTATATATTTACAATACATTTCATCAGATCCATGATTATTAATATTAATTTTTAAATATAAATAAATAATTCAATTATATCATTAAGTTATATACCTGTAAGTTAATTTAAAACCTTATATTTAATAGTATCATATAATCAACTAGCTGTACCCGCGACTTCATCCGCGTGGAATATAACTTTATTTTTCTAAAATAAAAGTAGCCTAAATTATTTCTTATTACATCAGCTACCTGCCAATAAAAGTCCCGTCAAAATCGGTCCAGCCATTTCTGAGATTAGCCGGAATAAACAGAACAAAAATTGTAATAAAATGTCATTTTCGGGTATGTACCGTATTTATATTCATATGCATGTAGTAAACAACGGTTATTTCAATATTACAAACAGACACTCTAATTTTATTTATATGTATAGATTAAACTAATATTGCTCATAAAATAAACTTATAGCTACAAAAGTGTAAAAGTTAATCATTGCGTGGTCAGCTAGTATATGTAGTCTAGCTGGCCCTGAAAACCTTATTTTGCAACATAAATTAAAATATCTATTAAAAAATAGGCGTTGGTGACCGAATGAAAATTTAGGGTTGTATGTAATTTTTAATGCCATTATTATAAAAAATATCAATAATATAGGTATTCCTTAACTTATATCATTACTTATAAAAAATGCGTGTCACGTTGTTTGTCCGCGATGGACTCCTAAACTACTAAACCGATTGCAAATTTGATTTGCACATTGTGTGCAATTTGATCCAACTTGAAAGATAGGATAGCTTACATCTCAATTTATAGTCGCAATATTATTTTATTCAAGAACCTTAGACACAGCAACGCGTGGTACATATATATGTACTAGCTGTTCCCGAGACTTCGTCCGCGTAGAGTTTTAAATTATTTTTCTAAAATAAAAGTAGCCTAAGTTACTACTTATTACATCAGCTACGTGCGAAAAAAAGTCCCGTCAAAATCAAAATCGGTTCAGCCATTTCAGAGATTAGCCGCAATAAACAGACAGACAGACAGTCAGACAAAAATTGTCAAAAAATGTTATTTTGGTGTATGTACCGTATTTATATTCATATGCATGTAAAAATCGGTTATTTCAATATTACAAACAGACACTCCAATTTTATTTATATGTATAGATATATACTATTTGAAATAGTTTTAAAACTAAAACTCGAATTAAAGAGATCTGTTAATATTATTATTATAAATTGTATAAATTAAATATTAACACATTTTAACGGGGGCAGGTACTTGTACCCGTTCCGAGGATAGCCATTTATAAGGTACTCGTTACTAGAACTCGTTCAGCACATTGCAGTTAAAAAACTGGGAAGACACAAGTGAAAAATATATATACATATATAATATATATATTTATTAAATAGCTGTACACGCAACTTCGTCCGCGTGGAATTTAACTTTATTTATCTAAAACAAAAGTAGTCTAAGTTACTTCTTATTACATCAGCTACTGCAAAAAAAAAGTACCGTCAAAATCGGTCCAGCCATTTCAGAGATTAACCGGAACAAACAGACAGACAGATAAAAATTGTAAAAAATGTTATTTTGGTATATGTAACAAACATCCATCCAACTGCACTCACACTTCGGCAATTTTAGAGATCAGATTTGCACTCTTTATAACGACAGTCCTCCAAAACGGCTCGACCGATCCAGACCAATATTTCATCGAAAGTAGACCTTCAAGCCTCCATCATTAGCACTAAAAAAAATGTTTGAAATGCACATCATTCCATAGTGTCTTAAATAGATCGGAATTCACCACAGAAACTGATCGCTTTGCTGAATTTTTTTTATACCCGATATTGTATTGTCAAAAATTTGATTGATGACAGTTTGACAACTGACAGCTGCTTTAAATAGAATAGAATAGAATAGAATAGAAAATCATTTATTCAAATAAACTTAATTTAAGCACTTTTGAATAGTCATAACAATTTGTTTTTTATCTACCACTCGTTCGGAAAGCTGTCTCATCACAAGAAGAAGGAGCAAGAAACTTGTGTGTTGCTCTTTTAAATAATCCTTGTAAGTTTACATTTACAAGTCGAAACGTGTGAATACAAACTACCAACAAGCACTAATTTTTTGGGTCAAGTATAATCATGCAATAAGATTAAATCAGTCGTAGTGATAAGAGCAGACCAGTCCCTACAAGCAGCACTCGTTCACGAGTATGACGGATGAGCCAGCCATCACTGCGCTCGACCATATTTTAGGGAGCCCAATGACCCGGCCCACCACGCCGCCACATGTCTGGACATTTTAGCGAGCATGACTACTCATTCCACTCGACCACGTCACGGCTACTTAAAATTACTATATGGTAGTTACAGTATTCTCACTTTACATGAGGATGCACGCGGCAATCAATACAAAAGCCGCTACGCTATCATATATCAAGAAAGCAGTATGAAAATTAAAATTATAACGTTGTCCGCAAATAAAGAGTTAAAACGTATTTAAATGTAGGAAATCGGGCGTTCAGAATTTATAAACGAGTTTAGCGAAATTTGTAGTGGTGAAATTCAAAATGAAACTTTGAACACGTTTAAACGTTTTAATGGCGTTCAGTTCGAACTAAACGCGATCAGTTTTGGTGAAATCCGGCCTTATTAGTCTATATGTTATGTTGATATATACAAAACTTACAAGTTACAAGCACGCAGGCGCAGCCAGGGCGGGCCACTAGTATCACTATATCTTTAAGTTATAATACATAGGTTTATCTTCCATCATGGGGTTGATCTCGCCCAGTTTCGGGTCGCAGGTGGGCCACAACGGTTGAGCTATGTCCATCTCGCTCGCACTCGTTGGCACAGATGGCTGCGGTGGCATCTGTCCCTGTCACACACACATAAATCATTATTAAAGATGCTCGTAACGGTAGTCAAGTTCCCGCGCCGAAAGTTTGTGATCTCACATGCTAATTGTATCGGAATTAAACAAAATAATATAAATACATTAAGTAGTGAAATGGACTTCCAGAAAATAACATCGTAACTCGATTAAATAATTTATTATTATTTATATAAATAAATAAATAACCCTGGACAATTAACACAGCGCCATCTAGTCCCACGGTAAGCTGAGCTTGTGTTATGGGTACTAGACAACTGATATAAGTAAATAAATAACACTGGACAATTAACACAGCGCCATCTAGTCCCACGGTAAGCAGAGCTTGTGTTATGGGTACTAGACAACTGATATAAATAAATAAATAACCCTGGACAATTAACACAGCGCCATCTAGTGCCACGGTAAGCAGAGCTTGTGTTATGTGTACTAGACAACTGATATAAGTAAATAAATAACCCTGGACAATTAACACAGCGCCATCTAGTCCCACGGTAAGCAGAGCTTGTGTTATGTGTACTAGACAACTGATATAAGTAAATAAATAACCCTGGACAATTAACACAGCGCCATCTAGTCCCACGGTAAGCAGAGCTTGTGTTATGGGTACTAGACAACTGATATAAATAAATAAATAACCCTGGACAATTAACACAGCGCCATCTAGTCCCACGGTAAGCAGAGCTTGTGTTATGGGTACTAGACAACTGATATAAATAAATAAATAACCCTGGACAATTAACACAGCGCCATCTAGTCCCACGGTAAGCAGAGCTTGTGTTATGGGTACTAGACAACTGATAAAATACTTAGATATTAATACATTATAAATACATCTTATTAATATTATAAATGTGGAAATCTGTGAGTATGGATGGATGTTTGTTACTGTTTTACGCAGAAACTACTGAACGCATTTTCATGAAACTTTACAGTAATATAGCTTACACATGAGAATAACATATAGGCTATAATATTCACGCGGTGAAACCGCAGGCACAGCTAGTACATAATACACATATAAAATAAACAGATACAAACAATCATACTCATGAATACAAATATTTACGCCGTGCGCGGAATCGAACCCGCGACCATCGGAAAGCGGTGTGCAAACCCGCTAGACCACCGAGACCGTCGTTATAAAATACTGACCGTCCGAGCATCCGGCCGCCGTTTGCCCCTGGTCCGTTTCGGCCAGGGTTTCTTCAGATGGACATAGGTGATGTGGGCGCGCTTCTCGCTTGCATGTTTGAATCCTTTCCCGCACATCTCACATTTAAATGGCTTCAGTCCAGTGTGGATCTGTAATATAAGATAAATTGTTAATTTATTTATTTACTAGCCGCGCTTCCGACTTCGTCCCACGAGGAATTACAAATTTCCATACAAACTTTCATCGCCTATTTTATTTTACAGCAGTTATGAAAGAAGAAAGAAATAATCTCTATTCAAATAAACTTAATATAAGCACTTTTGAATAGTCAATTTTATTTATTAGAATAAATAAAATTGACAAATTGCTGTTTCGAAACGCAGACTCATCATAAGAAGAACGAGCAAGAACCTTGTGTGTTGCTCTTTTAATTTTTTTTTTTTTTTTTATAACACAGGAGACAAACGAGCATGCGGCTCACCTGATGGTAAGTGATTACCGCCGCCCATGAGCACCCGCAACACCAGGGGAATTGCAAGTACGTGGTCGGCCTTTTAAAAAGGAATAAGCTCTTTTCTTGAAGGTTTCAATATCGTATCGGTTCGGAAATACCATTGCTGGAAGGTGATTCCACAATGTGGTCAAAAGTTTCTAGAAAACCGCACTGTGGAGGACCGCCATTCGTCCAGATATCCGGATGGTATTTCAGTTTCTGGCGGGTCGTACGTTATAAATATTTGTTGTGCAAAAAAATGAACTTTGGACTCACAAACATGTGCCGCTGTCTGTTGCTGTGCGTGGAGAAGTGTTTCCCGCAGAGCGAGCAGCCGTAGCTGGCCTTGTGCTGCGAGTGTACGCGGCGATGTGCCACGAGTCTCTGCTTCATCCGGAACGACTTCCCGCACGACTCGCATGCGAACGGACGCTCCCCAGTGTGAGTCCACCGATGATCCTTTAGCAGCGCGTAACTCTATAACATATTACATTAAGTCAGATATATTATTGATAGAAATAGAAATAATCTTTATTCAAATACACTCATTACGAGCACTTTTGAATAGTCATATTTTGATTCTGAAAAGAATGCAGATTCATCACAAGAAGAATGAGCAAGAAACTTGTGTGTTGCTCTTTTGAATAGATGTTTTTTTTATATAAATAATTACAGTATAACAAATAAGAGGCATGCGATAATGAACATAGAAATTAGTCAGATATATTATTGATAGAAATAGAAAGCATCTTTATTCAAATAAACTCATTACAAGCACTTTTGAATAGTCATATTTTGATTCTACCACTCATTCGGAATGCAGATTCATCACAAGAAGAATGAGCAAGAAACTTGTGTGTTGCTCTTTTGAATAGATGTTTATTTTTATATAATAATTACAGTATAACAAATAAGAGGCATGCGATAATGAACATAGAAATTAGTCAGATATATTATTGATAGAAATAATCTTTATTCAAATAAACTCATTACAAGCACTTTTGAATAGTCATATTTTGATTCTACCACTCATTCGGAATGCAGATTCATTACAAGAAGAATGAGCAAGAAACTTGTGTGTTGCTCTTTTGAATAGATGTTTTTTTTATATAAATAATTACAGTATAACAAGTAAGAGGCATGCGATAATCAACATAGAAATCGCTACGCACTGATTAGTGTAATCAGATAATATTGTCAGTACTATGGATTTAAAGTTTTTCTATAAAAACATTATTGTCGTTAACGAATTCATCAATTTTATAGTAAGCTTTTTTGCAAAGGAACTGTTTTATTTGACATTTAAATCTTTTTTCTGGCAGATTTATAACAGACTCTGGTATTTTATTGTAAAACCTTACGCAATTGCCATAAAACGAATTACTAACTTAACACTCTAACTGATCGCTCTCTGGTTGGAGAACATACGTTACATATGGATGTGGATGGTTATAAGGGCAGAGGAAGGCCGAAAAAGAGATGGATGGACTGTGTGAAAGATGATATGGTAAGAAAGCGAGTGAATAACGAGATGACTGCGAACAGACCGGAAGACGTAGCGTGGGAAGGCCTCCAGCAAGGTGGACCGACGATCTGGTCAAGATCGCAGAAAGGCATTGGATGCGAGCAGCGCAGGACCGATCGTCGTGGAGATCTTTGGGGGAGGCCTATGTCCAGCAGTGGACGTCTTCCGGGCTGAGATGATGATGATGATTCCCAACAAGAAGAATGATCAACAACTTGCACAGATTACAAAACATCTGCTCCCAACTTAGTACCTGGAACATTCTACCGCAAACTTCGCACATGCAGGGCGACTTCATCGACGGGTACTTGGTTCGATTCTTGTCCGGGTGCATCCGGCGGAAGTGGCCGTGGTACGCGCGCGAGTCCTCCAACTGTAGACCACACTGTGAACAAAATACATGTGAAGTCATATGTATGTAACAAAAGGATTATTATTGATTACAAGCGACTCGTCCCCGGGTTCGCACGTATGCATTACAAATCCTTGTATTTCTCGACTTGTTTTATTACCTTGAATATATTACCCGCGTAAAAAGGGAGATATAATAAATATATATAAAGAATAATAATAATAATAATAAGTTAGAAAGTTTCTACAGACAGATTAGGCCTACATTTGTATATCCACCTGATATAGAACATTGTTATGTACTTGGCTTAGGCCCGTACATACCAAGATTACCGGCGAAAGTCGAGAAAAAATAATATAAAATAATAATAATAATAATAATAAGCCACAATATTAAATACCTGTCGCATAACCCGAAAATTCTTATCCTCCTCAACAATATCTTCACCCAGCACAACCTCTCCCACACTTGGCTAAGGCCCGTGTAGGTGAGTATTACCTTCTTTTAAATCGATAAAAGAAGAGAAAAAAAGGAAAAAAATAATAATAATAATAATAATCTCAGGATAATTCACACAGTGCCATCTAGTCCCAAGTTAAGCTAGCTAAAGCTTGTGTTATGGGTACTAGACAACTGATACAAATACATAGATATTTTTTTTTGTAAATACATACATACATATTATATATAGAAAACACCCAGACCGATACAAACAATCATACTCATGAATACAAATGTTTGTGCCGTGCGAGGAATTGAACCCGCGACCATCGGACGTAAAGCGGTGTGCTAGACCGCTAGACCACCGAGGTCGTCAATGTAATGTTATATAGCTTAAAGCCTTCCTCGACAACTGGACTATCCAACAGAGAAATAATTTTTCAATTCGAACCAGTAGTTTCTGAGATTAGCGCGTTCAAACAAACAAACTCTTCAGCTTTATAATATTCATCAACTCAGCCCGAAGACGTCCACTGTTGGACATAGGCCTCCCCCAAAGATCTCCACGACGATCAGTCCTGCGCTACTCGCATCCATCGCCTTCCAGCGATCTTAACCAGATCGTCATATATATAATATATCTACCCCTACTATGACAGCCTCGGTGGTCTAGTGGTTTAGCATACCGCTTTACAATCCGATGGTCGTGGGATCGATTCTTCGCATGGTACAAACATTTGTATTCATGATTACTATAGTACGATTGTTTGTATCGGCCTGGGTGTTTTCTATGTATAATATGTACATATTTACAAAAAAAAATGTATCTATATATTTATATCAGTTGTCTAGTACCCATAACACAAGCTGTGCTTAGCTTGGGACTAGATGGCGCTGTGTGAATTGTCCTGAATTATTATTATTACTGCTGAAAATTTCACCAAAATCGTATAATATAAAAGGTATAAGTGAACATACAGATTTCCATGTATCCTCAATTGAAAACCTGAATTATTAGTATTTTATTAATACTCAAGTTTTCCGCTCGTTCTTCTTGTGATGACACAGCTTTCCGAATGAGCGGCAGAATAATTAAAGTGCTTCAATGTAAGTTTATTTGAACAAACGATTTTCTATTCTATTCTATATGTACACGACAGAATCAATTAGAAAATAAGTTTTAGCTGTAATTAGTATAATAAGTCATCCTCAATAAAATATATAACATAGTGTTTTTATTGCCCTAAATATAAGTAATTAGTATAAGCAGAATTTGTATATAAGTAAGATCATTTTTGTTAATAATAATAAATCACACGCAACGTACAGTCGTAGTAGGGAGGGCCACCCGTCGGTCGTCTATACAAAGAGCGCGGACCGCATTCACTGGCGAGACAGCGACCCGATAGGTGCCTTCCTACTAAGTGCAAACAACCGAGCATTTTTACTTCGCCGTCCGACCATACGACCAGGGATCCTATAGTACATAGTCCTGTCACCATCTATATGCATTAAGAATTAAATTAACAAACTACCTGTTCACAAGGTATAGGACCTTCGGCTTTCCTCATCTGACTTGGGTACACCTTCTTATCATCGTCCACCTTCTCTTTCGCGGTTCTCTCCTTCTCTAACACGTCTCTGGTCTTCCGTCCCCTCTTGGGCTTGTTAGCTTCTTTATCCTCGTCTGCATGACGAGCTGATACCACTATGTGACGCTTTAAAGCCTCGGCTGAGACGAAACGGACGTTGCATTGCTCGCAGTATGGACCGTCTTCTGGAATCTAAGGAGGTAATAATAGAGATAAGATAATCTAATGGACCGTCTTCTGGAATCTAAGGAGGTAAAAATAGAGATAAGATAATCTAATGGACCGTCTTCTGGAATCTAAGGAGGTAATAATAGAGATAAGATAATCTAATGGACCTTCTTCTGGAATCTAAGGAGGTAAAAATAGAGATAAGATAATCTAATGGCCCGTCTTCTGGAATCTAAGGAGGTAATAATAGAGATAAGGAAAACTGTTAGACGACCTCGCTGGTCTAGAGGTTTAGCACACCGTAAGAAGTAAAGCGTTACTTCTGATGGTCGCGGGTTCGATTCCTCGCACGGTGCAAATATTATTTATGTGTACGTATTCATGAGTAAGATTGTTTGCATCGGTCTGGGTATTTTCAATGTATATTATATACTAGCTGTTCCCGCGACTTCGTTCGCGTGGAATTTAACTTTATTTTTCTAAAATAAAAGTAGCCTAAGTTACTCCTTATTACATCAGCTACCTGTCAAAAAAGTCCCGTCAAAATCGGTCCAGCCATTTGTGAGATTAACCGGAATAAACAGACAGACAGACAGACAAAATTTTTTAAAAATGTTATAATGGTGTATGTACCGTATTTATATGATGATGATGATGAGTAAAAAACGGTTATTACAATATTACAAACAGACACTCCAATTTTATTTATATGTATAGATTTATACAAAAAAATCTAAGTATTTATATCAGTTGCCTAGTACCCATAACATCAATATTTATCATCACACCGCTCGCTATCGGCAGGGAATTCATCCCCACACGTTGGAACCTAAGTAGTCTCAGACAGTGCGGTTTCAGAGGAGCTTCCTCCTGTATTTTTTTTATTGGGTTGTTTGGGCTATTGTCACATGTGTAGCACCTGTAGCACTGCGACCTACATAGATCTATTGTGCTCGCCCTTTTTGACAGTTCGCTACCTAGACCCGTCAGGAACAAGAATTGAAGGATATTAGGAGCGATGGTTTTTATCTCCTCAGGATAGAGTGTAAACTTTCCAAATGAGATATTTCGTTTATGCATGAGTGGGCTACAACCACATAGGATGTGTAGTGGCGTTTCCTCTTCAGTTTGGCAGAATCTACAGATTTTTGTCGTGCATAGACCTAGTTGTGCCATATACTTGTTTTCCTTGCATACACTTATTTTGTGGAATGAACTACCTGCCGAGGTCTTCTCGTGTGGGTATTTGACGTAAACAAATATGATTATAACAAGGAAAACCACTCACCTGTTCGTTATCTAATCTATGCTTCAACTTTTTATGAAGCTGTATACCTTTCTCGCTCACAAACGAATACCCACACAGTTGGCAGACAAAGTCAGATGGATGCTTTATACGTATATGGCCCATGTACGTTGTGAATTTCCTGTAACAGATAATAATAATTATAATAACCCTGGACAATTCAGCGCCATCTAGTCCCGAGATAAGCAGAACTTGTATAATGGGTACTAGACAACAGATATACATAAATAAATACATTTTATAGCGGATAACAATCTGTCGAAACGCACCGTTTCGACGCCAGCCCGGTATCGCTAGTTTCCGGACACGGAGCAGCGTACGTACGGTATTTATTAATAGACAACTCGTGCTAGTCCTGCCATAATTTGTTTATTTATTTATTTAACTTTAATGCACACAATATATAGTCATATATAGTACAGTACATTTGGCGGACTTACCACCATGCGGCATTATCTACCAGTCAACAATAGGTGGTGCAGAGAATAGATGCTGGCGGTGCAAAATTATAAACGTAAACAAAATGCAACAAAATATAAACAGAACAAAAAAAAATACAATATATATATATACACATATACATGCAATAAACTTAAATATATAACTATGTAACTACATCAATCATACTGTAATACAATACAAATGTTTGCATACGAGGAATCGAACCTGTGTTAGGTCAACTTGTTTGTCATTCTAGTTCTATAAAAAAAGATACTTTACATTTAAAATACCATCCTGATCATCTGAATGAATGGCGCTCCTCCACAGTGCGGTTTTCTAGAAACTTTTTGCCACGCACAACCACATTGTGGAATCACCTTCCAGTAATGGTATTACCGAACCGATATGATATTGAACATTCAAGAAAATAGCTTACTCCTTTTTAAAAGGCCGACAACGTACTTGTAATTCCCCTGGTGTTGCGGGTGCTCATGGGCAGTGGTAATCACTTACCATCAAGTGAGCCTCAACTCATTTGCCCTCTATGCTAACTGAAATCTACTCACTGAAACTCGTCCGGACAATGTGGACACTGATATTTGGTTCTTACTTCTATTCTCCTTCTCTGCTCTCTATTCCCCTTGTGTTGTGGTGAGCCGCAAGCTGGTTTGCACTCTGTACTATTACTAACTGAAACGTACTTACTGAAACTCATCTGGACAATGTGGACACTGATATTTGATTCTTACTTCTATTCTCCTTCTCTGCTTTCTATTCCCCTTCTCTGCTCTCTATTCCCCTGGTGTTGAGATGAGCCATAAACGTTTGCTCTCTATACTATTATTAACTGAAGTGTACTCACTGAAACTCATCAGGACAATGTGGACACTGATATTTGATTATCGCTTCTATTCTATTCGCCTTCTCTGTTCTCTATTCCCTTGGTCTTGCGGTGAGCGGCAAACTGGTTAGACCTCTATACTATTACTATCTGAAATCCCCTGACGTTGCGGTTGCTCATGGTCGGCTGATGGTAACATCAGGTAGAGCCGCACTGTTGTATGCCCCTTATACTATAAAAGTAGTACTAATAGAAATCTACTCACTGAAACTCATCAGGACAATGTGGACACTGGTATTTGGTCCCCTTGTGCCACCTCTCGTGCAGTCTGGCTGTCTGTCTATGTGTTGTGACGTACGGACACCGGTTACAGCTGAACCGTTGCGTGTGGTGTGCAGTTATATGCTTTCTTAACGCGTGCGGATGTTTGAAGTGAGTTTTGCATATATCACATTGGTAATCGCCGCATTGCTGCAAGAAATTCATTTTTTTAATTAGATGATAATGAAATGGTAACGGTTTACGATGGTGAGGCACCTGGGGAGGAAGATAAGAAGAGTTAACCGTATCCTAGGTTAGATTAATAATAATAATAATAATAAAACTCTTTATTGTGTACACATAAAATAATGAGAAAATACAGTAAATAGTAAAATAATAACAAAAGGCGGTCTTATCACTAAATGCAATCTCTTACTGACAACCTAGAAGAGAGGACTTATGTACATAGAATAGGGTAGGTGGCACACATAAGACACTATTTATTAGTGCATCGTAGCAAATTCACTATGAATATATTATATTGTTTTGCAAAGAACCTAATGTGGTACGCTAGTAATTGGATCATTAATTCACATATTAACAAATCAACAATTTGAAGAAATTACTTACGAAAAATAACCCAGAGTATGCCTAACTAATTTTTGTAAGTAATCCGTCCAATTGATTGGATTGAAATTACGGGGTTCATTTGTTCGGTTGAACCAAGGTTCGAACCCCTAGTGGTGCCTTTTATTTGATTTGTGTCCGTCCCCCCCCCCCCCCTCTCCCCCTGCTTCCACCCACTATCGTCCGGTGAAGCAATTTTTGTAAGTAATCCGTCCAATTGATTGGATTGAAATTACGGGGTTCATTTGTTCGGTTGAACCAAGGTTCGAACCCCTAGTGGTGCCTTTTATTTGATTTGTCCCCCCCCCCTCCCCCCTGCTTCCACCCACTATCGTCCGATGAAGCTGAAGAAGGCCAGCTACGGCCTTCTTCAGCTTCACCAGTCAGTTCAGTAATATTACAAATGGGATGGTCAGAGTCGTATCAATGTTTAAAGAGAATGAAGAAATAGCGTGATTCTTATTGTGAACGAGTGTAATGGCATTCAGTATAAAAAAATTACTTACATTCGTATGCCGACTCATATGTGAATTATACGCTTCTTTATCCAAAAATCCCTTATAACATTCAATACATTTAAACACTGAATTCTTATAATTAGCGCTGTCTTGTCGCTTCAAGATCTCAGCCACTTGTTCCTCAAAAGATAAATTAGTTATTGTAAATAAAGTTTCATTCAAATCATCATTAAGGAACGGTTTCCTTCGCCTGTCAATTTTCGGTTGCGTGGGATCTTTCACTTGTTTCTTTCTCACACTTTTCACTACTTTCTTCTTTTTCTTCTTCTCCCTTCTCCTTTCTAATGGTAAACTATCATCAGTGGAATACTCCTTCTCTGTTTGAATGTAGTCTGCATCAAAATCATCAATTGTATCATTGATTTTATTCTCTTCTACGAATTCGTCTACAAATATTTCACTGTTAATTTCATTCTTTACTACCTCATCTTGTATGTTTACTTCTTCCTCTTCTTTTATCTCCTTTATCTCTTCTTTATCTTCTATGTGCAAGTCAGTGTAGTCGGGAGTGTAGTGTTTGATTTCTAGTTTCGATATTAGCTGATTGTTAAGCCGATCTATGGTTTTTAGATTATCAACGGTTAGCTGGAATAGAGTTTAATTAATTAGTTCATTTTCAGAGTTACGTGTAAGGTAACTATATTATTTTGTTGTAATCCAAGAAGGATTACTTATAAAATAATATGTGTAATTGGATTTATAATTCTTTACATCGTAATCTGTTAGAATAGAATAGAATAGAAAATCATTTATTCAAATAAACTTAATTTAAGCACTTTTGAATAGTCAACATTTTTTTAAATCTACCGCTTATTCGGAAAGCTGTCTCATCACAAGAAGAATAAGCAAGAAACTTGTGTGTTGCTCTTTTAAACAATCCTTGTAAGTTCACATTTTACAAGTCGAAACGTGTGAATACAAACTACCAACCAGCACTAATTTATTTAGGCTCAAATATAAAAACACAATAAGATTACATCAGTCGTGATCGAATCAGTGATAAGAGCAGACCAGTCCCTACAAGCAGCACTCGTTCACGAATATGACGGATGAGCCAGCCATCACTGCGCTCGACTATATTTTAAGGACCCCAATGACCCGGCCCACCACGCCGCCACATGTCTGGACATTTTAGTGAGCATGACTACTCATTCCACTCGACCACGTCACAGCTACAAATTAATGTTACAAGTTAATGTTAACCATTATGTGATTGTGATTTGTTGTTTGTTGTTAAGTATGATTGTTCGTATTACACTCTGTGTTTTCTACGTATACTATGTAATTTAATTAAAAAAATAAGTACAAGTATGTATTTATTTTAACAGTCTAAGTTCCAAGTTAAGCTAAGTTTGTGTTATGGGTTAACACAAACTCTTCTTAGCTTGAAACTAGATGGCGCTGCGTGAATATTCAGGGTTATTGGGTTATTATTATTATTTATATATTTCTATTTGATTTTCTTTATGTAATGACTTCATTTCGAATTATTATGATACTAACTACCAGCCGCGGCTTCGCACGGTTGTACGCGGATTATACATATAATAATAATAATAATAAAAAAACTCTAACACAGTATATCTTATAGATATAGCTGTACCTAACACACACAACATACAATCTACCATTTCAGATAAAGTCTTAAAATATCAGGATCTTGCAATAGAGGTAAGAACACAATGGCGAGCTGATACTGTAAACACTGTACCCATTGTACTTTCTTCTACCGGTTTTGTACCCAAAACACTTCAAAATAGTCTGCAAACATTAAACATTCATCCATCCAAAACATATCTCCTACAGAAAGCCACAATATTAAATACCTGTCGCATAACCCGAAAATTCTTAACCTCCTCAACAATATCTTCACCCAGCACAACCTCTCCCACACTTGGCTAAGGCCCGTGTAGGTGAGTATTACCTTCTTTTAAATCGATAAAAGAAGAGAAAAAAAGGGAAAAAAGAATAATAATAATAATAATAATAATAATAATTTTTATTTCAGACAACATGATCCATTGTGTTAGTAACAGCTTAATGACATAACTTATCCTATGTTAGTAATAAAATACATAATAAAATAAAAATGTAACTTTTAACATATTACCTGTCCCACCCAGTATCTTAGAATGGGACAGTCTACTTTACAAGCAATTGTCTTCAGCAATATAAACCTCTTGTATCACTCTATCGATTGGTGAAAACTGCATTAAAATTAAATGCAAAACAAAATTTTTTTATAAAGTGGCATTATAAAATACATACGATCCAAAATTTTTACCTTTCTAGCACCAACTCCTATTTTTTAATAGCGATTTTTATTTATATGGCAAAACAAATTTTATGAGGTCAACTAGTAATTTATATACTCATCATCATCATCATCATCTAGTAATTGTATACTGCTGTATGTAAATTACTAGTTGCTGTGTTATCTACTAATGGTGTGTTATTACCGCTGTATCATCATTGTCGTTGTGAAGTGTGCTGTAATATATTATTTAATTATTAACCCTGTATTAACATGAATAATTTTATATCAAATAAAGGCAGTCAGCTCGTGACCAGGGCTAGTGCAACCTAGTCGAAACGTCGAGAGAGGTAAATACCTTTATTTGCCATAAAATTATTCGTGTTAAGATCCGGTTAATAATTTAAATAATGTATATTAAACACGAAAGTTTAAAATTAACTGTGCTGTAATAAACCTCTTTCTATTCTATTCTATTTTCTAATAGCAAACATATACTCACATTGTCGTGTTTGTTAAGGAGTTCTACCATCAGCTTGTTGGCGCGCAGACTCTTGTTCCTGAAGCTGTGGCAGCTGAGAAGACGGTGCGCGCATTCACCACACAGTTTCCTTGGCAGGCGGTCCTCTTCGCATACCTGGAGATCAAGATTCGAAATAAGATGCGATATATTTTGTGAATACTACAAAAAATAAAACAGTTACAGACGAGTTTCTTGCATTTATTATAATTTATACATAGAAATGAAATTGGAGTGTCTGTTTGTAATATTGAAATAACCATTTTTATTTACATGCATATGAATATAAATACGGTACATAGACCAAAATAACATTTTTTTTAATTTTTGTGTGCGTGCGTGCGTGCGTGTGTGCATGCGTGCGTGCGTTGCGTGCGTGCGTGCATACGTGCGTGTGTGTATGTGTGTGTGCTGGTTTTTTAATCTACACTTACGGGCCGAAACCAAGTTAGTGTGTGTGTGAGTGAGTGTGTTATTATTATTTTATTATTATTGGGTAATCACCGTCAATCCAGTCACATATTGATACGCCTGCACCAACTTGTATTTCTTCATTGGGAATAACTTGGTGGTCATCTCTAAGCAGATTCTGCAGACCTGTAAAATAAACATTTATACTTTTTTCTCTATTTCCCCAGATTGATATCCCATTGAATCAAAAAGGGAAATCGAAATTACGACGGCTTGCGTCTAAATTCGAAGTCTTAGAGTAAAGTTGAATCCGTTAAGCAGAAGTTGACCTTCAGCCGCTCCATAAGTCGTTCCCGCTCTTTTGAGAACTCAATAAGGGGCTTTCCATAGCCTCTAGACACCTGATACACCAAGGGTGTCTCAAGGGGTGATACACGTTCACGTTGCCGACCCTTAAGAAATCTTAATATAGGGTATACTTAATATAACCGGGCGGGGGTGACGACCGAAGTGCGACGAACCGACGAAGAAGTGCGCGCCTTCCCCAAGGGAAGATGGGAAAAGTGGTGGGTTCCAAAGGGAACCCGCAGAGATGGGCCCGCTGTAGAGTGGGCCACCGCCGTCGGAGTCGCGGTGGACTGAGTTCGATCCCGCGACTCCGGCATATGGCGTTGGATGAGGGACATCTTGGAGTTTTTAGTGAGTATGAGTCTCACAGTACCCGTGGGCTCCCGGGGGAAGCCCGGCGAGTCTCCATGAGGGATTTTCTCCAAGTAAAAAAAAAAGGGGTATACTTAATATAGTGTGTGGCTTGAAACCCATGCCGTACATTACATATATAAACTAGCAGACTCAGCCACGCGTTGCTGTAGCTAAGGTTCTTAGATATAATAATATTGCGACTATAAATTGAGATGTAGCCTATCCTATCTTTCAGTTGGATCAAATTGCACACAAATCAAATGTGCAATCAGTGGTTTAGGAGTCAATCGCGGAAAAACAACATGACATGTAATTTTTATATATAAAAATATATATAAATTACATGTATAACCTATCAATAATAATAAATCTCACCTTCAAACCAGATGTTTTTCCATAATCACCATTGCTTGAATCCTAGAAAAAAATATATAGTTATGAATCTATATATCAATATTATACATGCGAAAGTTTGTGAGTATGGACGGATGTTTGTTACTCTTTCACGCAAAAACTGCTGAACGAATTTTTAAGAAACTTTATAGTAACATAGTTTATACATCAGAATACATGCTGTAATTTAAAAAGATATTATGTAAATTGGGCGATATATAATGATAAGTGTAATGCAGACGTAGTTGCGTGGGTCAGCTAGTTTAATATATTTATATTTTGCTCCACTAAAACAATAATATAATAGTAGCTATATGATTTATACAAAAATAGAAATAATCTTTATTCAAATAAACTTAATATAAGCACTTTTGAATAGTCAAGTTTTTTTATTCTACCGCTTATTCGGAATGCAGATTCATAACAAGAAGAATAAGAAAGAAACTTGTGTGTTGCTCTTTTAAATAAAATATTGATTTACTTATATTTAATTAACAACAAGGATTACGCATGCGACAATCAACATAGAAACCGCTATGCACTTATTCTCTTTTCAAACCATAAAATACAGAGAAATATAAAAATTGTCACCTGTACAATGATAGGTACAGCTCCAGCTCGGACCTTCCTCAGGCCACTCTTGGTCTCGTACAGGTCTTCACAGAGGAAGTGTTCGGAGCAAACTGCGCTCCTCTCCTTCGGTTCCCAGTGCTGCTTGCCGACTGCCTGCAGCCAAGCAGTCCGCAGTGTACTCTCGTAGGGGAATCTATAAAAAGATGGAATGCCTAATAGAATAATATACAATCTATACATATAAATAAAAATGGAGTCTCTGCTTGTAATATTGAAATAACCTTTTTACTACATGCATATGAATATAAATATGGAACATACACCAAAATAACATTTTTTACAATTCTTGTATATCTATCTGTTTATTCCGGTTAATCTCTGAAATGGCTGTACCGATTTTGACGGGACTTTTCTTGGTAGATAGTAGTAGATGTAATAAGGAGTAACTTAGCCTAAGTTACTTTTATTTTAGAAAATTAATATTAAAATTCCATGCAGACGAATTCGCAGGTATGGCTAGTTTATAATATAAGGTAATATAGTGAAATTGAATAGAAATTTTAATATCCCTCTTTTAAACTTCATATTCTCTAATATAAACTGTAAAAGAGATGACAATCTCAATTGTCTAGTAGTTTAGCACAGTGATTTACTTCCGATGGTTGTGGGTTGGACTCTTTACTTGGTGCAAACATTTGTATTCATGAGTATGATTGTTTGTATTATTCTGTATAATGCTTGTATCGTTTTCTATGTATAATATGTATGTATTTATAAATAAAATTATCTATGTATTTACATCAGTTGTTTAGTACCCATAACACAAGCTCTGCTCACCGTGGGACTAGATGGCGCTGTGTTAATTGTCCAGTGTTATTTATTTATTTATATCAGTTGTCTAGTACCCCTAACACAAGCTCTGCATACTAGGATACTCTGCATATGTGGGACTAGATGGCGCTGTGTTAATTGTCCAGTTTTATTTATTTAATTATATCATTTGTCTAGTACCCATAACACGAGCTCTGCTTGTGTGGGACTAGATGGCGCATGTTAATTGTCTAGGATTATTTATTACAGAATAATAATAATACCCCAGGACAATTCACACAACAAGATCTAGTACCAAGCTAAGCAGAGTTTGTGTTATTAGTACTAGACAACTGTTATAGATACTTCAAAAATAAATAAAAACACACATAATATAAATAGAAAACACACAGACCAATACAAACAACCATACTTACGGATACTAATGTTTGTACTTTGCGAGAAATCAAACCCGCGACCATCGGAAATAAAGCTAAACCGGTAGACCACCGAGGCCGTCGAAGAATAAGAGGCATAACATCTTAGTTCTCTAGATTTTTTTATTTTTATGGATGATAATGGAATGGCTCACACGCCTGCGCTAACGGTTTACGCTGGCGGGACACCAGTGGAGGATGATAAGATGAGCATGAGGTCAGGTCAGTTAGCCCATCGTGACAAATTCACCAAGAATTTATCACGATGGTTTCCAGGGGGAACCGCGTGGAGGTCAACCTGACATGGTACATTGCTAGCAATGGGGTTATCAATCCACATTACTAACAATCCCTTTCCACCCAGTTCTCTAGATTGGCAATGCATGATTGCAAGGCTGTCACATGATAACGTGACACCCACAGTACTATGTATATAGGCGACGCTTACATCCGGTGGACAGTCTATTTGCTATTCCAATTATAAAAGTAACTTATAAAACTGTTTCTCTTTCATCAAAATCAAGATAAAAATATCTACTTATTATCTATGGACGAATAAACAATTCTTTAATAAAAATCACGATAAAAATATGTACTAAATATCTATGGACGAATAAAACTTACATATGAAACGTAATGCCCTGAGATTTGGAAATATATCTAGAATCGTTCTTACAACCCGGCACTGAACACCTCATTCTTAAAAGCAAAACAAATTTCACAGCTATATTAAAATAAATAGATACTCATATATTTACAGTAAATACATATAATGTTTGCATTATTTGTATATGATTAGTAAGTAAATACTTCATTTAATATTGTAAATTATAATAATATAAAACATAATATAGGAGTCAATACATTTTTTATGTTTATTTTTTACTGAAATTGAAGTATGCACCGATTACACAAATTGATCGGTTTTGGCTGTCAAGCTATCAGTGTATGTCAGTCAGTAAGTCATTTCGTCCACTTTATTTAAATATACTAGAAGTCTTTTAATTAAATTCATAGCTTTAAATAAATTATATTCAATGTATATGTACAGAAATACTTATAATGATTTATAATGAAAACAAATCTTACTTAAAGCTAAGATATAAAGTAATAAGTCACTTTTACAATTACACTTCAATGAACGCATTCATAATATTTTTTTAATAATTTATCTGTGGTTATCTGTATCTGAAAAATTGTTTAAAAATGGCGAGTGTTATTGCTCCTAAATATTTTTATGTTATTTACAAATACTCAAAATTTATAATATAATAATTATTTTACTCTGTATATTTTGGTATATTAGATATAATTATTACTTTTAGTATGCATATCAGTGTAAACCGCAATATTTAAATGTGTTATTACAATTTTTCGCGTAAATCTAATTAGCTGGTATTTATTATTGTTTATTTCTTAATTCTTTATTATTCTGAGTGAATAATATAACGAAAATGAGGTGTTGCGTTCAATTCTGTACCAATGATACGAAACGGATGACAAAGAGCCAAGGAATCACTTTCCACTTGTAAGTTTCAATAATTATTGCAGACCTACTAATATTGTAAACATGGAAGTTAGTAAGAATAGATCGATGTTTGATAGTCTTTTACCCAAAAACTACGGGACGGATTCGAATGAATTATGGTACACAGATAGATCATATGTTATATTAACAAATAAGATACTTTCTTACCGGAATTCGCGCAGGCAACGCCGCGTAATACTTTGTAATTAATTCAATCATTATAAATATAATATAATCAACATGTAATTATTTCTTTCGTTATTTTAAAATAGAACTGCCCATTACTATCAGGTGGGTCGTCAGTTTAGTTTATATTTAAGTTATAAAAACCACTATATACTCATTTATGTCTTCCAATTTTATTATTGGTATTTTATGGTAAAAAAATTGAATTATCAACACATATCGTTAGTATGTCTGCACTAACGGTATACACTGGCATGCTACCAGTGGAAGACCATTCATAATTTAAGAGCCACACTCTTGTCGGTGTTATACATTAGTGGGGCACCAGTGGAAGATCATTCATAATATAGGAACTGCACTCTTGTTGGTGCCACTCTTTTTTTTTCCACAACCTTCCATCAATCCCTTCAGTTGTTGTTATGACACAACACCAACTTTTCCTTATTCTGCTTGATGTAGCTGTGCCTTGGTCTTTGGTTGGAAGACCATAGGATGAAATAGAAATAGAAAATTTGTCATTCAAATAAAGTTCAAGTTTAAGCATTTTTGAATAGTCATACTTACTTATTTTTTATCTACTTCCCATTCAGATAGCTAACTGAAAAAATAAGCCCATATTCTGTTCTCTGGATTAATTATGTGTAAGCCAGGTCCATCATGTAACAGAGAAGGATACTTCAAGCAGGTCCCAGAACTTCTGATCCAGGTGTAGGTTTAAGAGGTCATTTTGTCAACATAAGTATTTTTATATGTATTTACATATATTGATAAATACATAAGTGAAAGAACAAACAAAATGTGTATTTTTTTTTCATATTGATATCATGGATCAGCCCACCAAGCCTTTAACAGATTTTTGTGGGAATCTGTTGACAGCAGAAATTAATGCTATGTCCATTTACTCTTTTAGCTCATCAGTGAATAAAATCCCATGCATGATATCCTTTTCCAGGTTTCCGAAAGAAGCTAATCTTCGCACTGCATGGATAGAAGCACTGAATATGAAGGACTGGGAGCCAAAAGAGAGGAGTTCAGTCTGTTCAGAACACTTCCATAAAGATGACTTCTACGACACAAAGTGTGGTCTCCGTAAAATCAAGAATGGGGCTGTTCCAGTAGTTGCTCAAGTGAGATTCTGTTATTCTATTAACCATGTCCATTCTATCATGAGGCTGTAAAAACCATCGCTCGTAAGAATATCCTTCAGCTCTTGTCCCTCATGGGTCTAGGCAGCGAACTTTGAAAAAGGGTGATCATAATAGATCTATGTAAGTTGCAGTGGACCTGCATAGCCAACCAGCAATAAAAAAAATCAATTAGAGATAATGTAGTGATCAACAACATATCCTATTGCATCAGAAAGAACCTAATAATTTACTCTAATTTATGTTTTTTCATTACTTCTGCTGTTATGAAGAATTTTAATGAATTAATAGATAAAACTTCTTATTTCAGGTGTGCAGGATATGTTTGGAAGTCAATGTGAAAATGTATCACTTATCAGATAGTAATTTGGATGATACATTCCAGCAAATTACTGGAATAACGGTTGGTATCATTATAGTATAAATAAAGTCGCTGTCACTGTCTGTCCATCCCTATGTATGCTTAAATCTTTTAAACTACACAACGGATTTTGAAGCAGTTTTTTTAATAGATAGTGATACTAGGCAATGGATTTTGAAGCGGTTTTTTTAATAGATAGTGATTCAAGAGGAAGGTTTATATATATAATACATGTACACCCGTGCAAAAACGGGGCAAGTAACTAGTTTAGTTTATATAAGCTTTTTTTTAATAGATAGAGTGATTCAAGTGACAGCAATAATAATCCTGGACAATTTACACAGCGTCATCTAGTCTCAAAATAAGCAGATCCTGTGTTAAGGGTAATAGACAACTAATAAATATACTTAATTTTTTTGTAAATGTATATATACATTCATTCATTTAAGAGCTGTGCTCTTGTCGGTGGAGCTCCTGCCACCTTCCACGATCTTCTATCAGTCCCTTTAGCTGTTGATACGACACGACTCCAACTTTTTCTTTAACTTGCTTGATATAGCTGTGTCTCGGTCTTCCCCTTCCTCTCTTTCCATATATTTTTCCTTCAATAATGTTGTTAATTCGTCGTGTCGTATCAAGTGCCCCAACATTTTTCCCCGCCTACAATATATACATTAATTGTATGTATAGCTGTAGAAATACAATTAACCAAATTTTTTCTTGTTTACAAACAAAAGAAATTGTACAAACTTAAATCCACTTTAAGTGGTAAAAGTCTTCCTTAAAAGTTCTCAAGAGGCTCCTTTGGCTATAATTATATTTTATTAATATTACAAACGCGAAAGTTTTTGAGTGTGGATGGATGTTTGTTACCCTTTCACGCAAAAGCTTCTGAACGGATTTTGATGAAACTTTACTGTAATTTAGCTTATGTATCAGAATAGAATAGAATAGAAATTTATTCAAATAAACTTACATTGAAGCACTTTTGAATAGTCATTACATTTTTTTAATCTACCGCTCATTCGGAAAGCTCTCTCTGTCTCATCATAAGAAGAACGAGGAAGAAACTTGCGCGTTGCTCTTTTAAATAATTTTATTATTACTTTACATTTTTAAGTTTAAGTGTGTGAATACAATACAGAATAACATATAGGCTATAAATTTCACGACACAGCTAGTCTGAAATAAAACTAAAATAATAAAAATGTTCTTTCCAGTTAAATGAAGAAGACAGACTACCACAGAACCTGTGCTGGGAGTGCACCCATCGACTGCAGTCCTGTAGGCGGCTGCGAGCGAAGGCGCTAAAGAGTCACATAGCCATGATGAACGTGGTGCAGTCCAGCAGATATGTAAGATATACTAAGCAAGGGGCTGCCATTTCACCATCGCACCACACGCCATCGACAGGGAATTCATCAGCACACGCTAGAACCTAAGTGGTCTCGGACAGTGCGGTTTCAGAGGAGCTTCCTCCCGCGTACACTTACATTGTGGAATGAAATACCTGCTGAGGTTTTCTATAGAGACTACAGCATGAGGTTTTTCAATTAGGGTATATTAAGATTTCTTAAGGGTCGGCAACACGCGTGACACACCTGGGGTTTCAGGTGTCCATAGGCTACGGTAAACATTTACCATCAAATGGGCTGCATGCTTGTTTGCCAGCATAGTACCCTTGATCCTTTATTATCATTTTATCGATACAACTGGTACATAATGTATGTACACAGGCAACCTGTGAGTATGGGAGTGACGACACATTAATTTAGATTTAGAGTAGACTAGCTGTACTCGCGACTTCGTCCGCGTAGAATTTAACTTTATTTTTCTAAAATAAAAGTAGCCTAAGTAAACTTTCATTGGCGGGTAGCTGATGTAATTCAGCTACCCGCCAATGAAAGTCCCGTCAAAATCGGTCCAGCTATTTCAGAGATTAGCCGGAACAGACAGACAGACAAAAATTGGTGCAATTGGTGCAAATTAATTCTGAAAGTTTTATATTTCTCAAATATTTCATAATTTATTATATTAGTACTAAAGATAGATTTTAACAGGAGGACGGACATAGGCTATATTTCAACTATCAGGCGAAGTAAGGTAACATTTAATATTTATGTGTGTGTATTTTGTTTCAATTCAGATCACAATACATGATATACGAACAATAGACAGAGCAGCGTTAAAATCTAGTCTTGTAAAGAAAATAAATGAAGAGGACGACTTTGATATATTTATAAATGACGATGACGTTATGTTAAAAGCAGAGACAAGAGCCGACGAAGAAGAAGAAATGGCTCTCATCAAACCGGAGAGTAATGAAATAGAGAAAGAGATACAGAAGGAGAACGATGATGAGAATCTACCAATAGTTGAGATTGAAGTGAAGGATGAAAATAATGATAATGAAATATATCTAGATGAATATTTAGATTATGATTCGGAAGATGATAAGAAGTTGAGTGAAGTGTTTGTGAAGCCAAAGACGAAGGTGAAAAAAAAGAAGTTCAAGTCAGAGAAGGGGAGGGTGAAGAAGAGAGCGAGGAAATGTGAAGATGATGACAATCCAACTGCAGCTATGGATAAGTATGTATTTTTTTTTATGTAATTGAATTGACCAATAGCTTCCGTGCAGCTGATTGTACGAAATAGAAATTTTCCAGGTTGTTTGTAAGAAATTGCTGTTAGTGATGAGACCGTTTGTTTAACTTTTTATCATATTTTATTGTTCTTTGTTTGTCCTGTATGCAATAAAGAGTTATTAAAAATATACAAATAAACTCAATACAAGCACTTTTGAATAGTCATATTTTTTATTCTACCCATCAGCTGGAATTTCAGCTGAATGAGTGGTAAAACGCCTCACGTATGACACGTGCCATTACCAGTGCCGTAACCATATATATAGGGGCCATTCATTGATCACTTGAGGCTTGAAGGGAGGGGGGGGGGGTTGACAAAAATCACGAAATATCACAAGGGGCGACAAGGTTTAGTAATATATCACGTGTATTTATTTTATGCCAATCAAAAACAATCTGCAACCTTTCTGTCTAGGTACTAAAATACACGTGATGATAAACCTCACCACGTATCACCACGGGGGAGCAGGGGTTGAAAATGCTTGAAAAAAAATCACGTGATTAATTCACGGCCCCATATCGTAATCTTATATATAAAATTCACACACAGTTCTCGTTCCCATACTCCTTCGAAACGGCTTGACCGATTCTCATGAAATTTTGTGAGCGTATTGAGTAGGTCTGAGAATCGGCCAACATCTATTTCTCATCCCCCTAAATGTTAGGGGTAGTCCTCCCCTATTTTTTTTTTATTTTATCGCAAAACAACGTTCGCCGGGACAGCTAGTATACTAAATTTAAATATTATTTTTATTTTAGGTACAAAAACTCAGATGTGAAACGTAGAAAAGCAAGCGACGGCCTCGACGAAACTCTATTCACAGTTATAAAACTGACTTACGACGAACAGATCGCTGAAATTCAGAAGCGCCAGGAATCCTCCACTTACAAGAACGCGCCGTACAAATGTACAGTTTGTTACAGGGGCTTCCAAATACAGGACAGATATGACGCGCACGTGATACGGCATAGTGATGTAAGTTTGATTGTTATTATCATCATCAGTCATCATCATCATCAGCGCACGTGATACAGCATAGTGATGTAAGTTTGATTGTTATTATCATCATCAGTCATCATCATCATCAGCGCCAGTGATACGGCATAGTGATGTAAGTTTGATTGTTATTATCATCATCAGTCATCATCATCATCGTGACGACCCTGGTGGTCCAGCGGTTTAGGACATTGCTTTACTTCCAGTCGCAATTTCGATTCCTCTCTCGAAGTAAACATTTGTATTCGTGAGTTTGTATTGGTCTGGGTTTATATATATTATTACTAGCTGTGCCCGGTTTCACCCGCGTGACATTTAATAATAATAATAATAATTTATTTGCTTAAAAAACACAGTATAAAAGATGGTAATTAAAACTTAGTATCATGTGTTTTGCCATAGTAATGGCATGCAAAATAGTATTGTTTAAAATTATACATAATTAACTATACAGAAAGAAATAATAATAATAATTATAATAATAGTTAAATAGGATCTCTGTAGTCGGTTTTTAGCCTAGCCTATATGTTATTCTTATGTATACACTATATAACTATAAAGTTACATCAAAATCCGTTTAGTAGTTTTTGTATGAAAGTGTAACAAACATCCAATCATATTCACAAACTTTCGCGGTTATAATATTAACTAACTACTCGTCCCGGCTTCGCCCGAGTGTATATGTATTATACATACAAACCTTTCTCTTAAATCACTATATCTGTTAAAAACAACTGCTTCTAAAATCCGTTGCGTAATTTTATAATTAAATTTAAGCATACACAGGGACAGACAGCGACAGCGACTTTGTTTTATTTATACTACTGTTTAGCGACTTTATTTATAACTAGCTTTTGCCCGCGGCTTCACTCGCGTTAATTTATCCCCTTAGGGGTGGATGGTTAATTTATCAAAAAACTTTCTTAGGGGATGCCTACAACATAGTAGCTTTATGCATACAAAGTCTCAGCCCGATCGGTTTAAAGTGGACAAGGTTTTATACAAACTTTCAACCCTTATTATATCCCTTTGGGGGTAGAATTGATCAAAATCCTTTCTTAGGGGATGCCTACAACATAGTAGCTTTATGCATACAAAATCTCAGCCCGATCGGTTTATAATGGACAAAGTTTCATACAAACTTTCAACCCTTATTATATCCCTTTGGGGGTAGAATTGATCAAAATCCTTTCTTAGGGGATGCCTACAACATAGTAGCTTTATGCATACAAAATCTCAGCCCGATCGGTTTAAAATTGACAAAGTTTCATACAAACTTTCATCCCTTATTATATCTCTTTGGTGGTAGAATTGATCAAAATCCTTTATTAGCGGATGCCTACGTCATAACATCTACCTGCATGCCAAATTTTAGCCCGATCCGTCCAGTGGTTTGGGCTGTGCGTTGATAGATCACTATGTCAGTCACCTTTAAGTTATATATATTTAGATGTATACGTAATGATGAGATAAAAAATAACTGTATTCTGCCTAAATGAATTTAAAAAATCTGTATTTATGTAATCACATACAAGCTCATTTGAATAAGACCTGAGATTCTTGTCAGTTCTTCTCATCTCGAAAGCACTCCAAATTGACTGTAGAGTTGACATATCATAAGAGTCTGTAATAGAACGAATAAAGATATTTTGATTGATAGCAAATTTTTTTTTTCAGGCAAGTGGTGCTTTTGAATGCTTTATATGCAAGAGTCGACTGAAAACAGCCCGAGCGCTTCGGAAGCACCTCACTGCACAGCACACAGAGAAGTTCAGTTGTAATGGATGTCCATTTGTCACAAGAAACAGGTAATTATATAGTAAAGTCGCGGGTTCGATACCTCGCACAGTACAATTATTTGTATTCATGAGTATGATTGTTTGTATTGGTCTGAGTGCTTGCTATGTATTTTTATTTATGGATGATAATGGAATGATGCAGTGGGAACCGCTTAGAGATCAACCTGACATATATTTTTAGCAATGGGTTTATAAATCCACATTACTATCAATGATCCTGATATGACGTAGTTTTTTTTTATGGATGATAATATAATGATGCACCTGCCTGTGCTAATGGTTTACGCTGGCGGGGCACCAGTGGAGGATGATAAGACAAGCGTGAGTTCAGGTAAGTTAGGCCATCGAGACAAATTCACCAAGAATTTAACATGATGGTTTCCGGGGGTAAAGTGTAGATGTCAAACTGATACACCGCCTTACTTCCGATGGTCGCGGGTTCGATTCCTCGCATGGCACAAACATTTGTATTCATGAGTATGATTGTATCAGTCTGGGTGTTTGATATGTATAATATGTATGTATTTATAAAATTTTATTTTATTTGTTAGGATTGATGATGTTGATATGATAGTGATGTACTGATGACGTCGACGTGATGGTGATGGTGATGTACTGATGATGTTGCAGGGGCGTGGCACGCGAGCACGAGAAGTGGCACGCCGGCACGCGCTACCAGTGTCCGCACTGTCCCAGTGAATTTGAGTTAGTACAAATTTGAGTTATCTATATATCTATTTAAAAAACTGCTTCCAAAATCCGTTGCATAGTTTTAAAGATAGAAAGCATACGTACGGACAGACAGACAGTGACAGCGACTTTGTTTTATTTATACTAATATTTAGCGACTTTATTTATAACTAGCTTTTACACGCGGCTTCGATCGCGTTAATTTATCCTCTTATGGGTGGAATTTATCAACCTACGTCATAGTAGCTTTATGCATGCAACGTCTCAGCTCGATCAGTTTATAATGGACAAAGTTTCATACAAACTTTCAACCCCTATTATATCCCTTTGGTGGTAGAATTGATCAAAATCCTTTCTTAGCGGATGCCTACGTCATAACATCTACCTGCATGCCAAATTTCAGCCCGATCCGTACAGTTAGGCTGTGTGTTGATAGATCACTATGTCAGTCACCTTTGAGTTATATATATTTAGATTTATAATATGTAATGATGAGATAAAAAATAACTATATTCTCCCTAAATATACCTGTTAGTACCAACTGAGTTATCTATATACAAATAAATAAAATTGATGTGTCTGTGAAATGCCTGGATTGACACAGTCTCGGACAGTGCGGTTTCAGAGGAGCTTCCTCCCGCGTACACTTAGATTGTGGAATGAACTACCTGCCGAGGTTTTCTCGAGAGACTACAGCATGGGGTTTTTCAAGAAGGGTATATTAAGGTTTCTTAATGGTCGGGAACGCGTATGTGACACTCCTGGTGTTTCAGGCGTCCACGGCTACGGTAACCGTTTACCATCAGATGGGCCGTATGCTTGTTAGCCACCTAAGTGGTATAAAAAAAAACCAATACACGCCCTACAGGGGATAGGGTATTGTTAGTAATGTGGACTGATGATCCCATTGCTAGCAATGTACCATATCAGATCGACCTCCACGCGGTTCCCCCTGGATACCATCGTGATACATTCCCGGTGAATTTGTCACGTTGGGCTAACTGATCTGACTTCATGTTCATCCTATCATCCTCCACTGGTGCCCCGCCAGCGTAAACCGTTAGCGCAAACGGGGCACCATTACATTATCATCCTTTAAAAAAAACACGTCCTGCATCTTGAAAAAGATCTACTTATTAGTCGGGCATATCTATCTGTCTCGCTCCCTCATGGCAAACATGTCCACTATCCATCTCTCTCATCATTTTCCCATGAAATTAAGAATTACCAAGAGCTCGTGCGAATAAAAAACATTTGCACCGAGTAAAAATCGGGGTACTTGAGGTTTTAATTTTTTTACTTTTTTTTTATACGCAACTAGTTGAACGATGCCGAGTAATAATGAAACTACCTTCTTTTAATATTAAATATCAGATTTTTCAACAATATCGATGTGAACCCCAACAATAGATAAATAGATAAATTCTTTATTCACAATTACAGACACATAACATACATGAGATACAGAAAAAACACGAATTAATAAAAGAAATGTAGGTGACTTTATGTGCCGCAAAAGTGAAAAGACAACCAACTCAGCATAAAGCTACTATTAAAAATCATCGAGAAAATTAAATAATTTCTTTTTAATAATGGGCTTATCATTATTAAAAAGAAATTATTTAATTTTCTCTTGAGTCACCAAAATGAGTTATAACTGTATTGCATTATATTAGTACAGTGGACCCGCTGTAATCCGGCCCCTGTCTAATCCGGCCCCCCTTGTAATTCGACATTATCTATTATTTGTTATTGAATATTACTTTGACAATATACTTCAGAGTGCATATACATACATACATATATAACATAGAATCTTAATCCGACAAATACGGATCTGCGATGCAAAATGTTTGTCGGATAACCGGGGGTCCACTGTATATGTTATAATTTGTCGGATTACAAGGTACTCTTTTGTAAAAAAATTCGGACTATAAGGGGTCTTAGGCAGTACTATATAATCCGACAAATTCGATAGTCCGACACTGCCCTGCAAAATGATTGTCGGACTACCGGGGGTCCACTGTATTATATTTAGCATTAATGTATAACATTATATAATATCAGGTATACTATATATATTTAATTTTGAACTTTCGTGTTTAATATACATTATTTAAATTATTAACCGGATCTTAACACGAATAATTTTATGGCAAATAAAGGTATTTACCTCTCTCGACGTTTCGACTAGGTTGCACTATACTATATATATTATTATATGTATATATTTATTTGCATTTCATATATATTATATAATATTTATTAGTAATCTTGTGATTGTTTATTGACATAACTGGCCTACAACGCTTTCTGTATACCTAGAGGTTAGCTGGCGGAGAATGCTATACGACATTAAACTTGCCTTTGTACAAGTTTACAAATTATATTGTGCATTAAAGAATAAATAGAAAAATTGTTTATTTGTCTACAGTAAGCTAACTACATACATGGGTCACATACGCATCAAACACGTGTCGGATTTCGTGTGTGAACTGTGCGGGTACACGTTTGTGAGTAAAAAGGGCATAGATGTACACAAGAGGAAGAAACACCGAGTGGCCAGAGACAAGCCGGTATGTTTTTTTCTATACCAGTAATAGCATTAAATAATACATACAGCCCTAAAGTTACACCCTTCTATTACAAACCCTTATTTTTCAATAATGTTTTGATTTTACGGCATCACGTTTGCGGTTTATAAATATTTATATATTTGAGTGTATAAATTCTTTCTCTATATTTCTTCAGCTAATATTAGTAGGTATAGATTTTATAAAATATCATATATTATACTACAGGTGCCATTGGAAGGTCCGTACTGCGCCGTTTGTGATGTAACTTTTGTGTCTGAAGAGGCGCACTCGAGGCATTTGAAGTTATCATCGAAGCACAGCAGCGACAATGATCCGTAAGTGGTATTCAAAAGCGGAAGGTTCTCCATTCGACTGTTTTACATTTATTTTAAGCGATGTGGTTTTTATCTTTATACCCAATAAGGGTTCGATTCCTCGCACGGTGTAAACATTTGTATTCATGAGAATGTTTGTTTGTATCGGTCTGGTTGTTTTCTATGTATATATTTACAAAAAAAAGTATCTAAATATTTATATCAGTCATCTAGTACCCATAACACAAGCTCTGCTTAGTTCTTGACTAGATGGTGCTATGCGAATTGTCCAGGATTTTAAGTTTTTTTTTTGTTTATTGAATTGTTACAATGTATTAATATATGTTGTCTGGACATTTAAGTGAGCATGACTGACTCATGATACTAATATCTGTATGTATGTCTGTAACGCAATGACGGGTGAGCAAGCAGCAATTACTGCACTCAACCATATTATGGGGACCCCGATGTCCCCTTCACTCCACTTGCCTGAATAATAAATTTACAATAAAATACCAAAGGATATATTGAAATTACCCTTAAATGCAAAACATTTGTTAAATCATATTTACTGAGCAAAGCCTATTACTCACTAAACAATTACTTGAATGACGAGCGTGCATGGCATTAGTCGTTCATGTACGGGATTTTCATTTAATGTTAGACATAGACACTTATATAAATATACATTGTAAATAAACTGGCTTTTAAAAAAGTGTAAAAGTAATTCAATTGAGTTTCTTACCAGCTCTTCTCAATTGAAGTTCGGTATATAGATCTAATTGGGATCCAAAACAAAAATATAATTAAAACCTTGACGTTCAAAAGCGGCTAAAATGTTCTACATGAATAAATAATTTTTGAATTTGAATTTGAATATTTAAGTGAGCATGACTGGTTCATATTTGTCTACAATACAAATAATAAATACACTATATTTCAGGAACCGCATCAGGAACGACTCGCAAAGCAAGAGTTCGAAGTACGGCCGCGTGGTCCGGCATATAGAGCGGAGGCCCGTCATACACCCGCGCGTTGATGGTGACCGAGAGAGGCAAGACTGCGCCGGGCCAGTCACCTGCGAACAGGTACATATAATATATACGTATAAATAAAATTGGAGTGTCTGTTTGTAATATTGAAATGACCGTTTTTTACTACATGCATATGAATATAAATACGGTACATACACCAAAATAACAAATTTTTGTCTGTCTGTTTGTTTCGGCTAATCCCTGAAATGGCTGGACCGATTTTGACGGGACTTTCATTGGCAGGTAGCTGATGTAATAAGGAGTAACTTGGCTACTTTTATTTTAGAAAAATAGAGTTAAATCCCACGCGGACGAAGTCGCAGGTACAGCTAGTATATGTATATATTATAATTAGCACAGTCAGGGAAAGGTAATAATCTACATTATAGATATAGATAGACATAGATTATACAACCACTTATACCAGGTCTTGTCTATCTTGCTACCTCTGGTCGAGTTTGGTATCTTGGACACTTTAACCGCGTAGTCATTCACGTCTCTGGATATGGTCATACCAGCGTAAATGACTTACCTGACTGAATGAAAATATGGTCGAGCGCTGTGATGGCTGGCTCATCCGTCATACTCGTGAACGGGTGCTGCTTGTAGGGACTGGTCTGCTCTAATCACTATGACTTTCCTCTTATTAATTGTTTAACCAGTTGTTGTGTATTAAATATTTATTCTATTTTATTATTTAATTGAATTAGTGCTAGTTCGGTAGTTTGTATTCACACACTTAAACTTAAATTGTAATTAAGAATAAAATTACATATTTAAAAGAGCAACACACAAGTTTCTTGCTCGTTCTTCTTGTGATGAGACAGCTTTTCGAATGAGCGGTAGATTAAAAAAATGTAATGACTATTCAAAAGTGCTTCAATGTAAGTTTATTTGAATAAATGATTTTCTATTCTATTCTGTTCTCTCACTATTTGCACGACAGGAATTACTGTGAAATGAAATGAAATAATTTATTTGCTTTTTCTTATATATAAAATTCTCGTGTCACAGTTTTCGTGTCCCATACTTCTCCGAAACGGCTTGACCGATTCTCATGAAATTTTGTGAGCGTATTGAGTAGGTCTGAGAATCGGCCAACATCTATTGTCACAGTAGACGAATTAGTCGTTGAAGTTGCTTCAGCAGCAACAGACCACAGTCACATTTGACCAAATCGTCTACGTCGTGTTTGAGAAAGTCCAACAGGTGGCCTGTGGCCATATTTTATGGTATGCGGAATATATCGTTTGTGAATTCTAATATCATACAATGTCACAATATGATAGCTAAAAAGGAAAAACCTCTAGGTTAAAGATATTATATGAAAAAATTTAGCACAGAACTGGTAATACCTTGGATGGAGAAAAGGTTAGAAGCTCCTACTCTTAAAAGACATGTCCCTGCAAATATTCAAGAGTTTGTACCGAAAAATGATTAAAATATCATTTTTTGGTAGCAACTGTTCAATATTATCTATATTAATGAAGAACCAGTTATCAAAAAGAAGAGATATTGTATACATTGTCCGTCAAAAATAATAAGGATGTCGAAAATTACATGTTGTAAATGCAACAAAAGCATTTGTGGCGAACAAAAAAGTGATGTATGTAAAACCTGTATCTAAATGTGATTTGAACATAAAACTTGTTGATTTTTTATGTTAAATGATTAATTAGTAATTAATCTTTAATATTAAGTCAAAACAAAAATGTGATTTCATACTAAGATAAAATAATTACGCAATAAAGTAAGACATAATAATTTTAGTTAATTTGTAAGATTTGTAAGTTTACAGAGTTTAGTTTTTATTTTTAAAGTACATATTTACTTCTGATTACAATTTTGGTTTTATTTGTAGTAGGAAACCCAAAACTAATTATACGATCACTTTTAAAAAGTTAATATAAGGAAACTTGTCCAATAGGATCTTGTTAATATCAATACGTCTCAGAGACGTATTATTATCTTTACCGTAGGTCAAAATAAGATTATCTTTCTAGGAAGATTTTTGTACACTTTGATTGCCATACAGTATACATTTCTCTTATATAAGTCTAATCGACACATTGGTGTGTATAGTCGTAGTCGTGTATATAATCATTCGGTCTCGTTACTCGCAGTGTTGTGTCTGTTAATTTCTTAAAATAGTCAGGATGTTCCCTTACAAATATACAAATGTCTTTAATATACATACATGGCAATGGAAGCATGAAGGGATCTCTGTATGAAGAATTTAAATTGTAACTGTGGATAATAAATAAAAATTTTTTTTTTCGGACTACTCTAATTCTGTTGGCCTTTACAGCTTCACCGGACGTTAAGGGGCGAGTGCAGATGGCACTCCAAACCCGCGGAAGGACTTATGGAGCGGCTGAAGGCCAACTCCTGCCTGATGGATACGACTTTAGTCTGAGGGCACCACTTGGGGTTCGAACCTCGGCTCAGGCCGTCGTAATTTCGATCCCCGTTTGAATTGGACGGAATATCGATCGGAGGGGTTAAACATTATTGTTATTTATCAATTTACAAGTGCGGAGTCCAGCTACGCGATTTAAGATTGTACGCGCAACACTTCCGGCGAGCGCACCCGGACAAGAATCGAACCAAGTACCCCGCGATGAAGACGCCCTGCATGTGCGAACAGTGCGGCAGAATATTTCAGGTACGTTCTTGTTGAGACAATAGAACCTTCATCCCCTATTTCACCCCCTTCTATACTACATATGTGCGCTGTAGTATGGTGCGGGGGACAGTTTCATTAACGTTTCGTTTCACTCTTAAATGTTGCCGCGATTAAGAAATTATGACTTAGTATTTCAGCTGTACCACATCTATACATATAAATAAAATTGGAGTGTCTTTTACTACATGCATTTGAATATAATTACGGTACATACACCAAATTAACATTTTTTACCATTTTTGTCTGTCTATCTGTCTGTTTGTTCCGGCTAATCTCTAAAATGGCTGGATCGATTCTGACGTGACTTTTTTTAGCAGGTAGCTGATGTAATAAGGAGTATCTTAAGCTACTTTTATTTTAGAAAAATAAAGATAGATTCCACGCGGACGAAGTCGCGGGAACAGCTTTTTCGTAATATATTAAATCCTTATAACTGTATTAACTTAAATGTAGCAATTGTTAAATGTAAAATTTTTGCCATGCACAACCACATTGTGGAAATACCTTCCAGCTATGGACAAATCACCTTCTACTTTCAGAGCATGGCTCTCCTGAAAGACCACATGTGGGTGCACACGGGAGAGAAGAGGTTCAAGTGCGACCGCTGCGATAAAAGCTTCACGCAGAAGACGAACCTGGTGTTCCACCTGCGTGTCCACAGCGCCACCCGCCCCACCTACGAATGTCCGCTGTGCGGGAAACACTTCGCCTTCTTCAACAACAGAAGACGGCACATGTTTGTAAGTCTACCCACATTCTATAAAATACCATTCAACAACCGGAGACAGACCACACAAGGAAAAAAGAACAACCGGAGACGAGTCTACCCACATTCTACTAAACAATGTTCTTCGACAACTGCAGATTGCACATGTTTGTAAGTTTACCCACATTTTACACATTCTACAAAACAATGTTCTTCTAGAATTTTCTTCGACAACTGGATACGACGGATGGCACCTAGACCGATACAAACAATCATACTCATGAATACAAATGTTTGTATCTTGTGAGGAATCGAACCCGCGATCATCGGAAGTAAAGTGGAGTCCTAATAGTAGAGTATCGATGCCATCTAATATATAATGCTGAAAATGCTAGTGTTTTTTATTTAACTTTAGTCTGAGGCTACCGCTAGCTAGGTTCAAACTTTGGTTCGGGCCGTCGTAATTGAAATGTCGTGATCGTTTTATTGGACGGGGGATCGATCGGGGGGCGCCGATCGCTTCGTATGGCGTGGTCGAGGTCGTCGCCATCCTCGGCGCGGACGGTGTCGTGTGCTCGTGTGATATTCGTAGCACCGTTCATGCGTATAGGCGACGCTCACAGTTTACTACCGGCCGGTCGGCTATTCTGATAACATGTAATGTGTTCGTCAGATCCACACGGGGCTGAAGCCGTTCAAGTGCGAGACGTGCGGCAAGTGCTTCACGACGGCGGGCGAGCAGCGCGCGCACGTGGACCACGTGCACCTCAAGAAGCCCTGGCCCAAGCGAGCCCGGGGACCGCGCCCCCACCACGACCACGACCACTCCGCCGCCGCCTGGCAGAAGTGCGCGCTACTGGAGGACTAGCACCAGCGCCGCCGCTCTACTCTCACTACAGAATGAGTAGTGACCTAAAAGAACTAGTACTCAAGTCTCCAGGCCCGTGTATGCATATGTCGAACTGACCCGTTAGAAGGTACAGTGACGTACAAAAATAGTCCCCAATAATAGCTGTGTAAATTAATTAAGAATAAGTAGTGATCTAAAAAACGAATACTCAAGCCGAGAGAAGAAAGAATTTTCCATAGAACGAGAGGAATTTTGTTCTGCTGTTTTCCTTGACATTCAGCAGGCATTTGATAAGGTGTAGCACGAATGGCTTCTCTATAAAATAGAGTCTTTCCCATTCTTTCTTTTAGCTCTCAAAGTCCTATTTACATGATAAGATCTTCCAAGTAAATGAAGAGGATGCCTGCTCAAGCTCTATGAAATCGGAGTGGGTGTACTGCAAGGATCTGTGCTTGGACCATATCTCTACCTTGTTTACTGCTGATATGCCGATGACTAATGTCACGACAGCTGCATTCGCAGATGATATAGCTATTTTAAACAGCTATGCAAAGCCCGAGTTAGCTACTGCGACATTGCAAGCACAACTTGAGAAAATAGACATTTGGATAAGAAATGGAGACTTAAATTACACTAAATCTACAGACTCACATTGTCATCTGCCAACAAATCCGATTATAGTAAACATACTGATTGCAGATGAACAACGAACAAAAAAAGATAGTTAAAATTGATTTGTCTATGTATAATCATAAAACAGCTAGTAATCATACACAATTAAACATTCCAAATACATATTGTTGTAATTTTAGTGTACTCATAACTCTGTGTATTCTAACAAAAGTTGACTAAAATGAATATACGCAGAAATAACGCTGGACAACGGCACCAGTAAAAGATAAGATGCGCATGAGGTCAGGTCAGTTGTCCCATCCTGGTAAATTCATGGTGAATTTCCAGGGGTACCACTTGGAGGTCAACCAGGCATGGTACATTGCTAACAATAGGGTTATTAGTCCACATTACTAACAATACCCTTCACCCAATCTACAAGGTTAGAGAGCTTTTATGTCTTCGTACAACATTAAGTGTTTTAGGTTGGCAACCCTGATCCTTGGTTATGTCGATAAAGATCTCAATATGAAAACTACTTGTAATGGCAATACTGTCTATAAATTAGTTGTGTGCGTGTGCATTGCATGTGTGTGTTAGTGAACTTTTTTTGTGAGATATTTCATATAAAAATACTTTATTTTGTATATGAATTTTAGCTGTTTTGTTTAAATAGTAAATTACTTTGACTAGGGGCATATTACATTATAAATTATAGCAGTTCATTATAAACTGAATATCTATACATATAAGTAAAATTGGAAGCTCTGTAGTATTAAAAACGGTTATTTCAATATTATAATATTGAAATAACCGTTTTTTAACTACATACATGAGTATAAAAACGGTACATACACCAAAATAACGTCTTACTATCTTTGTCTGTTTGTTCCGGCTGAAATGATTATAACTATTTTAACGGTACTTTTTTGGACAGGTAGCTGATGTAATAAGGAGTAACTTGGCTACTTTTATTTTAGAAAAATAAAGTTAAATTCCACGCGGATGAAACAGCCAGACAGAGCCGTCTTTCACTTATTAGAGGCTCTGGGGACCTTAGGATAATGGGGGGGCCCCATTATCCCAAGGTCCCCAGACCAAGTAATAAAGTACTATTTAGTTAGAATAGTCAATGTCATTTTCATTTTTATTATGACCAAGTAATAAAGTACTATTTAGTTAGAATAGTCAATGTCATTTTTAAACATGGCTCTTTAGAGATGTATATGGGGATGCCCTACCTTAAAAACAAACCAGAAACCAAAACCAACAAAATATTTTAAAAAGGTGTTCTGCGATGAGAGGTTTAAGTTCTTACTAGACCTTTACACAAAATAATAATAAAACCGAACAAATTGACCATAGTCGGTAAGCATTTGTTAAGACTGATTTTCAGGCGAGAGTAGAGTAGCTACCGGTTATCGTTTGGTAATGGAGTAGGGACTAGACTAGACTAGGGGACCCCAATCTATCGTGGGGCCCTGGGCACGTGCCCATTGAGAAACGGGGCCCATGAAATTTAGGTCTCATTCGGTCAAGCAATTATCTGATCTCTCTAAAATCACTTCGGTCAATAAAAATAATGTTTTCAGAATGTAGACTGTAATACATAATAAAATGTTATGTTATACAAAACATATATACACCTATTGCAATAATTAATGTAAGTTTAATTATAAATAATAAAATGTAAATATCATAAAGTTATATATAGGTAGCAATATTTATTTCCAGTAGTGATTTGTAGGTATGTGATAAATTTATTAATTTTAATATTACAAAACATCGATCGATTAATCAAGTCTTTAAATTAAGTTTTTAAGTGAAACTTCTATATAGACAAGACGCTTTTTTGTAACCGAATAATCCTAATATACCCATTAGAATTTTTGTGATGAGACACCTTTCCGAATTAGCGGTAGGTTGAAAAATGTGATGACTGTTCAAAAGTTTCAATGTAAAACTTCAATGTAAATTTATTTGAATTATCTTTCTATTCGGTCACGAAAAAGCGTTACCGACGCGTGGAGCGATGATAATGAAATGGTACACCTGACTGCGCTAACGAAAAGTCAGGTTAGTTAGCCCATTGTGATAAATTCACTAGTAATTTATCACGTTGGTTGGTTGGTACGAACCGCGTAGAGATCAACCTGACATATATTATTGGCAATGGGTTTATAAGTCCACACTAACAATCCCTCGAATGGATGATGTAAGTTGCAGTTATATAATGTGATCCAGCACTCTTTTTTTATACTTGTGGCTCTTGTTTTTTAGAGGTTACGGAAAAACAAACAATTTGAGTTCTGGATTATAAATTACGGTCATTCACAATCGAATGACCGATTATTTAATGAAATAATCAACTTGTTACTGATAAAAATAATCGATATTTTAATAAATCGGCCTTTATGCTGAATGAGACATTTCTTAATGAATTGTAGCAATTTTTTATTCAATAAAAAATCTTATTTGGTAGCAAAATAATTGATTTTTAATAAATCTATTTTGTATACATAATGTCACATTTCTAAGTTATAGGTATTATTGGAGTAGTGAGGGCAGCAGCCGTGGGTCTGATTTTGTTTTGCGAGTTCTAAAATCTAATTTGTATTGTAAATTGAAATAGGTCGACTCTGATTAACGATTATACAACGGAATTATATACAAAATTGTGTTTTATTTATTTCATATTTTGTTTATTAACCAATGTAAAAAACTACATATATTTTATTTCCTCATGATATACAGTAATTATATTTATACAATTTCAATAAAATTCTAGTAATTAAATATATATGTACACATACATAAATTTCGGCCTTTAGTATATGTAGAAAAGAGATGGAAACATATGTTGTCTCTATCGCACACTGATGGCATCATGTTGATATTAAGTTATAAATGGTGAGTGAAAATAATGGTGTGTGTGAGGAGTTCCCCTTTCAGTTAACTGTAGAGAAGATATACATCCATCCGTCTGTCTGTCTTATGCTTCCCCTTGTTGTTTCTGCCATGGTTTCTTTAAGTGCACAAGATATATGTACAGCTTTTCACTCACGTTTTTAATCTCTTTCCGCAATGCTCACATTATAAGGGTCTTACACCAGTGTGGATCTGAAAATATACACATTTTCTTATTTTAGGATTGCACCTGTGACCTTCGGAAGGTGGTATGCTAAACTGCTAGACCTTAATAATAACCCAGGACAATTCACACAGTGCCATCTAATCCCAAGCTAAGCAGAGATTGTGTTATGGGTATTAGACAAGTGATATCATTACATAGATATTTATTTTTTGTAAATAAATACATATTATACATAGAAAACACCCAGCCAGATACAAACAATCATATTTTTTAATATAACGGTTTGCAACGTGCGAGGAATCGTACCCTCGACCATGGGAAATAAGCAGTATGCTAAACTGCTAGACCACCGAGGCTGATGAAGTACATAGAGTAACTACCTGATAGATACAAAAGTTACAGAGATCTTCATCATCCTCCACTGGTGCCCCGCCAGCTTAAACCGTTAGCGCAGGCGGGTGACCCATACCATTCATTTATTAAAAAAAACTACAGGGTTGGCAAACTAAAAATTGAATTAAAACAAGAAAAAAAATATTTTACTTCTCTCAAAACAACCCTATCCTAGGGATCCAAGATATATCCGATTCATTTCCTGATTATGTCTATTTTTAATGCACTTTAGAGTAAATTTTACTTACCTGTAACATGGTACGTTAGGTTTTCTTTTTAAAGTTATACTATATTTTCTCGACGTATTAATTTATTGCATAAATAAAATTTAATATAGGTATTTATTTATGCAAACAAAATTAAAAATCCAATAAAATAATAACAGAAAATACAGTTTGTTTTGAATTTTTACGCAGCTTCCATAAGTCACAATACTGTCAGTTTAAGAATTTGTCAATTCAGTCTGTTTTAAAGGCGGTTATACATGATCGAATTTTTATCTGGTTCTCTCGAATTAAAATTATAAGAATTTTATATTTTACATTAAATAAGAAATACGAATCAAAGGCAGTGATTTTTCATACACGGAAGCAACTTGTCAAAATAAAATAAATTCGGCAAGAACAGTTTCGTCATCTAGTCACACAAGAATTTCTAAACGTTGACATTTAAGGAAACATCGAGTTTCAATTTATTCTTTTACTATTCTTTTATGTGTGAAAAAAGTTAACGTCTATATAATCTCTGCCGTAGAAAAAAATAAAGAGAAAGCAGTATGTATTTTTTTTAAATGTTGGCACTTGAAATTTTGGCGGGAACGGTTACAAAAAAAGTAAAGACGTTTCATTTGGCGCTTTTTTGGTGCTGCAACAGAACAGTGATTTGGGAGAAATCAATAATTCAAAAAGGTAAACAGAATCTAATAATTTATTTTACTTACATAATAAATAGGTACATGTAGTATTTTACTTATATCTCTATTAACCTCGCATACATACATTCTTGACAGTTTAAAAACTATTCAAATAATTTTACTTTTGGCTTCAGTTAAAGTAAGGAAGAAGGTATGTCCATGAATTACAAGACTATAATTTAAACGTTTGTGTATTACATATAAATATTGATTTACGTCGTTTTATACAATTGTTTTCATTCTTAAGGTAAACGAGAATGGACTTTAATGTTGTCTTAGTCTCCTTCAATTTTGGCGGCAAATGACTTGTTTTGTAACTATTTTAATGTATTTTGATGGACTGTGGTACCCGCCTGCGCTAAAAGTATACGCTGGAGGGGGAGTTAATAATAACAAGTTACCCCTTTGCTTCAGTTAAATATCGGTTTTTTTTATGGATGATAATTTAATTACACCCGCCTGCGCTAACGGTTTACGCTGGCGGGGCATTACGATAAGATGAGCATGATAACCATTTACCATCAGTTGGGCCGTATGCAATTGTTTTCATTAGTAGTATAAAAAAAAAAATGAGCAGGGTCAGTGAATGTTGTCTATAAAATTCACCAAGAATTCACCACGATGGTTTCTAAATGACCGCGTTTTGTAACTTTTTGGATGATAATGGAATGATACACCCGCCTGCGCTAACGGTTTATGCTGGCGGGGCACCAGTGGAGGATGATAAGTTGAGCATGAGGTCAGGTCAGTAAGCCCATTTTCAAAATTCACCAACAACACGATGGTTTCTAAGGGGAACCGCGTGGAGGTCAACCTTTTTTGGATGATAATGGAATGATACACCCGCCTGCGCTAACGGTTTACGCTGGCGGGGCACCAGTGGAGGATGATAAGATGAGCATTATGTCAGGTCAGTTAGCCCATCGTGACAAGCTCACCAGGAATTTGTCACGATGGTTTCCAGGGGGAACCGCGTGGAGGTCAACCTGACATGATACATTGCTAGCAATGGGGTTATCAATCCGTTACTAACAATCCCCTTTCCCCCCCATGGAGGTCAACCCGACATAGTACCAGTACATTGCTAGCAATGGACTCATAGCATGGTTGGATGGTCTCTTGATATTGACTTCCGATGGTCGCGGCTTCGATTCCTCGCACGATGCAACATTTATATTCATGAGTACGTTAAAAAAAAATTACTAGTGGTCGCCCGGTTGTCGAAATTTGGGACTAGATGGCGCTGGATTTATTTATCCGTGATATTGTACTACTGTGATTTTTATACTTTTCATTTTTAGTTTACTTTTTTTATTTACCTGGCAGGCATGAGTCGTTTCAACTTGCGTAAGAAACCTCGGATCAGCTACTATGAACCGGACGAACCTCATTTAGACGAATATGTGTGTAAGTATTTTGTGTTTTAACTAAGAATATCACGCGGCGCTGCTCGCATGAATATGGGTAAAGATTGTAGAAAGAAACAAAAATATATGTACCTATTTATAAACACTATTATATTATTATTTTACAAATATATGACGCTATACTTATTTCTTTATGTTTACTCTAAACCAGAGGGTCCCAGACATTTTTGTGTCATAGACTCTTTGCCATATTTTTCAGTTTTGGGTAGACCTCTATTATTTGCTGGTATTGATTTTTTTAAATTTCTAATTGTAGTAAAGTTTAGTGTTAAAAACATAAAGTAAAAACAAATAGATGACCGCTATAGTAGACCCCTTGCAGTTTGTCATAGACCCCTGGGGGTACAGACTACTTTGGGAATTGGCTCTAAACCTTGTTCTGGAGATGAGCGCAAATAACTGTAATACAGTTTTGAATTAACTTATGTAGTTGTGTACGATGTTATAGTTGCAATTTTTCTGAGTTTAAATAAATTCTTTAATTTATGTATTGTGTAATTGATGTATTTATGTATTGACGACCTCGGTGGTCTAGCGGTCTAGCACACCGCTTTATGTCCGATGGTCGCGGGTTCGATTCCTCGCACGGCACAAACATTTGTTTTCATGAGTATGATTGTTTGTATCGGTCTAGGTATTTTCTATGTATAATACGTATGTATTTACGAAAAAAATATATATCTATGTATTTTTATCAGTTGTCTAGTACCCATAACACAAACTTTAGCTGGCTTAACTTGGGTCTAGATGGCGCTGTGTGAATTGTCCTGATATTATTTGTAAATATCATATTCCCAAACATAATCCTTATTCCTAATCAAAAATATTTCCGTTACTAGGCTTAAATAAATGACGTTTCCCCGTTTTGTTTTTGGCAAAATACTCTACAATAGGGGTGAAAGCCATACTCGAAGAAAAAAATATATTTGTTTATGACAAAAAATTTGGCCTTTGGCCTCATCACTTGTTCAAATATGAAGAAGTTTAAACGTAGACTAGGCTGTACAGTCTAAGGATCTTTGCCTGTTCCATCACTGAAAAGGAGATAGATGAATATGGGAAAAAACATATTTTTTTCTACATTTAACGTCAAATTCAAGCTGTCTAAAATATGATTTAATGTTTAGATTGCGATGAATGCACCGACTTCGTGTATGAATATTGTTCCATACATGGGCCCCTACTGGTCATTCCTGATGATAAGGTAATATAATTATTACCTACTAGTTCACCCACGCATCGTCCGCATCACACTTACTTGGCTCTATCAATATAACTCGCCAATTTACTTTTTAAATTGTATTATTCTGATGTATAAGCTATATTACTGTAAAGTTTCATCCAAATCCGTTCAGTAGGTTTTGCGTGAAAGAGTAACAAATATCCATCCATCCATACTCACAAAGCGTGGACGACCCCAACTAACATGGATGTCAGTAGTTAGTAAGGACCTTAAGGACAACGGCAACAGTCCATAATAGATACAACCGGAGAAGGCAGATTAGGAGATGGAAATAGGATAACGCCAGAAGAAAAAGAAACAAGGATTAGGCATGCGACAATCAATCTAGAAAACGCTACTCACCTCCAATTTCTTTACTTTACAAAGGTTACTTTAGATTAGTAACTTTTAGGTAATTTAATTAATAAGTACTTACTAGCTGTGGCCGCACCTGCTTCCTAATAGTGACCTTGGATAACATAAAATGTTTAATAGTGCCAAAACAAAAACTTGACGTTCATAAGCGTCTCAAAAGTCCTATAAGAATAAACAATATTTGATTTGTAATCCAGGTACCAGCTAATACAGGTCTACCATCATTTGTGCACCGAGCGGCACTTACAATCCCACGAGCTTTTCTGCATTTAGCGCCATCTACAATTCCAGGTAGGCGTTTTATTATTATAAAAACTAGCTGTGCTCGCGGATTCACGCGAGTGAAATTTATAGCCTACATGAAATTCTAATATATAAACTATATTACTGTAAAGTTTCATCAAAATCCGTACAGTAGTTTTTGCGTGAAAGTCTAACAAACATCCATACTCATAAACTTTCGCGTTTATAACATTAACTAGGTGCACCCGCGACTTCGTCCGCGTAGAATTTAGCTTTATTTTACTAAAATAAAAGTAGCCAAAAAAAAGTCCAGTGAAAATCGGTTCAGCCATTTCAGAGATTAACCGGAACAAACAGACAGACAGACAAAACTTGTAAAAAATGTTATTTTGGTGTATGTACCGTATTTACATTCATATGCATGTAGTAAAAAACTGTTATTTCAATATTACAAACAGACACTCCAATTTTATTTATATGTATAGATGAATGTTTTATAACTTAACTTATTTATTACTATAGCAGTTTTACATTGATTTATCTAGGTAATTGTATCCCTTAGCGTTCGTAGGTACACCAGGTAGTTTTAAGTGGCTAAGAATCCCACACAGCCCTTAGGGGGGATGGTCTTTTGAATATTTTTCCATACGTTAAAAAAAGGGGTTGTTGGGAAAAACTTTATTTTAACCGGTAAAGGAGCCTTTAAAAACTGAAGAGGAAACGCCGCTTCACATCCTATGTGGTTGTAGCCCACTCATGCATAAACTAAATATCTCCTTTGGAAAGTTTACACTCTTTCCCGAGGAGATAAAAACGATCGCTCCTAAGAATATCCTTCAATTCTTGTCCCTGACGGGTCTAGGTAGCGAACTCTGAAGAGGGCGAGCACAATAGATCTATGTAGGTCGCAGTGCTACAGGTGCTACACATCTGACAATAGCCCAAACAACCCAATAAAAAAAAAGGAGCCTTTAGGGTAACCAGGGTTATTTTTTAATTTGTTTTTTTAGGTGCAGGACTGGGCGTATTTAGCACGCTCACTTTGCCGCGAGGCGTCCGGTTTGGTCCTTACCAAGGACGAGTAACGCAAGAAATCACTTCCATGTATTGTTGGCAGGTAATGTTGCTTTTTTATGGATGATAATGGAATGGTGCACCCGCCTGCGCTAACGGTTTACGCTGGCGGCGCACCAGTGGAGGATGATAAGATGAACATGAGATCAGGTCAGTTAGCCCATCGTGACAAATTCGTCAGGAATTTATCACGATGGTTTCCAGGGGGAACCGCGTGGAGGTCAACATGACATGGTACAATGCAGTAATGGGGTCATGAGCCCTACTAACAATACCCTTCCCTCCAATTGGACATGTTATTTTACTAGATATTGTGAAATAGGTGGTACAAAAGAGCATGTATATGATTTGCCGGATATTCATGTTTTTCGAAGCGGAGCAAAAACTAAAAAATGCCACCCTTATGACACTACCCCGATCTTCCCCTCCGGCCAATATTTTTACAATATACATATTAACATACAATTTGTCCAATTACTTTTGCTGTTAATTATTGTGACTTTTTTGTCAGTTCAGTTATATCGTCATTTTCAAATGCATTGAACACAAATAATTTTCTCAACAGCCTATTGTCTATTAGTGGTCAACTTGTCAAAGGTGCGTCAAAAAATTCCTGCCAAGTTCGAGTTTAGCGCCTCCAGAACTTTCCGCTCGGGGCATGGCACCTTGTGTTGCCCCTCCCTAGATCCGGCGCTCATTTGCTGATAGGTGTCAGGAATGACAGTCTACGACATGGAGTAACCAGGGTAACCATGGAGTAGTCATAAAATTAACATATTGGATGTTGGTTTTTTTTTATACCACTTAGGTGGCAAACAAGCATACGGCCCATCAGATGGTAAACGGTTACCGTAGCCTATGGACGCCTGAAACACCAGGGGTGTCACATACGTATTGCCGACCCTTAAGAAACCTTAATATTATTAACCCTTCTTGAAAAACCCCATGCTGTAGTCTCTCGAGAAAACCTCGGCAGGTAGTTCATTCCACAATCTAAGTGTACGCGGGAGGAAGCTCCTCTGAAACCGCACTGTCCGAGACCACTTAGGTTCCAGCGTGTGGGGATGAATTCCCTGTCGATGGCGAGCGGTACGATGGTAAAAGGTAGCCGTAGGTGCCACACAAAGTGTTTTAGCAGATTCTTCGTATAATGCGGCTAAGCCAATTTGGTCATTGGTAGCTATTACTTTTAGGGTATTGTACCCTAAACTAATAGCTGGCATGTGCAAAAGTTCTTAAATATTAAAGGAATGAAAAATGTTATTGTACTTGATATGTTTTTCTATTTTCCATGTTTAGGGTAACTAAAACTTACCTTTACAGCTTCACCGGACGATAGGGCGCGAGTGCATATGGTGCTCCAAATCAAAGGAAGGACTTATGGAGCGGCTGACGGACAACTCTCGCCTGACGGATATTATTTAAGTCTGAGAATACCGTTAGGGACTCTAACTTCGGCTTACTGCGTCGTAATTTTAATCGCCGTTTAAATTGGACGGGGGATCTATCAAAGGAAAGTGAAGAATGTACATTATATGATATGTTTAAAGTTGTACGACGCAAACAACAAGCCGCACGCGGTGATTGACGCGGAGGACGCGTCCGCTGCCAACTGGATGCGGTACGTGAACTGCGCGCGGCACTGGCGCGAACAGAACCTCGTCGCCTACCAGTACCGCGGCCGGATATACTACAGGTACCGGATATACTTGTATACAAACAGGAGCCGGCCGCCGCTAACTGGATGCGGTACGTGAACTGCGCGCGGCACTGGCGCGAACAGAACCTCGTCGCCTACCAGTACCGCGGCCGGATATACTACAGGTACCGGATATACTACAGGTACCGGATATACCACAGGTACCGGATATACCACAGGTACCGGATATACTACAGGTACCGGATATACTACAGGTACCGGATATACTACAGGTACCGGATATACTACAGGTACCGGATATACTACAGGTACCGGATATACTACAGGTACCGGATATACTACAGGTACCGGATATACTACAGGTACCGGATATACTACAGGTACCGGATATACTACAGGTACCGGATATACTACAGGTACCGGATATATTACAGGTACCGGATATATTACAGGTACCGGATATACTACAGGTACCGGATATACTACAGGCGGATATACTTGTATACAAACAGGAGCCGGCCGCCGCCAATACTGCGGCGCTCGACCATATTATTTTAAGGAGCACAATGATCCGGCCCACCATACCACGCATGTCTGGACATTTTAATGAGCATGTCTTTAATAATGTATCAAAACATACTGAAATTTTGTGTTAATTTTTTTTTTGTTTGTGAAATCTTAGCTTGTGTGTTAAGATATACAGACAGTTGTCACCAGATCACGACTTTCCTACTTTATTGCATGTAATTGTATTTTGTCTGCAAACTATCTATATTACAGGACTATAAAAATTATTCCCCGTTTCACTGAGCTGATGGTCTTCTACGGCAGTGAATTTGCGAACTCGCTGCATATAGACTTACGGAAATACAACTCTCCGCCCGGATATGCCGCTAAATTTGGTAGGTTTATTTTTATATATTACCACAATATTATTAACCCAGAAAACATTGTTTTCTCATACAAATTAATACGTTACGAACCGACGAAGGTACTTTAAGTACTCTAATGTCGTTATTAAATAGGGGTTGATGCTAGAAAAGTGCAAATTTATTTATTTTTAAAGAATAGTACATGAATTTTTGTGGATCACTCTTGTTGAAGGCGCCACTATATCTAGTATGTATTAATTATAAATATAATATCTGTATAATTAAATACAGTACTATTTAATTATTATAAAAATAATGTAGCAAATAGGTTATATATTTCACAATGATTATCTGTAGAATGCAAATGTTATTTACGTAATTTAGTTCCGAATTGAATACTAGATGGCGCTGTTAGATTTCTGAAACTCTCATCGATCGATATACACGATTGTAAAATTTTATTATTCAGTATTTTGTAAAACTATTTTTTTATATATCATTATACTCTTTCCCTCTTGTGGTGTTTCATTTCGAGGTTTTTGGGCTGTCTAAATATCGCGGCGCGGACGTGTTCAAATCTTATCATTTAAAGGTATTAAAAATAAAGTCCTATTCTGAGATCTACTGGACATATTCACAAAAGAATCTTAATAATAAGCCAAACCGTTCCGAAGGAGTTTTGTTACAAACACTATAATTTTATAAAATTAATTTAAATTGTATTTATTAGGTAGATACTTAAACACACGACACTCATTTACAATTAACTTAATATTAAATGAACATCATTTTTTGTTTTATTGTACTATTTCTAAATATACATTGCTCTGCCAATACCCTCCTCAGAAGAAGAACAATCCTCACTCGCCCTCCCCAAGAGGGAGGGGAACAAAGAGTACTGAAACTCCACGAGGTCCCCCTGGATACCAGTGAACTAACTGACCTGACCTCATGTTCATCTTATCATCCTCCACTGGTGCCCCGCCAGCGTAAACCGTTAGCGCATGCGGGTGTATCATTCCATTATCATCCAAAAAAGGTTGACCTCCACGCGGTTCCCCTTAGAAACCATCGTGGTGAATTCTTGGTGAATTTTGAAGATGGGCTTACTGACCTGACCTCTTTTTTTTTTTTATACTACTATGGTGGCAAACAAGCACACGGCCCATCTGATGGTAAATGGTTATCATGCTCATCTTATCATCCTCCACTGGTGCCCCGCCAGCGTAAACCGTTAGCGCAGGCGGGTGCACCATTCCATTATCATCCATAAAAAAACCGATATGGTAGCTAGCAATGGGGGTAACTTGTTATTATTAACGCTCCCCCCTCCAGCGTATACTGTTAGCGCAGGCGGGTACCACAGTCCATCAAAATACATTAAAATAGTTACAAAACAAGTCATTTGCCGCAAAAATTGTTGAAGGAGACTATACTTTCAGACAACATTCAAGTCCACCTTGCTCGTTTCCTTAAGAATGAAAACAATTGTATAAAACGACGTAAATCAATATTTATATCGTAATACACAAACGTTTAGAATTATAGTATGTGTAATTCATGGACATACCTTCTTCCTTACTTTAACTGAAGCCAAAAGTAAAATTATTTGAATAGTTTTTAAACTGTCAAGAATGTATGTATGCGTGATTTCGCTGGAAACCATCGTGGTAAATGGTCATTTGCCAAGATCGGCTGACCTGATTCCATGCTTATACTAACATCCTCCACTTATATTATTTTAAATGCCTACAGGTGTTCCTTCAAAAAAACAACCATCCCAAGAATACAAAAGAAAATCTACACACGCAAAAAATTGTAACAAAGAAAACGAAGCATCGAATAAAGTAGTCTTAAACGAAAGAAACATTAATCTGAAATCTGAAAAACAAACTTCACTTATGAAAAAAATTGAAAAATCTGTTAATAAAAGTACGGAAAACTATGATGTCACCGAAAATAATGATAATAGGGTTTCTAATAATGAAAATCAATTTCCTTGCAGCGATTGTGGTCAGAAATTCGATACACAAAATATATTTAATCAACATATTGCAAAACATAACCACATCAAATCGAAAATGTACCTTAACTGTGATATATGTGATTTTCGTGACATCGCAAAAATCTCATTAGAAAGACATATTATGAAAGTTCATCCAACTAATTTATATTTTGTGTGTGAGTATTGTAATGAGTCATTTAAATCCAAAAATTGTTTGGAAGATCACGTTTTGACTTGTTCTCGTAAATTTCGTGAAAAAGTACATTCAAGAACACACAGTGGCGAGAAGCCTAATGAATGTACGATATGTCACTCTAGGTATAGTCAAAAAGGTAGTTTGAAAGTACATTTAAGAACACACAGTGGCGAGAAGCCTTATGAATGTACGATATGTCAGTACAGATGTAGTGTAAAAGGAAAATTGAAAATACATTTAAGAACACACAGTGGCGAGAAGCCTTATGAATGTACGATATGTCAGTACAGATGTAGTAAAAAAGGTAATTTGAAAATACATTTAAGAACACACAGTGGCGAGAAGCCTTATGAATGTACGATATGTCAGTACAGATGTAGTGAAAAAGGTAGTTTGAAAGTACATTTAAGAACACACAGTGGCGAGAAGCCTTATGAATGTACGATATGTCAGTACAGATGTAGTCAAAAAGGTGATTTAAAAAGACATTTAAGAACACACAGTGGTGAGAAGCCTTATGAATGTACGATATGTCAGTACAGATGTAGTCAAAAAAGTAATTTAAAAACTCATTTAAAAACACATAATAAGCAAGTATATTAATCTATTTACATATAATTATTACAAAACGGTATTACAGTAATCTATCAATTTAAATTCACGACGTCGGTGGTTTAACGGTTTAGCACACTGCCTCACTTCGGTGGTTGGAGGTTCGATTCCTCGCACGGTACAAACATTTGTATTGATGAATATGATTGTTTGTATTGATCTGGATGTTTTTATTATGTATGTATTAACAAAATAAAATCTGAATTATATTTGTATCACATTTGAACACAAAGCCGTGATTTACGCAACAATTTATACAAATAAAAGAGTGTGTTTGTAATTTCAAATTACTTTTCACTAAATGCTAATATGAAAGTGTATTATACGCTACTGACATCAAAATCTATTTAATTTTTTGTCGGTCTATTTGTTCTTGCTTATCTCTCAAACAGCTGGACCGATATGGAGACTCGCACGCTGATAGCTAATATCGTAACGGGTAACTTTGGGTTATTTTAGTTTAGAATATTTAATTAATAAAAATAAAGTTTAACTTACGTCACTCTATACATACATATATAACAAAGTAGTTTCACCAGTAGAACGACTGTGACATAAATACATACAGAAAAATCATATTTTGTGTATAATTGTCAAAAAATATTCATCAACGACCACAAATAAATGGGATAAGGAAGAAGCAGATTTCTTCCTTATCCCATTTATTTGAGGTCGTCGTAATATGTTTTTCTCTTCCATTCATCCCTGTTCGCAGTCATCTCGTTATTTACTCCCTTTCTTACCATATCATCTTTCACACAGTCCATCCATCTCTTTTTCGGCCTTCCTCTGCTCTTATAACCATCTACATTCATATGTAACACCTTCCTTAAAATATTATCTTCATTCCTACTCATTACATGTCCATACCATGATAGACGATTACTCTTCAACCTCTCTGACACCGGCGCCACTTTCATACTTCCTCTAATGTATTCATTCTTTATCTTATCCATTCTTGTCACACCACACATCCACCTCAACATTCGCATTTCAGTTGCATGAAAGACGACTGGTCTTTCATTCATCACCTTACGGTTTAATTGTCAAAAAATATTATAGATAGAAATTAATCTAGAAAAATCAGATACCGACACTGTTTCAATTCAGACATGAAATTACATAATATAAATATTACATATAATTTTTTGAATTAACAATATAATCGCTATGTAGAATTATTTATTACTAGCTGTTCCCGCTACTTCGTCCGCGTGGAATTAAATTTATTTTTCTAAAATAAAAGTAGCCTAAGTTACTCCTTATTACATCAGCTACCTGCCAAAAAAAGTCCCGTCAAAATCGGTCCAGCCATTTCAGAGATTAGCCGGAACAAACAGAGACAGACAGAAAAAAATTAAAAAAAAATGTTATTTTGATGTACATATGTAATTTACCGTATTTACATTCATATGCATGTAGTAAAAAACTGTTATTTCAATGTTACAAACAGACACTCTGTTGTTCTAACTTTTTTGGTCCACACCTAGGATTTGTTTTATTGGTATTATTATTATTTTATACTTATGTGATTTAATGTTAATGGTGTTATGATTTATAATTAATTTTATATTATTTTTAATTTGTGTTCGAGAGCCTTTCATATATAACAAATTTTATTTTTATATATATTATAAATTCTCATCTTAAACCTATTATAAACAAAGTAGGTGAATAGTATAAAAAGCTTTTTATATATAACAAAGTTTATATTATTAATGTCTATCTTAAAACTGTTATACCTAAGGTAGGTATATAATATGACAATTATTTTTGATTTCTATACAAAAAAGAATACACTTTAGCAAAGAGGTTTTCATTTAATTTTTTTTATCTTTTAAATGAGAGTTCGTAATTGTTTTATCATTTTGTTTTATAGATATATTATTTAACTTCAACATATAAATTGTTGGTTTACATTCATTGTCTTCAGGCTTATATATTTACCAGCAGCTTGCTTCGAGCTTTGAAGGCTTTAATATTTTTTATGACTAATTAGATTTTAGTGCTCGATAAACCTATTATTTATTTTTAAGATGTTTTTCTTTCTTATTTTATTTGTAGTTGTACGTCTCCAACGACATATGTTTTTATACGAAAGTATTTTTTAGTTAATTTCCTTCAATGGTGGTCCGATTTTATTTGTACTTGTTATTTAATTTTATAGCATTATTTTGTTTGTTTTTAAAACTATAATATATTAAAAGTTACATTAAATTACTTTTTATATTTTCATTGTTTTATTTACCCTAAAAATCAAACAAGTGAGACGTAGTTAGCAATTCATGGATTCACTGTGCGGGTGCCGTGTCCATGTGTCAGAGAGGGAACCCCTCCCAGTTGGGATTGTTAGTAATGTGGATTGATAACCCCACTGCTAGCAATGTATCATGCCAGGTTGACCTCCACGCGGTTCCCCCTGGAAACCATCGTGTTAAATTCCTGGTGAATTTGTCACGATGGGCTAACTGACCTGACCTCATGCTCATCTTATCATCCTCCACTGGTGCCCCGCCAGCGTAAACCGTTAGCGCAGGCTAGTGCACCATTCCATTATCATCCAAAAAAAAATCCTCCCAGTTCCCGGGACTTATGACCCGGGTGTAGGTTCAAAGGGCCCCGTGCCGATGTAAGTCACTCACCTTCACCGCTCGTGTTTCTCTCCCTGCCCATACAAATCTAATAGGTGACTGATAGTGCAGCTTTAGATACACGTTCTAGTATAGAACTTACAGCAGTAGTACTTTTTTTAATTATAGCTGTATAAAGTGGAGCACATTGCTTTAATAATGAATGAAAAAAAATAAAAAACGAAATGAGCGGGCAAAAATAATTAAAATGGTCAGTCAGTAATTTAGTTTTTTGTGTGCATAAGTATATAAGAATGAATAGAAGTTTACGTAAAAGAAAACTAATAAGCTACTACGAGCCTGATGAACCACCTTTCGACGAATATGTCTGTTAGTAAAATATGTTACTACTTATTTTATTTCATAGTATTTGTGGTAAATGAAACCCATCGATTTTTACTGCTTCTTTTTTTTTGCAAAATACCTTTTTTATAAAACGAATGACCTTCGTATGGGGTCATATTTCATAAGACATACATTTATTCATAAGACATATTTAGCTGTTTTATAGAAAAAAATTATGATTTGTAGCTTAATACCGTAAAAATTATGTACGTACTATATGTACGGAAACTATAAAATTGTGTGTTAAATACAAAGATAGTAATGGAAACACTAGTATATGTACTACTCTAAATAGGTATTAGAAATATGTTGTGGAAACTACGTAGCAGGATCAGTCGTAGTGAGCAGACAAGTCCCTACCTAACATCTTATAATCTTCATAAATTTATTTAGATAATCTGTAGATCTTATGCTACGTTTACATTCAGCCGCTTCCCCAATATGATTGCACTAAGAATGAGCGCGTAGCGGTTTCTATATTGATTATCGTATGCCTCTTACTTGTTATCGTGTAATTATTTATTTAAAATAACATTAATTCAAAAGAGCAATACGCAAGTTTCTTGCACGTTCTTCTTGTGATGAGTCTGCGTTCCGAATGAGTGGTAGAATAAAAAATATGACTATTAAAAAGTGCTTGTATTGTGTTTATTTGAATAAAGATTATTTCTATTTCTATAAATAAATCATTATTAATAACTTTCAGATTGCGATGAGTGTCGAGATTTTGTTTATGAATATTGTTCTATACATGGAGAGTTACTGGTCATACCGGATGATAAGGTAAGTGTTACAACAGTAGTAACAAATCTACTGTGAGCAGTAGCTCAATACCATATGTGCCATCCTCAACCACCACTAGTCGACTTCAAACGTTGCGTCGATTACGGCATCACAAAATCGAGCAGTGAGAAGCACCGCTCATCACGCGACATATATGAGCACTAATAAAAACGGTAGATACTCCACCCCTCTGTAATTTTAAAATTTAAAGGTTGTTGCAATAAACGCTTCATGAAAAGAGGTCAGTTTTATTTAAAAACAATTACCGAAAAACAAATTAACACTAAGATTAACTTACATACCTCTATCTAGCCTTGCCAGGCGTCCGGATAAATTTACACCGTTTATTTTGACCGGACATAGGCGTGTCCGGTCAAAATAAACGGTGTCCAGTTTGACCGGCTTTTTTTTGCTTTTTTCTTTTTTAAAACAAATAATCATTTTCATCGTTTAACTTAAAGAGAAGTTTTGTTTTGGTTACATTGTTTTTTATTCTCACCACATTACTTACGATGGTCGCAGGTTAGATTCCTCGCACGGTGCAAACATTTGTATTCATGAATATGATTGTGTGTTTTGGTCTGGGTGTTTTATATGTATATTAAGTATGTATTTACAAAAAATATATCTAAGTATTTATATCTGTTGTCTAGTACCCATAACACAAGCTCTACTTGTCGTGGTACTAGATGGCGCTGTGTTAATTGTCCAGGGTTTATTTATTTATTTCCTTATGCTTTTTAAAGTAGGTAAAGAAGACTTATTTGTGCAATTGCCTTTCATCAATATTTAAGAAGAATTAACGTTGATAAATATTATCTAGAATTTACTTTTAACTGATAACTTTGACTGATTTATAATAAAGTACTCACCATGGACTAATTCGGAATTGCATTTTATTTATATTTCATTAGAAGTTGATTATGTTTCACCCGAGAATTTTATATATTAGAGATAATCGATTTTTTCCTTAGTCGAGTGTTTCCATAATCGATTATTTTCGGCAGATAACACCTGTGTAACTAACCAATCGACTACTAAATGTTTCGTGCGTTGTATTACAAAAATCGTTAAGTGAGTAAGGTCACATGCCACTTTTGTAATACATCGATAATCATAACAGACATTCCATTTCCTCATTCTCGAAATTGAATAATTTAAAAAAGTAAATGGTAAAATAAATATATATGTTTTTTAATTTTGAAATTGAACAATTTAAAAAAGCAAATGGTATAATAAAAATATACGTTTTTTAATCATGAAATTGAACAATTTGAAAAAGCAAATGGTAAAAAAAAATATATGTTTTTTAATTTCTTGAGATCGAACAATTTTCCCAAAATGTAAGTGGTAAAAATACACATATTTTTATTACAAAAAACAGTGTAATATTTTAGATATTTACTTTAAAGTCTTTGTTACCTGTCCTTTACACCGTTTTCATACCTCGTCAGAGGATCGGTCACCCACTACCCAAATCCGGCTACCATAGGCGATTTTTTATGTAACAGGTACCATCTGAAACTGGTTTCCCGTCATTTGTACCACGCGCAGCGCTCACCATACCTCGTTCATTTCTTCATCTAGCTCAATCTATCATACCAGGTATGTTTTGATCATTACATGTGTATATTTAACAAAAAATAGTCTTTGTAAATAATCGATTTTACCTCACCTCTATAAGCCACCAAGTATTTCATTCAAAGCGGTGTTTCCGAACCTTTCCGTGGCGTGCCCCACATTGGCCTTTCTAAAATTCTTATGCTTTCCCCCCACCGGATGAAACTCGTGTCGAGTCTAAAATCTTTAATATCAAATTGCCCTCGTGTGGGGCGTGGTCCCGTGATGTTTTTTATACTACGTCGGTGGCAAACATGCATATAATAAATGGTTACCGTAGCCTATGGACGCCTGAAACACCAGGGGTGTCACGTGCGCGGTGCCGATCCTTAACAAACCTTAATATACCCTTTTTGTAAAACCCCATACCGTAGTGTCTTAGACTTGCGTGAATAAGGATGTTTTGATTTATGAAATTGTGTGATTACATTATAGGAGCAGGTCTAGGTGTATTCAGCACGTTAACTTTACCACGCGGCGTTCGTTTCGGACCTTACCAAGGACGACAAACCCAGGAGGTCAAGTCCATGTATTGTTGGCAGGTAGGTTTCTGCTAAGAGAACAAAATGCTTTCTATCGCTTTATACAAGAATGAGACAGCATCCATTAAACATGGTTCTTCAAACTTATTCGTATTCATAAGCTTACTACAGCTTTAGTGGTCTTATTGGTTTAGGTGATTTAGAATATTCGACTTTCTTTGTGAATATTTTCTGGATATTTTCTATATGTTACGTAACTATTTAAGACTCTATCTCTAACTATATCTGTCTATCCCATTTTAAAGTTGTACGACGCAAACAACAAGCCGCACGCGGTGATCGACGCGGAGGACGCATCCGCCGCTAACTGGATGCGGTACGTGAACTGCGCGCGGCACTGGCGCGAACAGAACCTCGTCGCCTACCAGTACCGCGGCCGGATATACTACAGGTACCGGATATACTACAGGTACCGGATATACTACAGGTACCGGATATACTACAGGTACCGGATATACTACAGGTACCGGATATACTACAGGTACCGGATATACTTGTATACAAACAAGAACCGGCCACCGCTAATGAGAAGGAGAAGGATAAACCCATCTCAATTACTGTGTATATCGTGCGTAGATTATTAATGAAGTCTCTGATCACCTCATCTGGGATAACAGTCGTAATATTGTTAAAATTTTTTTTTTCATCCAGGACTGTGAAAATAATTCCCCGTTTCACTGAGTTGATGGTGTTCTACGGCAGTGAATTCGCGAACTTGATGCATATTAGCTTGGGAACTTACAACATACCGAGCCACTACAATAATACAAGTAAGAATTTATAATATTTTACCCACCTGCGTTTACGGTATGCGCTGGCGGGGTACCAGCGGAAGATGATAGGATGGCATGAAAATAGGTTGGTCAAATTAACCACAATAGTTTCCAAGTGGACCAATTAATAATAATAATAATAATATATTAGGAATATATAGGTTCGGAAGGTTCTTCAAAGCCCTTCACGGGCCGTACGTCAACACGAAGACCTCCGTGCACTGGCTACAGCTCGGTGATCTCTTCGGAGAGACTGAGGACATCTGTCGGGCATGTCGCCATCCCGGAGAGTCACTCAGACATGTGCTTTCGGGTTATACAGCTCTTGCCAACACTGAGTACTTGCACAGACACAACCAGGTAGCCAAAATACTCCATCAAGAACTAGCTCTGAAGTACGGCCTCGCGAATGAAGCGTCAAGCTCTACTGGGCCCGATCCATCATCACGGACAAACCTGATATCGTGGTGATGGATCGGGCACTTTCGAGGGTGTTTTTGGTGGACATCACCATACCGCATGACGAGAACCTCGTGAAAGCCGAAACTGAGAAAAAGAGAAAGTATCTCGACCTGGCTCACGAGGTGACCGAAATGTGATGTCCACCGAAATCATTCCAATCGTTATGTCGGTGAACGGTCTTATCCCAATCAGTCTGGAACATCTCAGTTGGGATTCTTAGAAAGCGGTGCTGTTAGATTCTGCCCGTATTGTACGCCGGTTTCTCTCCCTGGGGCCCTGAACCCCGGCCGACTGTGCTTCTGCCGGGGGTATGTTGCCGTCTCCTCTCCTTAAGAGGGGAGATGAGAATTTTTGGACAAAAAAAAAAATAATAATAAAGACATTTATTCAGCATTACAGTATTCTTAGATGCTATCTATCTTATATACTATACAACTTAAAAGCTAAAAGCTAAAACATACTAGTAACGCTGAATGTGACTTCCATTCAGCATTTATACTGCAGTATATATATATACCACAGTGCTGATTTTCAGTGGGGCCACCACACACGAGAGAGCGTACGTAAAAATTACTAAAGAAAATAAAACGTTAAAATTAAGACCATTTTATAAATAGGTATGAAAATGTATGTAAAGATAAAAAGCAATTTTAATTAATGTATGTATTTAGTATATTCTGTATATTATTTAAGTAGGTATATTGCTATGTAATGAGATATTTATTATAATTAAAGGTCAACCATGATATATCATTGTAAATATGTGGCCACATTGCTATTCCTAACAAAATCCTTGTTCTTATTTTTACATGCGGGTGCCACTGCGGGCACAGCTAGTCTTCCTTCACTATATAATTCAAATAAAGGATATTCTATCTATCATGTTTTTAAATCGAACGCCTAACTGGGGTTTTATGCGAGTGAAACCGCGGATACAACTAGTACTATTGTAGTACCATAATTATAATGTTCAAAAATATTTCATCTTTACCGTTCCTTTGTTTTATAACATAATATTAAATATTACAGATGAAGGAACTAAAAATGATATAAATCATTATAATGATAATAGTTACAAAATTGAAGATTCTGAGATTGACTATCTCATTGAAGAAGAGGATGATACGATTATAGAGTATGTTGAAGAACTAAGAAATGCTGAAGATAAAAATTATGACATTGTTGTATATGATGATGAAGTATCAACAGCAGCATCAGCTACAGCAGATGATAATAATCAGATATGTATAGATTATAATTTGGAGAATAACAATTTAATTAGTACATACAACAGTGACCAAACACAACAAAACAATTTTCAATGTCACACATATGCTTGTGCTCAATTCTTGCAAAATATTAGTACACAATTACAACAATATATTAGTGAGCAGTGTCAACAAAATACGAATGTCCAATTACAACAAAAAATCAATTCTCAATTACAAATTACGTTCGCTCAATTACAACAGAATATAAATGAGCAATTGCAACAAATTATTCACAATCAATTACAACAAAATAATACTCAATTCCAACAAAACAGTACTGAATCACAACAAAATATAAGTAATTTCACATGTGACTTATGCAACAAACAATTTTTATGTAAGAGATATCTGAACAAACATAAACTCATACATTTAAAGGTTTATAAATTCCATTGTAACGATTGTAGTTATAAAACAAATGAGAAATTCAAATTGCGTACACATGTAGGGAAACACATGAAATTTGCTCAGACACAACATAATATTTTAAACAAGTTCACATGCGATGTTTGCAATAAGGAATTTGGTAAAAGAAGCTATTTAACTCGACATAAATACATACATTGGAATATAAAAAGATTTTGTTGTAATTATTGTAATTACAAAACCAATATATTGAATAGACTTAACGAACATACTGAGATACATACTAAAAATATAGAATATAGATGTACTATGTGCCCATACGTATCATATATACGAAGATATTTTAACAACCATATCCGCACAAAACATAAAGAAAAACAAACAACAATTTAGATTGCTGTTATTTATTGATTGATTATTATATAATTATATTATATTGTTGATTGTTTTATTATATTCTACTAGCGATCAGTCATGACTTCGCACGGATATAACAAGCATGTATTATACATATAAATTTTCTTCTTGAATTACTCCATCTACTGCTAAAATTGTAATAAAATCCGTTGCGTAGTTTAAAATAACACATAATAACACAATTTTATAAATCTTATGTTGTATTATGTATTGTCTATTCTTATGAACATGTTGTGTGTGATTAGTAACAAACAAATAAACGATATATCTATCTATATATCTAAAAGATATAAGCGAACAGACACCGGAAGTGACTTCAATTTGTACTCTACTTCTTCCTTATCCCATTTATTTGGGATCGGATTAATATCTATTTCTCTTCCATTTATCCCTGTTCGCAGTCACCTCATTATTTACTCCCTTTCTTACCACATTATCTTTCACACAGTCCATCCCTCTCTTTTTCTTCCTCTGCCCAAATAACCTTCCTATGTAACATATTCTTTAAAATATTATTCATTCATTACAATTAATCTTTAACCTCTCCGACTTCATTTTATAAAAAGATATATACTATATAATGAAAATACATTCAGAGCCATTCCACCTTAACGCACAGCGCCTGCGCTTTATTCGATTTATCGCTTGATTAATCGGATGAGAAATCTAGCTGTCGCGTATTTGATGTTTAAAGTTGTTACTGTGCTCGACTGAGCGGGAAAAATATAATAATACTAGCTGTTTCGGTGTACTCGCGACTTCAATATTACAAACAGACCGTATAGATAATCGTGGATATTTAACATGCAGTATAAATATTACAAACAGACACTCCAAATTTTATTTATATGTATAGATAATCCTTTATTTTTACATAGTATAAATACATTATTAACAATAGATAGCAACCAGAGGAAGGTTTATATATGTACCTATCGATTATAAATTGTTGATTGTTGTTACAGAGATTTACTTAAATTAGTTTATCAAATTAGAGTTTTCATGTTATTGATTTGTACCTGTTGATTGATTATGAAAATTATTCACGAAAGTTTACAAATTATTAGCATTTTTTATTTCAATGTAATAAATATTATTATATATACAATATAATTTGTTTTATTATGAAATTCAAAGGTATTTGCTTGTGTTGGCAGTTGCTAGAAATATCTACTTAATTTTTTTTAAAGAAAATAAATAATAATAGTAGGTACCTACTAGTAGATAATAGTAGGTACATATAAAATACCCGTACCAATACAAACAATCATAGTGCCGTGACTCCTCGGGTCACCAACATGCTTCTTCATGAAGGGGGACTACAGTAACAGCGGTCCGTGGCAAATTTTTATTATAATTCAGCTTTCATTCAAGTTAAACTTCCTTTATTTATAATTTTAGTCAATTTAAGAATTATAGGTATTATAAGAATATCCAATAGAAAAATGTTTATTTAATTAATCATCAAATTGATGCAGCCAAAAAACATTATAAAGTTTCCATATATGTCAAATGAATTAGAATGCACCAGCCACTACGAGCCGTAAAAAATAAGTTGTCCATTCCTACCAGGGATGGATAATCAACTTTTGTCGCTAAGAAAAACGTTTCATTAATAATATGTTATTCTAACAGTAATTCTTAAAGCAATATTTTTCTTTACAAAGACATCACTCAATCAACTATTAAAAATATTTTGCACCGCAAATTTATACTTAATTACAAAATTAATTTAATAATCGTTTTTAAACAATAACGATTATTAAATTAATTAATATAAAAAAAATGGCAATCATAACTTTCTATCCAAAAACTATAGAATCCCAAAAAGCTGGCAATATATGTAATGTCAAATTTTCTCTGATATAAAAACACAGTATTATTTCTGATCTGTGATTCTAACCTAAAATTGTATGTTGTGCCATGCCGTATGTTAAAGTTAAAATTGTAACCAATCATTATTTATTCAGTTTGTAGTAGAAATACTTGAATGGACAGAGCTTAAACACTATAATTAACGATACTAAAAATCGTAGATGGTCTTTCGGATCTGTGTTTAAATGCAAATATAGCACGAAAATGCCTGTACTGCGAATCGACGAAGTTTATCCGAAGCAATCGCTTTATCCTTTGATAGTGCGCTTCCAGAATGGGTATACGACTGAAGATTTTAAACCAACGCCTTGTGCTTGGTTTGAAAATACTGTTACTGGAGAAAAGTCTATGATAACGGAGATTGAGAACGTTATATATGCCGGAACAGAAGAAAAAGGGCCTGGATCGAGTTTTCTGCTTGCGCGGAACAAAAAAACCGGGAAAGTGAGATTAATTGAAGTCGGCAATATTGAGTTGAAGCCTGTTATACAGAATAATAACAACACGACAGTGTTAGATACAAGTAGTTTAGAATTAAGCAGGAAGTTTGGTAGCAAGAAAGCTAAAAAAGTAATGGAGCAGATAGAGAAGTTGAAGGTGAATAAGAAAACTGTTGTTAATCAAATGAGCAATGTAACCGTTAATATTAAGGAGGAACAATTAGACCTTTCTGTGTACTTGAAAACTGATTCGAATGAAATGTACATACCCCCAATAAATAGACAGGCTAAGGAAGTAACAGATGTGTATGAAAAAGATAAGATTTTAAGTAAAGAGCTGTATGAAAAAATTATATCTGAAATTGAGAATAAAGATTACAGTTCAGAATTAGCTCCGTGGATAAAACAATTAGCAGCCGTTAAGAGAGATTTAAAAAATGAAGACACTGTTCTAGCTTTGTATGCTAGCTGTTTAGTGAAGCTTTACTTCGCAACGTGCAAAGATCTATTAAAGAAATCTTATATAGCTTGTGAAAGTTCTGGAACGTTAAATGATTTTATTTTAGTTAATTTTACAACATTCACTAACGGTAAGCGTATGAGGTCAATACAGTTGAAGGATAAAACATTTTGTCATATAATTGTTTTGATATTGCTTTTAAATAATTTTAAATATGAACTAGACGAGTTATGTCTAAGTTTCAAATTCGCACTGAGGACACTAAATACTAAAATAAGAGTTACCGGTGCATCTATAGTGAATGGTGAAAGTGGTAAAATGGTTCAACTTAAGTTACCACTGTCTACCCCTGGCCTGAACAGACGCAAGAGTGCTAAGTTTTAATTTAAGTATTTCAAATTGCTGTCGTAATCTACAATATCGTTGGTTAAATAGAAAAATGGCAGTATTCAAAATGTACATTTTTAACAAGACAAGCATTTCACATGTTAATCACCATGATGATATCAGAAAATTTTTCACATGGGCCATGGTAATTTTATTAGATAATTTTGTTAAAAATGTATCAAGAAAACTTCCGAAAAATTCCTGGAAAAGCACTATTTTTTATGTGACACATATATGACTGACATGGCCCTATATTAAAACTTTGTTCTCAACAAGCCGTGTCAGTGTTATATGTCTAACGCATCCAAACAAAATACAACAAGTATTAACATGTTGTTTTGAACACAGAGCCTTCTACCAAATCTCGTACGTCAGACATATATGTCTGACTTGGCTCATGTAGAACTTCTTAGCGTCAGACACATGTGACTGGCATGGCGATTAATATGTTAAGTTTTTAAATTTATTTAAATTATTATGTTTTCCTTTAAAGTTTTAACAAAAATTTACACAGGAGTATTATATATCATTTTAAAAGTATTTAGATAATGATTAACAGCCCTGGCTAATATAATTGACTTATATTCTGACTTCTAATTCTGAAAACTGATATTTTTCTATTTAATTAACATTGTGTTCTTATGGATGATAATGTAATGGTGCACCCACCAGTGCTAATGGTATACACTCGTGTGTCATCAAATAGACGATAAGATGAACATGAGGTCTAGTCAGTTAGCCCATCATGGTATATCCACTAGGAATTTATCACAATGGTTTCCTGTGGGAGGTCAACCTGACATTGCTAGCAAGTTCAGTGTTATTACTATCACTCACATTGTATTCCTTCTGTTATATGATACTTGCATTCCTCCTGTATGGATGCCACCAATTTTGATCTGTGATTTTGCCAACATAATAATAATCTCAGGACAATTCACACAGCGCCATCTAGACCCAAGTTAAGCTAGCTAAAGCCTGTGTTATGGGTACTAGATAACTTATACAAATACGCAGATAGACACCCAGACCAATACAAACAATCATACTCATGAATACAAATGCTTGTGCCGTGCGAGGAATCGAACCCGCGACCATCGGACGTAAAGCGGTGTGCTAGACCACTAGACCACCGAGGTCGTCAAATAGTATAATCGTTTGAGATACAATGGAATTTTATATTTCCATTTGCTCAGTATAGTTTATATCAGACTTAACATCATCATCAGGTGAGATTGCGGTCAAACGCGCTCAAATTATGAAATAAAAAAAAATATATATATTCACACTCAATATTTGTGGTCTCACTGGTAATTGATTTTTTTTTACTTATCTATCTGCGATCAGTCCTTCCGGCTATAATCAGATTTTTTTTTATGTTATGGGCATTTGGAGATGAGGCACCTCCAGTAAGGTGCCATCTCATTTACTTTCTTTAGATGTTGGCAAGAGCCCTTTCTAATCTACATGGACAGGTATTTATATACAGTAGTTAATTAATAAGGTAATTGAATGTAACAAAATATAAATCTATTAATTTATAAAGTAACAAAATAAAGCCACATTTGTGTAGTAAGTGTAAATAAACTATGCACAAAACTATGACTAAAAGTCCATTAAATTTCATAATAGAGTAATAAATCATTTACTTATGGCCCCAACGTAGCCGCTAAATATTTTTTTTGTATACATATTGGTACTGTTGAAAATTGTTTTTGTGATTAAGTCTGTAATTTATGTTTATTTCGTGTTGGTAGTACACTTTCAAATACTATACTATTGACATAAATCAAAGACAACAAAAGAAAACATTATTTTTAATAAAAACTTTTTGCAGTTGTTCCATTTCTTTCATTTTATTTTCCTGTTGAAAAGCAAGTCGGTATAAAATTTATTTTTATTATATACTAGCTGTACACGCGACTTCGGCCGCGTGGAATTTTATTTTATTTTTCTAAAATAAAAGTAGGTACTCCTTATTGCATCAGCTACCTTCCAAAAAAGTCCCGTCGAAATCGGTCCAGCCATTTCAGAGATTAGCCGAAACAAACGGACAGACACAAAAATTTTAAAAAGTATTATTTCTGTTATTTATATATGAATATAAATAACAGATATGCATATGAATGCATGTAGTAAAAAACGGATATTTCAATATTACAAACAGACACTATATGTGATATGTTACTTATGGAATGAACTGCCTTTTTTCTGACTTTGTTTTTTTTGTGGATGATAATGGAATGATGCACCCGCCTGCGCTAACGGTTTACGCTGGCGGGGCACCATTTGAGGATGATAAGATGAGCACGAGGTCAGGTCAGAGCAGTCACCAGGAATTTAACACGATGGTTTCCAGGGGGAACCGCGTGGAGGTCAACCTGACAAGTTACATTGCTAGCAATGGGGTTATCAATCCACATTACTAACAATTCCCTTCCCCCCGCCTTTTTTCTGACTGTAATGCTGTTGGCCGCAGCTGGCCTTTACAGCTTCACCGGACGATAGGGGGGCGAGTGCAGATGGCACTCCAAACCAAAGGAAGGACTTATGGAGCGGCTGAAAGATTTTAGTCCGTGGGCACCGCTAAGGGTTCGAACCTCGGCTCAATCCGTCGTAATTTCGATTCCCGTTTGAATTGAACGGGGGATCGATCGGAGGGGGAATGAACTGCCGAGATTTCCTCGCCAGACTACAGCATGGGGTCTTTCAATCATCTGCTTCTTCCTTATCCCATTTATTTGTGGTCGGCGTAATATGTTTTTCGCTTCCATTCATCCCTGTTCGCAGTCATCGCGTTATTTACTTCCTTTCTTACCATATCATCTTTCACACAGTCCATCTATCTCTTTTTCGGCCTTCCTCTGCCCTTATCCATCAACCATCCACATTCATTTGTAACATCTTTCTTAAAATATTATCCTCGTTCCTACGCATTACATGTCCATACCATGATAGACGATTATGGGGTCTTTCAGTAAGGGTTTCTAAAGGGTCAGCAACGCGCACGTGACATCCCTGGTGTATCACTCGTCCACAGGTAACTGTTTACCATCAGATGGGCCGTATGCTTGTTTGCCACCATCGTAGTATAAAAATTGTAGCTTATGAAAATTATATAAATAAAACTAATTTTATTATTATTGATTTTTTTATTACGTCATAATATGAGCATAATATAATTTCTTCATTTCATAGCTGATTGTGAAATATTTCTATAATACATGAATTTATTCATTCTGGAAGTACCTAAATGCAAATATAAACAATATATACAGAATCTACCAGTTAGAGAGGGTATACTGAAAACCGACTAATTATTCAAACGGTAGCAAAATCCAAAGACAATGTATTTATATATCCAATAGTTTCGGTTACGGTTTTCGTAACTTCCTAACATCCCTGAAATAAACTAGTCAAAAACGTCGGCTGATTTCCAGTGAATGTCAAAGAAAAGTTAAATAACTGGCTTTAAAAAGAAATCATTTGAGTTTCTTGCCTGTTCTTCGCAATTGAATTCGTATATTGAACTGAATGGTAGGGAAAACACTTACAAAAAATGTGACATTTATACGCGGCTAAAATGTCCTACTGGAATTAATAATTATGGAATTTGAATTTAGTGTTACCGATTTTTAGTATACCTTATCTAACTGTATATTCCTATAGACTGTTTACCGTTATTAAAAAACAATGGCAGATAATTATAATTTCAAGACAATTCACACAGATCTAGACCCAAGTTAAGCTACCTAAAGCGTAAATATGGGTACTAGATAACTGATACAAATACATAGATATTTTTTTTCGGTAAATACATATTATACATAGAAAACACCCAGACGGGCACGAACAATCATACTCATGAATACAAATGTTTGTGCCGTGTGAGGAATCGAACCTGCGACCATCGGAAGTAAGGCGGTGTGCTAAACCACTATACCACCGAGGTCGTGAAATAAAATAACTGTATAAGAATTGATATATTAATCTATAGGATGAGCCTGAATAAAATATATTTTTGACGAACGGTAAACAATATCCGATATGAGTTTTTCAAAAACTATTAACCTGTTAACCAAGCGGGACGCATAAATACGTCAAACGTACATTTACGGGTGGGACGTATAAATACGTCAAGCGTACATTTACGGGTGGGACGTAAAGTTGAGCGGGACGCATAAATACGTCAAACGTACATTTACGGGTGGAACGTAAAGTTTTGTACAATAAAGTTTTTGTATATTCCCTTGTTGTTGCTTATAAATAAAGGAATACATTACATATCAAATATATATATATCTATATATATAAAATTATATTGTTCTGTGACGTACTGGCACGTCCTAGTGAGTCAGCAGTTAAGTAGCTATGACGTGGTCGAGTGGAATGAGTAGTCATGCTCACTAAAATGTTCAGACATGTGGCGGCGTGGTGGGCCGGGTCATTGGGTTCCCTAAAATATGGTCGAGCGCAGTGATGGCTGGTTCATCCGTCATACTCGTGAACGAGTGCTGCTTGTAGGGACTGGTCTGCTTTTATCACTACGAATGATTTAATCTGATTGTATATTTATATTTGACCCAAAAAAATTAGTGCTGGTTGGTAGTTTGTATTCACACGTTTCGACTTGTAAATGTAAACTTACAAGGATTATTTAAAAGAGCAACACGCAAGTTTCTTACTCGTTCTTCTTGTGATGAGACAGCTTTCCGAACGAGCGGTAGATTAAAAAAAAGTTATGACTATTCAAAAGTGCTTAAATTAAGTTTATTTGAATAAATTATTTTCTATTCTATTCTATTCAGTCCCCGTCATATACTGCATATTTAAAAAGGAATTCCCAGGTTAACAGGTTAATATAATTTATTTGATAATTATAATATATTATATTTTGATTTTATTAGAAGTCACTAGAACCGAGTAAGACCTAGCCTGACCTCTTTTTTTCTTTTTTTATGGCTTGGCAATCTTGTCAGTTGATCTATAACTACAATACAAAACTGACAGCAGTTAAGTTTGACTTATGATAATAAAATAGACCTACATGAATAAAGATATATTGATTTTATATTACATGTACCGATTTATATTTGCATGCCTAATACTTACACAAATGGTGTTGAAATGTCACATTAAAAAAGGTTTTGCATGTTTAAATATTTTTTTTACCATCATTTGAATCTTAGACAAATTAATTACAAATCTAAAGTTTAACTGAGCTAAGCTTAACACGTTGAAGACCGCTTTGAAAAGTCCTTATTTCTCACTCTATGTGAGAAATAAGGGCTTTTCAAAGCTCGGCATTTTTTATTGTTAATTAGCTACACCCGTGACTTCGTCCGCGTGGAATTTTACTTTTTTTTTTAAACAAAAGTACCTAAGTTACTCCTTATTACATCAGCTACCTGCCAATAAAAGTCCCGTCAAAATCAGTCCAGCCGTTTCAGAGATTAACCGGAACAAACAGACAGACAAAAATAGTAAAAAATGATATTTTGGTGGATATACCGTATATATTCATATGCATGTAGTAGAAAACGGTTATTTCAATATTACAAAGAGAGACTCCAATTTTATTTATATGTATACATTAGATATTTATTTTTTTAATGTTTTTGGTGTACAATAATTTGATTAATATTATTTAACCCCTAGATGTAATTGAATTAAAGTGCCCACGGGTGATCACCTGATCACAACTTTAAATTTACTTTCGTTGCAGTGTGTGTGTACAACATTAAAAAAAAATACGAGCCGAGTTTCTTGTCAGTTCTTCTCATCTCGAAATCATTCCGAACTGACGGTAGATTTGACATATCATGAGAGTCTGTAATAGACCTACATGAATAAAGATATTTTGAATTTGAATTTGTGACCCACCGGCGGGCATACGGTCTCTCTAACGTGTTAAACAGGGTCCAGGTTGTCTGCTAGACGCTGCTTCTAGCGATAAAACAGCAGCACTATAGAGTTATATTACTATTAAACATCCAAATCCATTATGATGAATTTTGGTATAACGATAGTTGAATCATGACACATTTGTGTAGATATAAAGTTCTATAATACAATCTAGTTTATGATCTAAATGACTGACTACGAAAACCATAAATATTGTAGAATATTTAAGCAAAACATACTACATAATTAAATTGCTGAGCTCTAATCGCTTTTTATAAGATATTAGCTGTGCCCGCGACTTTGTCCGCGTGGAATTTAACTTTATTTTTCTAAAATAAAAGTAGCCAAGTTACTCCTTATTACATCAGCTATCTACCAAAAAAGTTCCGTCAAAATTGGTCCAGCCATTTCAGAGATTAGTCGGAACAGAGAAAAATTGTAAAAAAATGTTATTTTGGTGTATGTACAATATTTACATTCATATGCATGTAGTAAAAAACGGTTATATCAATATTACAAACAGACACTCCAATTTTATTTATATGTATAGATTAACACTCTTGAGAACTCTGTGAGTGAAGGCGGTCACTACAGCTGTGCAACCAGTCTTTTTTCGGACTACTCTAATGCTGTTGGCCGCAGCTGGCCTTTACAGCTTCACAGGACTACAGGGGCGAGTGTAGATGGCACTCCAAACCAAAGGAAGGACTTATGGAGCGGCTGAAGGCCAACTCCCGCCTGACGGATACGTCATCTGTCTGAGGACACCGCTAGGGGTTCGCACCTCGACTCGGGACGTCGTAATATCGATTTGAATTGGGCGGGGATTAAAAATAGTACGAAAAAAAACAGAGTTCCGGACTAAGTGAAGCTGTGTGAATTGTCCAGGGTAATTTTTAATAAAGGAATGAGTTATGGAGCGGCTGAAGGCCTGATGGATGCGTCTTGTCTGGGGCCACCGCTAGGATTCATCGGGGGCACTCGCCAGGTCAAACTTAGAGATGGTCACTACAATACTAGTAGAATTGTAATATATACAGAAGGGACACCACACTAGGCTTTCATAGAATTCACCTCAGCTACCCTTTAACACTAGTGTTTATAGTCGTTATACATTGGGAGTTCGGAAAGTCATTTCGTTATTCTTTTGGGAAATTTTCGTCTACTGAATAACGAAGACTTTTCAAGTGGTCATAAATTAAATTCTGGATGAAAGATGAAAAAGGTCACTAGATTGCTTAGCGATAAGCCTTTTGTATCATTTACAATTTTTCTTTGTTCTGTAATTGCTGCAATAAAAAGTATAAATCATGTGTAAACCAGATGTGGCGTACCATCAACACTTCTCCACACACATCGGTTAATTTCTGACTTTAACAGCATTTTTACGTTTTCTATAGTAAAGAAATAAATATGACGAAATTGCTGCTTATTGCTATATTTACAAGGACACCAAGAAAAATGCGTATATTTAATTGCACTTGTTCATACACATGCCTTATACGGCTTAAATGTGAAGATGAGTTCACAAAATACAATTAAATATTGTTGGGCAAAAACGAAATTACTTTCCGAACAACCTAATATTAGAGATATAACTGTACATTAAAGATATACAAGAAAAACTATTGCATTATCAATGTAAGAGCTCAAGCTCTAGAAATTACCGATTTAGACGCGGTTTTCGAAGCTTCACTGAGAGTTAGTGTTTGTTCTGTTAACAAACGAATAGGTTTCACAGGTACGTAGTCACGATTTCAGCTATGTCTTTATGGTGACATCGGTTCAGTCTTAATATCTCCTTCTGACAGAAAATCACTTGGTTCCACTTTTATATTAATCTTTATACCTTCTGATAAATCGTGTGAATAACCAACGCCACTGTTAGACTCGTCTTCATCGCTCATTTCCGCTGTGCACAACTCGCTCAGCATCATTTTAGATTTCGACGAATCGTAGTAATTCAATTTGTATCTCTGGATTGAATATTCCAAACAATTATACGACGAAGTGCAAGATTCACATTTAAATATTATAGAATCCCGTAAATGCTTTAATTTCTGATATAAATTATAATAGAAGTCATCCTGAAAGTTTTTAATACATTCTTCACACTCTACATTGAATATCCGATGTCTGGAGCCGAATGTTGCTAAGTCATCAATATCGAATTCACTGTGAAACTTCTTTATATGGCGTTTCAAAGTTTTTCTCGTGCTGAAGTCTTTCATGCAGATTATGCAGCGAGGCGGGACTTTCTCTTTTAAATTTGGCACCAAGTTCACGTGGCAGTGCTCATTGTGTTGCTCAAACTTCTCCTGTCCTTTAAAAACTAAGTTGCAATGTTCACATTTGTAAATCTCATCTTCTGCTAAATGTTTAGTTTGTAAATGTATTGTTAGAGCTTCATTTGAGCCGAAGGATACTGAACAGAGATCGCAAGGGTACGTGTTCATGTTGAATGAATGTACTAACTTCAAGTGAATCTTGCATGATTTTGCCGACTCAAATCTTTTATGACATATGTGGCATTGAGGGAACGCAGCAGAATTAGGATGTTTGGTACGTACATGCTTTCTCAAACTCCTCTTCTCTTTGAAAAGGGTTTCACATTCAATACACTTGTACCGTTGCATCCCTAAATGTGTATATTCAATATGTCTTCGAATATTTCTTTTGGATTTAAACTGTTTTTCACAGTAATCACATTTGGACCATGAATTATCTGTGTGCACTATTTTTATGTGGGATGCCAAGTAATACTTGTTACTGCAAACCTTTCCGCAGTACATGCACTGCATGGCTTCGTCGGTAGTGTGTTTCAATTTTACGTGATGTTTTAATGATCTATCGCTATAGTATATTCTGTTGCAATGCTCACACCTGTATGAGTTTTCTTCTTCATCATTTGTCGAGGTGATGTTAGAGTCAGTTATATGAGCTTGTGGATGAAATATTCTAGTGTGGAACTGCAAACTACTGATATCAGTAAACAATTTATCACAATGACTGCAGCTGTTTACATTTGGTGGTGGGAGACATGTCTTTTTATGCTCCGACATTGTATCCTTACTGAAGAATTTATTAAAGCACACATTACATGTGCATAGACAATATTCCTTTTCGTGACCAACTTTCATATGATCCTTCAATTCATATACACTTGTGAAAGTATTGGTGCAGTATTCACAATTATAAAATGCAGTCTTTATACCATCATCATCCTTCTGTGCTGCCTGCTTTAATAACGACATCTTACAGTATTTGTAGAAGATATCAAATGAGTGCTTTGTCTTCACATGTCGTCGTAGCAAGGATTCTTGGTCATAACAAATACTACATGTATCGCATATGAATTCATCTGTTTTCTTACTTTCATCACACTCAGACGGACATGTTTCTTGTTTGTGAAAGAAGGACAGATGGCTGTCTAAATTATCTTTACCCGGTATCCATTTCTCACAGTACGTACACTGTACAGTGTCCTGATCATCAACGCAGTGAGCAGTACGCAAATGCCTCCTCAAACTCTGATTGGAAGTGTACACTTTTGGACAAATACTGCATCTATACTCACCCTTTTCTCCGTGAAACATTTCAATATGTCTTTTTAAATTTCTATTATTTGTGTATGCTTTGTTACACATATGACACTTTATAACATCTTTCTCCTGGCTGTGGTTTATTCTAATATGTTCAATTAGCGAGTTTCTAGCTTTAAATGATCTGTTACATTCATTACAAGTTGAATATTTGACTGAAGGATTGTGCAACTGTGCTATATGACGCCTTAAATTACGTTCTGTATTAAATTGCTTTAAGCAAAACTTACAATGTATATCCGGACCTGTGCCTTGGTAATGTACAGTGTACATATGAGATACTATATTCTGTTTTCTTCTAAATATCCGGCCGCATAAATCGCATTCAGGATATGTTTCGCCCTTTCTGTTATGTCCTTTTTTAAAATGTAGATGTAGTGCGGATGCACTTTTGAATCGTTGGCGACATATCTCGCAGTAACACGAGCTGTTCATGTGATAATTCTCTATATGTGTACGTAAATTGTTTTTTCTTGTAAACGGTCGGCTGCAGTAATCACAAATAAAATCCAATTGGTTTTGAAAGACAGACATGTTTAAGGTTTATGCTTCTGTTTTTTAATCATATCAATTTTGTCATATTGATTTTTATTACACAACTATATTTGTTATCACGTCGAATGCACTTATTTTAAACATAATTATGAGAAAATAACATTATTGTTATATTATGAATGTTCACAAATGTATTTAAATGGAAATGGCACAGACTACAGATACTTTGTGATCTTTCGTCTGTCTATGATTTAGTTGTCAATTACAGATACAGAGTAGTTAGATATTCGGTTCTCTATTGTCCTTTATGTATTCTGTGTTAACTAACATTGTTTTGTTTTGCATTATTTCGTGATTATTTATTTATATTTATTCACAATGTATTTCAGTCAAAGAACTTTTCGGAAAACTATCTTTAAGTTGAGTTAATATGATATATTGCGTTATTGAAACTATATATTTAATTGTTCTTAATAACAAGAAATCGATTTTGGGATTTATACAGTAAAAAATAATAATGGCTCGCATATCAATGTGCAGAGTTTGTTTGACTGAGAATGTAAGAATGCATGTGTTGACTGATACTCCACTTCAGGGAGTATATGAAAAACTAACTAATACATCGGTGAGTAACATATAACTCTTTTTCTGAATAACAATGGTGCACCCGGCTACGCTAACGGTATACCCTGACGGGGCACCAGTGGAGGACTTCCATCCAATTCAAACAGGGATCGAAATTACGACGGCCTGAGCCGCGGTTCGACGTCCTATCGGTGCCCTCAGACTGGCGTCGTATCCGTCAGGCGGGAGTTAGCCTTCAGCCGCTTTGTAAGTCCTTCCTTTGTTTGGAGTGCCATCTGCACTCGCTCCCTATCGTCCGGTGAAGCTGTGTAAAGGCCAGCTGTGGCCAACAGCATTAGAGTAGTAAAAAAAAATGGAAGATAAGAGGAGTATCAGTTAGGGCAGACCAGTTTACCATTGTGATCAATTTATCAGGAATTTGTCACAATGATTCCAGGGTACCTGACACTGGTTTAAAATTGAGCAATATATTATCTTTAAAATGTTTGGTTGGGACCCTAATTTTAAGGGTTCATAGAAACATTATTCAAGGCTAATGCCAGAAACAAAACTGTTCGAAAGTAATTTTTTTTACATTAACTGTATGAAACACTGGTGGGGCTTTATTGGAGGATGATAAAAAGAGCATAAAGTCAGATCAGTTAGCTCATCTTGGCAACTGGCAAATTACCACAATGGTTTCAATGGGGAACCGCTTGAAGGTCAGCCTGGCATGGTACATTGCTAGCAATGAGGCTATTAGTCCACATTTTTTAATTGTTTCCCCTTTGGAAATACATTTTGTTCCCCCTTTACAAATACTGTTTTTTCCGCTGTTCATAAATATTTTTTGTAGCCCTTCATAAATACTGTTTGTTCCCCCTTTATAAATACATTTTGTTCCGCCTTTATAAATACTTTTTGGTACCCTTTTATAAATACTTTCTGTTCCCCCTTTATAAATACTTTTAGTTCCTTTTTATAAATACTTTTAGTTCCCCTTTATAAATACTTTTAGTTCCCCCTTTATAAATACTTTTAGTTCCCCTTTATAAATACTTTTAGTTCCCCTTTATAAATACTTTTAGTTCCCCTTTATAAATACTTTTAGTTCCCCTTTATAAATACTTTCTGTTCCCCCTTTATAAATACTTTTAGTTCCCCTTTATTTATAAATACTTTTAGTTCCCCTTTATGAATACTTTTAGTTCCTTTTTATAAATACTTTTAGTTCCTTTTTATAAATACTTTTCTTCCTCCTTTATGAATACTTTTTGTACCCCTTTATAAATACTTTTTGTTCCAGCTAATGTCGGATGTGAAGCCAATAACAATATGTTATCTGTGCTATTCTCAACTGAACAAGTGCTGGCAGTTTGTTGAGAAATCAATGAAAGCCAATGAGCTGTTGACACAAATTCTGGGTTCTGATGTTGAAGTAAGTATCATTTTGTAAATAAACATTAATTTACAGACTCTTATGATATCTCTAATTTACCTATCTATCATAAATGCTGTTGGTCACAGCTGGCTTTTACAGCTTCTCCAAACAATAGGGGTTAGCGCAGATGGCACTCTGAACCGAAGAAAGAACTTACGGAGCGGCTGATGGACCCAACACGTCTTAGGGCACCGCTAGGTCATCTAACTTCGACTCAGGCTATTGTAATTTCAATCCCCATTCGAATTGGATGGGGGATCAATGAGAAAGTATAGTAAATAAAATAATAACCTATTTCAGCTAACAGAAAAATCACTAACAACAATTGACAGACAGTCCTACCAGTTTATGTACAGACTGCAAGTTTCACCTGTAGAATATATGAGTATAGATGCTGAAAATAATTTAACCATGGTCAAGGAGGAACTTGGTATATCATATGAAAGGAATGAAGAAGTTATAAAATGTGAAACAGTCATAGGTAAAGTATAAAGAAAATATTATATAGTCTAATATAAAAATGTCATGTCAGAGTTATTTGGAAGGAAAGGGAGAGGATACCCTAAAAAAGATGGATGGATTGTGTGAAAGATGATTAAGGAGAGTAGCTCAGATATGACGGCCGATAGAGACCAGTGGAAGAGAATGACATACTGCGACGACCACAAATAATAGGATAATGGAAAGGCGATGATGATGATATTTTTGATGCGATGATGATGATTGATATTAATCTTATTGCATGATTATATTTGACCCAAAAAATTAGTGCTTGTTGGTAGTTTGTATTCACACGTTTCGACTTGTAAATGTAAACTTACAAGGATTATTTAAAAGAGGAACACACAAGTTTCTTGCTCCTTCTTCTTGTGATGAGACAGCTTTCCGAACGAGTGGTAGATAAAAAACAAATTGTTATGACTATTCAAAAGTGCTTAAATTAAGTTTATTTGAATAAATGATTTTCTATTCTATTCTATTCTATTAGAGTTACTAAAACAAACTCACCTGAAATGGCTTGACCGATTAACGAATAATTTTTCATATAATTATTTTAGATTCTCCCGAAAAATGCAATTCACAAGACTCAGAGGATGATGTACCGTTACATGATATTAGTACGAAGAAAAGAGACAGAAATAGATTAAGGAGTTCAAAAATACTCGGCGAGACTGTATGCAGAAGCAAGAAAGTGGATGGTTCCTCTCTTAAAATTGAGGAATCAGAATTAAATGGAAATAAAAGAAAGACTGAAATGGGAGACTGTGGGGATGATGAAGGTAAATTTATCTTTAGATACCGCCCCGGCATCGCAAGGGTTTTTCTCTGACTACTCTAATGCTGTTCTCCGCAGCTGGCCTTTACAGCTTCACCGGATGATAGGCAGCGGGTGCAGATGGCATTCCAAACTAAAGGAAGGACTTATGGAGCGGCTGAAGGCCAACCTGTCCGAGGGCACCTCTAAGGGTTCGAACTTCGGCGCAGGCCGTCCTAATTTCGATACCCGTTTGAAGGTGTACATATATTATACATATAAACCTTCCTCTTGAATTACTGTATCTATTGCAATAAAATCCGTTTTTTTACTATCTTCTTCGCTTTCAACATTTTTAGCAGAGTCTATTACTAAATGGTTACTTGAATGACGAGCGTACATGGCAATAGTTGTTCATGTACGGGGTTTTCATTTAATGTTAGACATAGACACCTATATACTTTTGTAAATTACTTGGCTTTTGGTAAATAATAATAATAAGAAATTCAATTGAGTTTCTTATTAGTTCTTCACAATTGAAACTGTATAGTGAAATGGACGGTAGGAAAAAAATGTAATTAAAAAAAAATTACGTTCCTAAGTGGCTAAAATAACGTACATGATGATGATGATGATGATGATGATGACATGATGACATCCTACTAAAAATTAAATAAATTGAAAAAAATATTTTTTCAATTATTTTAATTTTTAGTACACTGCTTGAAGTATGCCTCTAGTATGGTGCTTGGACCTGTAGCACTGCGACCTACATAGATCTATTGTGCTCGCCCTTTTTTTATAGGTCGATATCTAGACCCGTCAGGGACAAGAATTGAAGGACATTCTTAGGAGCGATGGTTTTTATCTCCTCAGGATAGAGTGTAAACTTTCCAAAGGAGATATTACGTTTATGCATGAGTGGGCTACAACCACATAGGATGTGTAGTGGCGTTTCCTCTTCAGTTTGGCAAAATCGATTCCCATACCAGACCCACTGACTTTTTCTAAATGATACTTAGAAACAGCAAGTTTGTCTTTATATCTAGTATTATTATGCCCTTAGAACAGACCAGTCAAGCGACAGAATTAGATATGTTACATACAGATTCCGAAGATGAACCTCTGTATAATATCAGTAATAACAAAGCAAAGAGACAAGTCCAGACAAGAAGTAAGAAAGGAACGGAACAGAACAGAAAATTCAAAAGAGGTATGTAATAGAGCAATGCAAATAGAAATAATAATCTTTATTCAAATAAACTTAATAATAATAATAATATTTCAGGACAATTGACACAGCGCCATCTAGTCCCAAGCTAAGCAGAGCTTGTGTTATGGGTACTAGACAACTGATATAAATACATGGATACTTTTTTTTTCTAAATAAATACATATTATACATAGAAAACACCCAGATGGATACAAACAATCATACTCATGAATACTAATGTTTGTACCGTGCGAGGAATCGAACCCACGACCATTGGATAGTAAAGCGGTGTGCTAAACCACTAGACCACCGAGGCTGTCAATAGTGCTTAATATAAGCGTTTTGAATAGTCATAGTTATCTGTTGGGTAAAAAAGGGAAACTAAGGACCAACCTGGTTCGTGTCGTCCCCGCGTGCAGGTCTTATTTTACGCGTAGCCGTTTCACTTTAAAAACACACAACACTACGATGAATTTCATTGATGTATAATCAGATGATTGCGCGAAGATCGCGTGATGGTTCCGTTAACGTTGATTTGCCTCGACGCGACGTACAACGACCATTTTGTTGATGCTACCCCCAGATATGGTGGATAAAAATAGGAGTAGGATTTAGGGTAGTAACATATTGCAAGTTGGCTAGAAATTTTTAATCAAAATCCTTATTTTAATCAAAAGCTCATTCGGAAAGCTTTCTCATCACAAGAAGAATGATTTTTTTGAGCAAGAAACTTGTATGTTGGTTTTTAAATAATCGTTGTAACTTTACATTTTTAAGTCGAAACGAACACTTCAAATTCAAATTCAAAATATCTTTATTCATGTAGGTCTATTACAGACTCTTATGATATGTCAAATCTACCGTCAGTTCGGAATGATTCGAGATGAGAAGAACTGACAAGGAACTCAGCTCGTATTTTTTTTTTTAGTGTTGTACATATTTACATTAATATTATTTAATTTAAATTCAAATATAGGGAGAATAGAGTGCCCACCAGCATATGCTATATAAAAAAAAAATCAAAAGATCTAATCAGTGTTCGCAACCTGAAAAGATCAGTCCCCACAACATTAATTTATTAGGGTCATATATTAAATACACAATAACAATAAATCGGTCGTCACTCTTTAATTTTTTTTTGTTGTTAGTAAACAAAATGGAGGCGCGGGAAATAATTCTAACGAAAGATCAGCAGTTACAAGAACTAATGGAGCGTTCTAAGTCATTAAACTTCTTAAATTCACCGTACAAATGTGATCTGTGTTATAAAGGATTTGTTGATCTGAGAGCGTATGAAAACCATAAAGAAAAACATGACGAGGTAAGAATTTTGCTCATAATCCTAGATCTTCAGGCATTTTTTAAAATTTAGGGGTCATTGTTTTTTTTTATAACACGGGACAAACGAGCATGCGGCTCACCTGATGGTAAGTGATTACCGCCGCCCATGAGCACCCGCAACACCAGGGGAATTGCAAGTACGTTGTCGACCTTTTAAAAAGGAATAAGCTCTTTTCTTGAAGGTTTCAATATCGTATCGGTTCGGAAATACCATTGTTGGAAGGTGATTCCACAATGTGGTTGTGCGAGGCAAAAAGAAATATGTAGTATAATCTTGTATATAAAATTCTCGTGTTACAGTTTTCGTTCCCATACTCCTCCGAAACGGCTTGACCTATTCTCATGAAATTTTGTGAGCGTATTGAGTAGGTCTGTGAATCGGCCAACATCTATTTTTCATCCCCCTATATGTTAGGGGTAGTCCACCCCTAATTTTTTTTTTATTTTAAGGCAAAATAACGTTTGCCGGGACAGCTAGTGATAAGTATAATAATATCCCTGAATATTCATCATCAGTTCACACAACGCCATCTAGTGTTAAGCTACGTGGAGCGTATGTTATGGACACTAGGTAACAAATACATTTTTTTGTAAAAGCATACATAATATACATCCATAGGGGAAAAGGAGATTGTTAGTAATGTGAACTGATGATCTTATTGCTAGCATGTACCATAACAGGTTGACCTCCACGCGGTTCCCCCGGAAACCATCGTTATAAATTCTTCGTAAATTTGTCACAATGTGCTAACTGACCTGACCTCATGCTCATCTTATCATCCTCCACTGGTGCCCCGCCAGCGTAAACCGATAGCGCAGGCGGGCACTATTCCATTGTCATCCATAAAAAAAAACATTAGCTATCTCCTAGTGAAAGTCCCGTCAAAATTGGTCCAGATATATCAGAGATTGGCAAGAACCAACAGATGACGCTTACTAAACAGTCAATGTGGCCTCCGATCAATCCCCCATCGATCAGGGATCGAACGTGCACGTGGTTCCCCCTGGAAACCATTATGATGAATTCTTGGTGAATATGACACGATCATCCTCCACTGGTGCCCCGCCAGCGTAAACTAGCGCAGGCTGATGCACCATTCCATTATCATCAATAAGAAATATATACACAGAACAATACTAATAAATATACTCATGAATACAAACCTTTCTACCATACGAATAATGGAACCTGCAAACACCTATAATAAAACAGTATCCTAAGTCGCTAGATCAGAGAGCCCGTGTAATTATTGTATGATGAAAAGTGGAATTTGTATAAGAAAGAGTGAAACAGAGTTGTGCGCGTTTGTGTGTGAGAGAGAGAGTGAGTGTGTACTTGTGATGCGAGCAATGAGTGCGTGCGAGCGTGCGTACTCTTATGCCCGAGCCCAGTACAGAGAAAATGTTGAGCCTGAACAATTACTGATTAACATCGTTATATAAAAACAGTTTAGACTATTAGTCAGATCAGTCCGCGTCGATAACTCATTTCACTTGCACCTATATAGCTTGGGATAAGTTTGTTAATATATTAACTTGTGAAACCACATTTTCGGAATAAACTATCTAAAATTAAGTGACTTTTGTGTTGTGTATTAAAAAGGTTTTTTTTTAAACCAAACGGGGTCAGGCGCCTAACAGTGCGTATATGCGTGCGTGCGTGCGTACGTGCGTGCGTGCGAGCGTACGTGCGTGCGTGCGTGCGTACGTGCGGAGCGTATGTGTGTTTGTGTTAGTGGTAGTAGCAGTGAGGTGTGTGTGTACAGCGGCGCGGCGGACACGAGTGCGGCGTGTGCCGGCTGCGCTACGGCAGCTCGCGTCAGCTGCGGGCGCACGCGGCCGCCTCACACGCGCGCCGGTACGCCTGCCACCGCTGCGACCACCGCGCACACACCGCGTGAGTCCTACCATTCAACTCACTTTTTTACGGACTACTCTAATGGCCGCAGTTGGCCTTTACGGCTTCACCGGACGATAGGGGGCGAGTGCAGAAGGCACTCCAAACCGAAGGAAGGACTTACGGAGCGGCTGAAGGCCGACTCCCGCACGGATACGACGCCAGTCTGAGGGCTCCGCTAGGGATTCGATCGTCGGCTCAGACCGTCGTTCTTTCGATCCTCGTTTGAATTGAACGAAGATCGATCGTAGTAGCGACCGGGCCGACGATGTGGAGCGCCCGATTTATTGACTACATAGCATGTGTGATGGGGTCTCTTCTTCAGCTTGGCAAAATCTGCAGATTATAGTGACCGTTACGATATTTATGTTTTCAGTAATCAAGCACGGGAACACGAGAAGTGGCACAATGGATACACGTATGAATGTCAACTGTGCAGCCATAAATTCAGGTATGTTGGTAATTTAGTACACACACAGTCACTCTTTTTTAATCCCAGAGATAAATTGGATATTAACAATGTTGCTAGATTTTTGTATTTGTTTAATAGTGTTGTAGCACTATCAGAAATTAATATTATTTACCCATTTTTTTATAGGTGTTTGTTTAACTTCCTAATTTGTTATTAATTAAAACACCGGTATAGATTTGATGTATCTGTATTAAAGACTGCCATTACAACAATCATAAATAAAAAAAAGTAAATCGCTTCAATCACTTAACACTATAGCGCCATCTATGTTGAAATATTGTAACTAATTTTAGCCATTAGAAGCAGAAATTATGCCATCATCATCTGCTTCTTCCTTATCCCATTTATTTGTGGTCGTCGTGATATGTTTTTCTCTTCCATTCATCTCTGTTCGCAGTCATTCCGTTATTTACTCTCTTTCTCACCATATCATCTTTCTCACAGTCCATCCATCTCTTTTTTGGCCTTCCTCTGCTCTTATTACCATCCACATTCATATGTAACACCGTCCTTAGGATATGATCTTCATTCCTACGTATTACATGTCTATACCACGACTGACGCTTACTCTTTAATTTCAAATTAAAAATAGGGGTTGATGATAGAAGGGTGAAAATTTAGAGTTGAATGTATTTTTAATGGCACATAATAAAAAAAAAGGACGAAAATTTTGAAAATGTTAATTTGCGGTGATCTACCCTTAACTCTTAGAAGTTTAAAAAATTAGTAATAAATCTATTCTCAGACCTAATGAAAATACATATAAATATTCATCAAAAACAGGTCCATAGTGTACATGAATTATTATACATATAAACCTTCCTCTTAAATCACTATATATTAAATAAACCGCTTCAAAATCCGTTGCGTAGTTTTAAAGAATTAGGCATACATAGGGACGGACAGACAGCGACAGCGACTTTATTTTATACTATGTGATGATAATGATTATGTAAGGCATATATTATCTGACTTAACGACCTCGGTGGTCTAACGGTCTAGCACAGCTTTACGTCATATGGTCGCGGGTTCGATTCCTCGCACGACACAAACATTTGTATTCATTTATTTATTTATTTATTTATTTATTTAGCCTTATTTCATGAGTATGTGTTAAAACCACAAGGCCCTAAGGGTACTATAAACCAAAACACTACACTCGTATATATAAGGTTTATTGGTCGGTTTCAAATACAGGTACAAAAAATGTTATAAAGTAAAATACATCTATGTATAATAAGTATGTATTTACAAAATAAATATCTATGTATATGTATCAGTCATCTAGTACTCATAACACAAGCTTTAGCTAGCTTAACTTGGGACTAGATGGCGCTGTGTGAATTGTCCTGAGATTATTATTATTATCAGTTATCTAGTACCCATAACACAAGCTTTAGCTAGCTTAACTTGGGTCTAGATGGCGCTGTGTGAATTGTCCTGAGATTATTATTATTATCAGTGAACTAGTGCTCATAATACAAGCTTTAGCTATCTTAACTTGGGTCTAGATGGCGCTGTGTGAATTGTCCTGAGATTATTGATTATTGATTATAGGAAACCAACATCGTATTTAACACACATGCGTAAAAGACACCCCACCGAGCACGTGTGCGTGACGTGCGGCGCCAGCTTTGTGGGTCGACATGGACTTCTCATGCACCAGAGCAAAACACACGGCTACAAGAAAAATGTAAGTATTCATATATGACTACTGTATTTGGGTCGTCCGCGTGGAATTTAACATTATTTTTATAAAATAAAAGTTGCCTAAGTTACTCCTTATTCATCAGCTACCTGCCAAAAGAAGTCACTTCAAAATCGGTCCAACCATTTCAGAGATTAGCCGGAACAAACAGACAGACAGACAAAAATTATATAAAATGTTATTTTATTCATATGCATGTAAAAAACGGTTATTTCAATATTACGAACAGACACTCCAATTTTATTTGTATGTATAGACTATCTGTCCCCCGCAGCTTCGTCTGCATCACACTTACTTGACATTTATCATCATATTTCACACAATTTATTTAACATTTTTTTTTTCAAATTTATATTCAATAATCATTTATTCATGTAGGACATTTTAGCCGCTTATGAACGTCAAATTTTTTATATTATATTTTTTTCTCTATCGTCCAGTTCAGTTAAAATATATTATAGCCTATGTGTTATTCTGATGTATAAGCTATATTACTGTAAAGTTTCTATCAGAATCTGTTCAGTAGTTCTTGTTTGAAAAAGTAACAAGTATCCTTCCATACTCACAAACTATATTATTATTAAAATTATGGTTTAATTAGCTTTTGCCAGCGGCTTCGCTCGCGTTAATTTATCCCCTTAGGGGTGGAATTTATCAAAATCCTTTCTTAGGAGATGCCTACGTCATAGTAAATTTATGCATGCAAAGTCTCAGCCCGATCGGTTTAAAATTGACAAAGTTTCATACAAACTTTCATCCCCTATTTTATCCCCTTGGGGTTGGAATTGATCAAAATCCTTTCTTAGCGGATACCTACGTCATAACATCTACCTGCATGCCAAATTTCAGCCCGATCCGTCCAGTGGTTTGGGCTGTGCGTTGATAGATCACTATGTCAGTCACCTTTGAGTTATATATATATATATATGGATAGATTATATATTATATATATAGATATGTACTAATTCACAGATATCAGATAAGGCAGATGAACCAGCCACCGACAGATTTTGTGTGGAATGCAACATACAGTTTGCTAGTGTTGAAGCGTGGAAGTGGCACGTATTGAGTTCAGTGAAACACAAGCTAACAGGCGAGAACAGGTATGTATCATCATTACATAGTATAAAACAAAGCCGCTGTCGCTGTCTGTCCGTCCCTATGTATGCTTAAATCTTTAAAACTACGCAACGGATTTAGAAGCGGTATTTTCTTAAATGATAGAGTGATTCAAGAGGAAGGTTTATATATATATATATATAATACTGGGCTCCCTAAAATATGGTCGAGCGCAGTGATGGCTGGCTCATCCATCATACTCGTGAACGGGTGCTGCTTGTAGGGACTGGTCTGCTCTAATCACTATGACTGATTTCCTCTTATTAATTCTTTAACCAGTTGGTTATATATTCAATATTTTTTCTATTTGAGTATTTAATTGAATTAGTGCTAATCGGTAGTTTGTATTCACACACTTAAACTTAAAAATGTAAAGTAATAATAAAATTATTTAAAAGAGCAACACACAAGTTTCTTGCTCGTTCTTCTTGTAATGAGACAGCTTTCCGAATGAGCGGTAGATTAAAAAAATGTAATGACTATTCAAAAGTGCTTCAATGCAAGTTTATTTGAATAAATGATTTTCTAGTTCATGTACATCCGTGCAAAGCCGGGGCGAGTAGATAGTAACATATAAAAGCAAAAAATGTTTTAATATTTGTAATGACATAATGTATATATATGACAGTATTGAGTTCAGTGAAACATAAATTGACAGGTGTGAACAGGTATAATAAAAAATTCTTAAATTAAGTTATATGTTATATATAACTTAATTTAAGAATTTTTTATTTATTTATTTATTGCCCTTTATTCAGACTTAATTTAGCCATTTATTCAGACTTTCTGAATGAATTTTTTTTCTTGTTTTTATACAATATCAAGTACTTGGTCGTCTGCTTGCTTCAAAGCAAAGGCCTCCACTAATTCTCTTTCTATTCTTTTCCACTCTGTTCTGTCTTGTGTGGTCCTGCTCCATATCTTCCCTGCTGTTCTAACTATTTCATCCTCTCATCTTCTATCTGGTCGTCCTCTTTTTCTGTGTCCTCGTCTTGGGTACCAAGTAGTCATAACCTTGCTCCATTTATTCTTTCCACGTAATGTGTATCCAGCCCATTTTCCCCAGCGCCATTTTAGCTGTCTAGTTTTAGCATTTATTATCTTGTGTTTTAGTTAAATTTCTAATCGTTTGCTGGTTTATCTTTTCTATTTTTCTCTTTCCTGTCATATTTCTTTCCATGGTACATTGGCAAGTTCTTGGTTTGATTTCTTGTTCTCTTGTAAGTGCCCATGTTTCGCATCCGTAGTTATATTGGGAGTATAGATGTGTTAAATAGTTTATCTTTTATTTTGTTATCTTTCATTATTTCTTTGAACGACCAGTATTGTTTCCAAGCCTTTTCAGTTCTTATGTCTATTTCTTTGTTCATTATATTTTTGATACTAATGATTTGTCCCAAGTAAGAATATTCATCTACATATTCTATTTCGTTTTCATTTACTATTATTTTTTCATGTTTACCATCACTCATAGCTTTTGTCTTTTGAAGTTCATACTAAGGCCCACTTCTTTACTTTTTCGTTCTAGGTCCTGTAGCATATTTTGTTATTCTGTCGGAGATTTTGCAAAGAGCACTATATCGTCGGCGAATCTCAGATTAGTAATATGTTCCCCGTTAATTTCTAACCCGTTTTGGTCCCAGTTTGTCTAAAAATCTACTCCAAGACTGCCGTAAATTAAGAATACCCTTCTTAAAATAATTTATGTCATATTATACATACCTGTTCGTACCTGTCAATTTATTCATATTTAGGTTTCTTAAGGGTCGGCAACGCTCACGTAGCTCCCCTGGTGTATTTATACATACCTGTTCTCACCTGTCAGTTCGTGTTTGACAGAACTCATTACTGCCATTATTAAAAAAAAATATCTATTTTTTTTATACTACTATGATGGCAAACAGGCCCATCTGATGGTAAACGGTTACTGTAGCCTATGGACGCATGAAACACCAGGGGTGTCGTGCGCGGTGCCGACGCTTCGGACGACCTCGGTGGTCTAGCGGTTACCACACCGCTTTACGACCGATGGTCGTGGATTCGATTCTTCGCACGGCACAAACATCTGTATTTATGAGTATGATTGTTTGTATCGATCTGGGTGTTTTTTATGTATAATATGTATGTATTTACAAAAAAAATATCTATGTATATGTATCAGTTATCGAGTACCGATAACACAAGCTTTAGCTAGCTTAACTTGGCTCTAGATGGCCTTGTGTGAGTTGTCCTGAGATTATTATTATTATTATTAAGAAACCTTAATATGCCCTTGAATTTGTATTCTTGTTCTGCAGTGCTGTGTGTGGTATTTGCGATACCAAGGTGTCTGCTGCGGACACGCGAGCTCATCTCCGGCGTCATCTCCCCGCGCAGCCTCCGCCCCCCGCGCCCCGCGCACGTCTCTCCTGCGAACAGGCGAGTACCACACAACACCTAACCGGCCTCCCCGGCCGCCCTCCTATCGATCCCCCGTCCAATACAAACGGGGTTCGAAGTTACGACGGCCTGAGCTGAGGTTCACACCCCTATTATGTATCATACATCCAACAGTGGACTAATAGATGCTAAAAGAGAAAACGAGAGAAGAGAACGGATTTTAATGGAGTTTATAGTTTTAGATACAGTAATTCAAGAGGATACCAGCCGTTGAGTTTCACCAACGTACCATCCGCCAGAAACTAAAATACCATCCTGATCATCACAATGTGCGGTTTTTCTAGAAACTTTTTGCCACGCACAACCACATTGTAGAATCACCTTCCGATTCTTCCGATACGATATTGAAACCTTCAAGAAAAGAGCTTATTCCTTTTTAAAAGGCCGACAACGTACTTGCAATTCCCCCGGTGTTGCGGGTGCTCATGGGCGGCGGTAATCACTTACCATCAGGTGAGCCGCATGCTCGTGTGTCCCCTGTGTTAGAAAAAAATCAAGAGGAAGGTTTATGTGTATATTATAGAATAGAATAGAATAACATTTATTACATCACACATCTCAACACAATAAAAACAATGCCGACAGCTGCATATAAATTATTGTATAAGATAAACATAAATAAAAAACAATTCATTAAATTAGAGATGAAATCATTATATAAAAAAAAAATTACATGTACACCCATGCGAACCATCCGATGGCGCCAGATATGGGCGTAAGGATCTCAGGGTTTTTACTGTGTGAGTTAAAGGCCCTCTTATGGAAAGCTGTTTTATTTGGTAACCCCTAATTCAAGCGGGGATCGAAATTACAACGGCCTGAGCCGAGGTTCGAACTCCTAGCGGTGCCCTAGAACCTTAATAATGTTCAAACACATAATTTAAATTATTTATGATCGAATTTCTACCATTTAGTAATCACTAGTATATGATAAAAATATGTTTCAGTGTGGTGGAAATTTCGTGAACCGATCAAAACTGCAAGCGCATATTAAAAGGGTTCATCTCGGACTGAAGTACAATAAGAATATTGTGTGCGAAGTTTGCGGCAAGAAATGTACCGTAAGTATACTAAATTACTCTAAGGTCCAGGGTAATTTTTATTAATTAATTTTAAATTTATTTATTCAGATAACAGAGATCCAATTTGTTAGTAACAATTGTACTTAGCCTATGTTAGTATATCTAAAATTACATATCATTTAAGGGCCCCCGTAACAATTTGGGTCCAAAAACAAAGTATTGGGCTGTCGAATTTATTGCACAGCATTTTTAGAATGCTGTTACTGCTGCCCCGCAGTCTGTGCAATAGAGAAGCGATCCGTTTGCGTCTGATGGCATACAGGTCGTCTGTTGATGCTCCTGCAAACATTGTGGATGCACTACAAAAGCGCGGCAAAAAGAACTAGCTGTCCCGGCAAACGTTTTGCCAAAAACTAAAAAAATAAATTTGGGGTGGACTACCCCTAACTTTTAGGGGGATGAAAAATAGATGATGGCCGATTCTCAGACCTACTCAATACGCTCACAAAATTTCATGAGAATCGGTCAAGCCGTTTCGGAGGAGTATGGGAACGAAAACTGTGACACGAGAGTTTTATATATAAGATTACCCTAGACCTTGTAAAATGTAATGTACCGTAAGTATACTAAATTACGCACGTAATAAATATATGAATTATATAGTATACTAAATAATTCACACAGCTTCACTTAGTCCGAAAAAATAGTACAAACATTACTATCATCGTACTATTTTTAATCCCCTCCGATCGATTCACCGTCCAATTCAAACGGGGATCGATATTACGACGACTCCAGTCCAGGTTTGAACCCCTAGCGGTGCCCTCAGACTGGCGTCGTATCCGTCAGGCGGGAGTTGGCCTTCAGCCGCTCCATAAGTCCTTCCTTTGTTTTGGAGTGCCATCTGCACTAGCCCCTTATCGTATGGTGAAGCTGTAAAGGCCAGCTGCGGCCAACAGCATTAGAATAATTCGAAAAAAAAGTCCTAATGGATGGTAATAGAATTACATGATACACCATTCTATTTCATCCATTAAAACAATGTTTTTGTGGCCATATGACAGCCTCGGTGGTTTAGCACACCGCTTTACTATCCTATGGTCGTGGGTTCGATTCCTCGCACGGTACAAACATTTGTATTCATGAGTATGATTGTTTGTATCGGTCTGTGTGTTTTCTATGTATTATTATGTATGTATTTACAAAAAATGACTATGTATTTATATCAGTTGTCTAGTACCCATAACACAAGCTCTGCTTAGCTTGGGACTAGATGGCGCTGTGTCAATTGTCCTGAGACATTATTATTATTATTATTATATAACGTGGTGCCTACATATTTCAGTCGAATGCCTAACTGAGATATGCATGAATACATACGGGCAAGAAGCCCTACTCGTGACCATATAGCGGTGTGACCAATATTTTTCAGTTAAATGCCTCAGATATCAACAATGAATACACACGGGTGAGAAGCCCTACTCATGACCATGTAACACGGTGACTATGTTTTGACTAAATAACTAAATGACCATCAGCAATGAATACACATGGCTGGGAAGCCCTACTCGTACAATATAATGCAGTGAGCAAATTACCATATTTTTCAGTCGAATGTCTCACTGAGATATCATCAATGAAAACACACGGGCGAGAAGCCCTACTAGTGACAAAAATGAATGAATTAACATCAGTGAATACACACGGACGTAAAACCCTACTCATGACGAAAGAACCAAGTTTTTCAGTCGAATACCTCACTGTGGTAATCAATAATTAATACACACGGGCAAAAATCCCTACATGTAACTAAATGACCGTATTTTTCAGTCGAATGCCTCACTGCGCTATCACCAGCGCACACATACGGGCGAGAAGCCCTACTCGTGCGCGACATGTTCGAAGAGGTTCTCTGATAACAACCAACTGCGGATACACACGAGGACTCATACCGGCGAGCGGCCGTACTGCTGCGCCGCCTGCGGGAAGAGGTTCAGCCAGAAGCCTGCACTCAACAGGCACTATAGGGTAAGGACGTTAAGCTTCTTTTACTCAATACTACTTCTTTTACTCAGTGACGTAGTTAGGCAACCAAGGGCCCTGGGGCAAATCCCAAAATGGGACCCCACTGCTCAGCAGAGGGGTCCTACATTACACTTTTATTATAACGGATAGCGATGTCCGTCAAATTGACAATTCTGCCAACCCACAGAAAAAATTTACGATAATTCCGAAGGTATAACTTTAGAATTTCTCTCAACTGAGTTGCCATGATTAAAGTCAGGTTGCAACCTGTAATAATTATTTTCAAAATGGGAGAAATTTTGAAAAGTTCAATTCAATCGAGTTTTTCTGGTATGTAATTCACACAGCGCCATCTAGACCCAAGTTAAGCTAGCTAAAGCTTGTATTATGAGCACTAGTTCACTGATACAAATACATAGATATATATTTTTCGTAAATACATACATATTATACATAGAAAACACCAAGACCGATATAAACAATCATACTCATGAATACAAATGTTTGTGCCGTGCGAGGAATGGTACCCGCGACCATCGGAAGTAAGGTGGTGTACTAAACGGCTAGACCGCCCGAGGACGTTTTAATTTTATATTTTCTCGTGATGCTATTGCAGGTACACACGGGGGCGAAGCCCTACGAATGTCAGTTTTGCTCTAAAACCTTCAGTCAGTCCAACTCTCTAAAACTCCACGTGAGGACAGTCCATTTGAAAATGCCGCCTAACAATAAACGAAATAAGGTTCAAAATCAAGAAGACGCAGAGAAGAAAACTGAGGAAGTCACAGTACAAGCCTTGTGAATATTTATTAAGAAATAAAGATTTTTTTACATCAGTATTATCAAACTATGAGTTTTTTTTAAATAACGGAATGACTCCAGAAATGTGTCTATTCATATAATAATAAATAAATATCACAGGACAATTAACACAGCGCCATCTAGTCCCACGGTAAGCAGAGCTTGTTTTATGGGTACTGGACAACTGATGTAAATACTTGTTTTTTTTTGTAAATACATAATATCCTCACCGTTGCTTCTCAATATATTTATGAAAATATCATCTATGCCAGAAGGAATATAGACAGTTTCAAAAGAGTTAGTGATTGCACTAATAAAAGCTTACGTAACAATAACAAACAGATTTTACCTAAATGTCGTTTGGCTAAAGTTAGTAATTCGTTTTATGGCAATTGCGTAAGGTTTTACAATAAAATACCAGTCTGTTATAAATCTGCCAGAAAAAAGATTTAAATGTCAAATAAAACAGTTCCTTGTCAAAAAAGCTTACTATAAAATTGAAGAATTCGTTAACGATAATAACGTTTTTATAGAAAAACTTTAAATCTATAGCACTGACAATATTATCTGATTACACTAATAATGAGTGCGTAGCGACTTCTTTGTTGATTATCGCATGCCTCTTACATGTTATACTGTAATTAATTATATAAAAAAAACATCTATTAAAAAGAGCAACACACAAGTTTCTTGCTCATTCTTCTTGTGATGAATCTGCATTCCGAATGAGTGGTAGAATCAAAATATGACTATTCAAAAGTGCTTGTAATGAGTTTATTTGAATAAAGATTATTTCTATTTCTATTTCTACATACTTAATATACATAGATAACACTCAGACCGATACAAACAATCATACTCATGAATACAAATGCTTGTACAGTGCGAGGAATCTAACCCGCAACCATCGGAAGTAATAATATAAATGTAACGGTCTGTACAGCTATCAGATTTGCTGACTAATCGTGGATGATTTTTTTATGGATGATAATATAATGGTTCACCCGCCTGCGCTAACGGTTTAGGCTGGCGGGGCACCAGTGGAGATTGATAAGATAAGCATGAGGTCAGATCCAGATAATCAATTTCTATTTAAATTCGAATTACTGCAACGGATTTTGTTGGAAAATATCATAGACAAAATCAATTTAATACATAGAGTACTTTCGATTTAGACCAAATGTCAACATTGAGATATGTCATTTCGAATGTCAGCTCTCAATGTTATGTCATTAATAAGACTTTTTGATCTGTGGATATTAATATCTAAATGTCATTTCATTAAAGTAAATTTCAAATTCAATAAAAAAATAATTCATGAAACTTGTCAAACCAATCGTAATCGCGTCACTTCTGTTTGTTATTGTTTTCTTATTATGTTGAATCAAAAATTACTGTAATTGAACCAAAAAATGACTGCAAAATGAGTTGTTACGGCACAATGGAAGTGTCTTTATTTCATTAATACTTTTAAAACTGTTTTTGCTCTAAACAAAGTGACGATGTTTTTAGATTTATAAATGAATAACAAACAACAAGATTTATGAGATGTTACCTATTTTAATGTTTAATAACATGGAGGGGTGTTCTAATTCGTTGAATAACAGTCCTAGCGGTAGTTTTTCAAATTTTTACGATGATAGAATATTAAATTCGGTGCGGAATCGCAAGAAAGTGAGTGAAATGCCCAATTGTCCCGTGTGTTCGTGTACTATTCGATATGGGGAACTCGATTCGCACTTAGCGTTAGAAGTGGAGAAGCTTCAGAAGTTGTCTAGTGGCAGTTCTAAAAGGAAACATAGCACTTCTTCTCCGAATACGAGCCTCGCCGTTGCCGGTTCTAGCACTAGTACTGATTTAGATGAACAAGAAGTCGATGTCTCTGGCGGTACGGGAAGCGATGTTTATCAGGTATTTTTTTTTATTATGTAATAGGTAGGGCAAAGGAAATAAGGACGTTTCTGAGGGGAAGTGGCGACTGTCGCCATACAAGAAAAATACCAGGAGATTATGACCGTATGTGGCGCCTATGGTAGCTCAAATGTGTTACCATTCTTAAAGACTAAGTGATGTTGTGTTGTAATATTATTGCCACTAGTTTCCCACTAAGTTTTTTAACTGCAGAAATAGAAGTAATAAGTTCCAACGAATAATGTTGATTTTTTTATGGATGATAATGGAATGGTGCCTGCACTAACGGTTTACACTGGCGGGGCATCAGTGGAGGATGATAAGATGATGAGGTCAGGTCAGTTAGCCCATCATTACAAATTCACCAAGAATTTATCACATTGGTTTCTAGGGGGAACCGCCTGGATGGTAATATGACATGGTACTTTGCTAGCAATAAGATCATCAGTCCACATTACTAACAATCCCCTTTTCATCCCCTCATCTGTTGATTAAGGTTCACATATAAAAGCAAATTTTACAAATAACTTTTACCTCAGTGTAATCTTTCTTTTGGGGGGAAAGGGATTGCTAGTAATGAACTAATTACTCCATTGCTAGCAATGTAAGTCAGATTAACCATGACACCACCATCGTGATGAATTCCTGGTGAATTTGTCATGATTGGTCAACTGCCCTGACCTTATGTTTATCTTATCATCCTCCACTGGTGACCTGCCGGCGTAAACTGTTAGCACAGGTGGGTACATTATAAAGGAAGATTTAAAACTAGTCTTTCAGTCGTAAATCATCTAGAAAACATGCTGGCAAGGCTGTTTCAGTTAGGGTGATAGTTAGGTAGGTGTGATAAGGTGATGAAATTAATCATTAAAAGTCATGATATCTTGGTTGTCCAGATTGGCCATGCATCTGCATTTCCCATGCCTTCAAAGGGTGATGTGATAACCATGATTTTTATATACCACTTATATTAAAACAATAACAGTACTCTCTAAGTACAACATAGTCACAAATGTACTTGAAGATATCTAAATCACAGAACAATCTGTAGATGCTAGAAATAAACGAAAATATGAATATGTAAGAGTGATAAACATGCAGTTTATTATACAATTATAAGGGCTTAAGTATTTTCCTGGCTTATTGAGGTTTATGTTAAGGCAAAGAACATATGACATGCCCATGGTGTTTGGGGCGCCGAGGCTTTGGAGGGTAGATAAGATTTTTTTTTATATCCATTAAGATATAAAACAAATGTGCATTAACACACATGTAGATTCCATTACAAATATCAAAATAATCTTTATTCAAATAACCTTAACATCAGCACTTGTGAATAGTCATATTTTTTTATCTGCTGCTCATTTGGAAGAAAGATTATTATTATTTTATTTTATTCATAGCCTTTCTACTGATGATCATCAGCTTGTCCCAAGACATAGGCCTCCTCCAAAAGACTCCAGGCTCCTCTGTTCAATGCCTTCCTTCTCCATGTTGGTCCCGCCACTGCCCATATATCATCCTCCCACCTCTTTTTCTGTCACCCTCGTTTTCTTTTTTGTTCGCTTGGATCTCAGGTATCCAAGATTATTACTTTGACTATGACTCTTTAATAACTATGGTGACCTGTACAGTAAGCACCAGTGGGAAATGAGCATGAACTCAAGTCAGCACATCATGACAAATTCAATAGGAATTTATCATAATGATTTCCACGGGGACTGCATGGAAGTCAACCTGATTTAGTGCATTGCTATAAATGGGATCATCATACTAAATTACAATATTGATACTTTTTGCTACACATAATCAATCATATTGTGGAATCACCTTTCAGCAATGGTATTTCCAAACTGATACAGTATTGAAACCTCCAAGAAAAGAGTTTATTCCTTCTTTAAAGACTTAAAGTCTGGTAATAATTGGTGTTACGGATGCCCAAGGGCGACATTAATCACTTACCATCAGGTTAGCCACAAGCTCGTATCTCCCCTATGCTAATGATCCTCTATCCTCTTGATCCTCCTTAAAAGGCCAGCAATGCACTTGCAAGTCTTATGGCTGCTCATGGGCGACGGTAATCACTTACCGTCATGTGAACCACGAGCTCGTATCTCCCCTATGCTAGCTAACAATCCCTTCCCCCTTCACTAATGGATGAATGTACATGTCCTTCAGCGGGTCCACTCAAACAGACTCCGAAGGTTGCGTGCCAGACGGCGTGGGACTCCGCCGCCGGCGCAGGGCGAGTGCCCCGTTTGTAACACCACGTTACCTACTTCGCGGCTGCAGCGGCACGCGCTCCGCTGTCTCAAGCGCACCGGGGCTGTAGTAGATGAAGATGTGCCTGATACCAGCTCCGAGGACGAGAGCATCGACGTAGAGGTACGTATATGATGTATGGGATACAGTTACCTATATTATTTCGGACTACTTAGCGCTGTTGGCCGCAGCTGGCCTTTACAGCTTCACCGCACGATAAGGGGCGAGTCCAGATGACACTCCAAGCCAAAGGAAGGACTTATGGAGCGGCTGAAGGCCAACTCTTGCTTGGCGGATATGACTTTAGTCTTAGCTGGGGATTCGAACCTCGACTCAGGCCATCGTAATTTCAATCCCTGAATTGGACGGGGGATCGATTGGAGGGCACATTGACTGTTTAGTAAGTTCTTGCCAATCTGTTGGTTCTTGCCAATCTCTGATATATCCGGACCAATTTTGACGGGACTTTCACTAGGAGAGAGCTAATGTTTTTTTTATGGATGATAATGGAATAGTGCGCTAACGGTTTACGCTGGCATGGCACCAGTGGAGGATGATAAGATGAGCATGAGGTCAGGTCCCCATTGTGAAAAATTCACGAAGAATTTATAACGATGGTTTCCAGGGGGAACCGCGTGGTGGTCATGCTGACATGGTAACTTGCTAGCAATATGATCATCACCTCACATTACTAACAATCCCCTTTCTCCCCAGATATTATTATAAGAGGTAACTTGCGCTACTTTTTCATTAGGAATTTTATTTATATTAATAGCTATATTATGCGGATGGGAACAGATCCATAAAAAAACTATGTTGGCAGAACGACGAGCCGTCTGGTGGAAGTTTTGGTGCGGAATACCAATGGTGTGGAGAATGGAGGATACGAGCTGCGGCGCTGCAGCCCCGGCCTGCTGCCTCATCTCAACAAAGAGCAGGCTCCACTGATCGGGCGCTGGTGAGTACCTATGGAGCTTTCAGACCCTTGCAGCAAAAGATCAGCATGACGTGCGTAAAGTTAGACAGTATACTAAAACTGATACTGCTAAATGAGTCTATTTTAGTTATTTTCATAACATAACACCTACACCACATCTGTTCATAGTCCCCGACTGATTGCAGGATAGGCACAGAAAGAAAAAAGATATTTTCATAGTTTATTATCTTATGGAAGATTATTATGGGGAAAAAGTCAGATGTTAAATGATGATCGGTTCAGTAGTTTTTGCGTGAAAGCGTAACAAACATTCCTACTTTCAATTCATAATCATTACATAGTATAAAATATAGTGTTTGTCCGTCTCTATGAACCCTTAAATCTTTACTACGCAACGGATTTTGAAGCGGTTTTTTTTAATAGATATAGTGATTCAAGAGGAAGGTTGTATAATACATGTACACCCGGGCGAAGCCGGAGCGAGTAGCTAGTATTATTATGTATTGTTATTGTTCCAGGTGGTAGATGGTGATGAGGACACGGAGCTGTATGGTCCACCGCAGTACTCGCCGTCCAGGATAGATCCTAATGTAAGCCACAGTTGACTTTTTTTTATGATAAGTTATTATCTAAGGTCTGCGTCCGCGTGGAATTTAACTTTAATTTTCTAAAATAAAAATAGCCTAAGTTACTCCTTATAAATCAGCTACCTGCCAAAAAAAGTACCGTCAAAATCGGTCCAGCCATTTCAGAGATTAGCCGAAATAAACACAGACAGACAAAAATTGTAAAAAAAAAAATATTTTGGTGTATGTACCGTATTTATATTCATATGCATTTAGTAAACAATGAATAGAATATAATAGAAAATCATTTATTAAAATAAACTTAATTTAAACAGTTTATTCATTCAAATAACCTTAACATCAGCACTTGTGAATAGTCAACATTTTTTTTTAAATCTACCGCTTATTACGAAAAACTGTCTAAACATGAAGAATAAGCGAGAAACTTGTGTGTTGCTCTTTTAAATAATCCTTGCAAGTTCACATTTTACAAGTCGAAACATGTGAATACAAACTACCAACCAGCAATGGTTGTTTCAATTTACAATATTACAATATTACAAACAGACACTCCAATATTATTTATATGTATATATGTATTATTATTAAGTATTTATACTTATTTGTGTATAATGCATAAAATTAATCAGAAGAATATGCAAATGTCATTAATTTAAAATTTAAACGACTTCTACCCGGTCAGCTATTGTACTATAATTGTAAATATTTTTTCAGGTAGAAATAGAACCTATAGAAGATAATCATACAGATGCACCTACAACAAACTCCACAGATGCGACTGAAAGACAAGAAAATAATGAACCTGTACACCACAAACCCAACGGATTAGTGGAAGCAAGTGCAGAAGTATGTAACACAATTTTGTAGTCTAATAGTATGTGATAAAAAAGACTTATTTCTTCGGTTATGGGAAACTTCAGTTTTGATAGACTATATTTTACAGGTCCTATTTACAGCTCTTTTATTTGAATTTACTAGATCTAGTTATCTTTTAGAAAGACAATTATCTTCTTTCTTTCTTGAAATTACTGCACGATCGTCTAGTCATCTTTTAGAAAGAAAAGAAAGACCTTTCCTTTTTGAAATTACTGGATGACCTAGTCATCTTTTAGAAAGAAAGAGAAATATCTTATTTTCTTGAAATTACTGGATGATCATCTAGTCATCTTTTAGAATATGGGAGAAAAGCTTTCTTTATTTTTTAAAATTACTGGATTATCATCTAGTTATCTTTTACTCAGTCTCAGGTGTTTAAGTATTAATATAAATATGACAGTTACCACTTACCATCAAATGTTCAGCTTAATACATGGACTCATTTATACACCAATAAATAGAAAAAAAGATATGACAACAGGCAATTCTAAACAAAGATAAAGATTAAGAATACGATTTTAATATATTTAACTTTAAATTTTGTTTTGTTTTTTCAGACCAGAATACAAGCTTTAAAATCTAGAATACAAGAATTAGAGACAAAACAAAATGGTGCCTCTGAGGTAAGACCATACTAACATTATGTAATATTATTAACGCTGAAGTTTGTACGTGTGATCGGATAGATTTTTGTTACTCTTTCACGCAAAAACGAATGGATTTTAATGAAATTTTACAATATCCTATAGTATTATAGGATCCCTGGTCGTACGGTCGGACGGCGAAGTAAAAATGCTCGGTTGTTTGCACTTAGTAGAAAGGCACCTATCGGGTCGCTGTCTCGCCAGTGAATGCGGTCCGCGCTCTTTGTATAGACGACCGACGGGTGGCCCTCCCTACTGCGACTGTACGTTTCGTGTCTATTTTCTATCAGTTTTACATAACAAAATTGATCTTATTCACACTTATATACAAATTCTACTTATACTAATTACTTATATTTAGGGCAATAAAAACACTATGTTATATATTTTATTAAGGATGACTTATTATACTAATTACAGGTAAAACTTGTTTTCTAATTGATTCCGTCGTGTACATATAGCTTACATCAGAATAACATATAGGTTATAAATTTCACATGAGGTAGTTATTAATATATTTTTCATTTGTTTTAGTTACAGCCACTGATTATACTATTTCCTTTTGATAATATTGCAATAGCATATGCTGGTGGTCACTCTATTATCTATTATCTAGGGTATAAAATAGGGCATGAAAGTTTGTATGAAACTTTGTCAATTTTAAACCGATCGGGCTGAGACTTTGCATGCATGAATCTACTATGACGTAGACATCCCCTAAGAAAGAATTTTGATAAATTTCACCCATCATCATCTGCTTCATCCTTATCCCATTTATTTGGGGTCGTCGTAATATGTTTTAAATAGATCCATTCATCCCTTTGCAGTCATCGAAACTTTATTAATTTTATACCATATCATCTTTCACACAGTCCATCCATCTCTTTTTTGGCCTTCCTCTGCCCTTATAACCATCCACATTCATTTGTCTTTCTTAATTTGATAAATTTCACCCCTAAGGGGATAAAGCTAGTTATAGAATATATCCGAATCTCGTGATGGCGCCCCCTTCGACGAGGCGCCCGCATGTGTTGCATGCCCGTTTCTGCCGGCCCTGCAAACCACTGGCTTCTCTCTCTGCACTTCATGGGTAAAGAATCTCTTTACCCATGAAGTGCAGCGCCTGCCTGGTCTTCGGCGGCCCTGGATTTTCCTTGGATAACTAATTGTAAAAGACCATTTTATTTGGACCTACACGAATAAAGATATTTCATTTGTTTCAGGCCAAATGTTTAATATGTCTTGGAGGTTATACCTCGCCGGCGGTGTCGATACAGTGCTGGCATGTTTACTGCGAGGTACGTAAGTTATATTTTGTCCTTTTTCTTTTTATTTAAATGGAAAACTTAGGGATCAATCACTTGATGGTACGTGGTAACTGGTGCCTATATACATTAACAATATTAGGTTATTTAGGTGCAATTTTACAATTCGGAACTTGTGAGTACAAAAACTACCAACCAGCACTAATTTATTAAGGTCAAATATAAATACACAATAAGATTAAATCAGTCGTAGTGATAAGAGCAGACCAGCCCCTACAAGCAGCACTCGTTCACGAGTATGACGGACGAGCCAGCCATCACTGCGCTCGACCATCTAGACACAAGTTAAGCTAGCTAAAGCTTGTGTTATGGGTACTAGATAACTGATACATATACATAGATATATTTTTTTTGTAAATACATACATATACATAGAAAACACCCAGACCGATACAAACAATCATACTCATGAATACAAATGTTAGTTCCGTGCGAGGAATCGAACCTACGACCATTGGTCGTAAAGCGGTGTGCTAGACCGCTAGACCACCGAGGTCGTCAAGCCTGGCGTCATTAAGTCCGCCGAGTATACAATATTGTGCACAAAAGAATAAATAAATAAACAAGCGCTTTTGAATAGTCATATTTTTTTATTCTACCACTCATTCGGAACGCAGACTTATCACAAGAAGAACGAGCAAGACACTTGCGGGTTGCTCACCACGCCGCCACATGTCTGGACATTTTAGCGAGCATGACTACTCATTCCACTCGACCACGTCACAGCTACAAAAATTACTATATGGTAGTTACAGTATTCGCACTTTACATGAGGATGCATGCGGCAATCAATACAAAAGCCGCTACGCTATCATATATCAAGAAAGCAGTATGAAAAATAAATTATAACGTTGTCCGCAAATAAACTTATACTTGCTATATATTGCTATCATCTATAAATTCATCTATCCTATTATAGGCTTTTTTACATAACATACATTATTTTTTTACATTACATTATTTTTTTACATGACATGGTACATTGCTAGTAATTTTTTTTTCTTTTTTATTTATTTAATTCAGGCTACATGGCTCATATTATAAATACCTAATGGGGTTATTAGTCCATATTACTAACAATTCCCTCTCCTCGCTATGGAAACATTTGTATTCATCAGTGTGATTATTTCATTGACGTGTTTTAACGTTTTTGATTGAGTGACGGTTATTTTATTAATTATGCGGAGGAACGAGGACCATGTCTTATAGAAAGCGTATAATATGAATGTGGATGGATGTAAAGGGAGGGGACGCCCTAAGAGAAGATGAATGGATTGTGTGAAAGATGATATGAATAAAAGAAGAGTATGTTCAGATGTGACGGCCGATAGAGAGCAGTGGAAGAATGACATACTGCGACGACCACAAATAATGGGATAAAGGGAAGGCAATGATGATGATTATTTTATTATTAATTTTACAGGTTTGCTGGCTACAGTCGCTGCGAGCGAAGAAAATCTGCCCACAATGCAACGCTATAACTACAACAGATCATCTACGACGAATATATATGTAATTTTTTTATATATACATATATATATATATATATATTGGGGATGTTAGGGAACTTCGTAACCGTAACGGAATCCGAAATAAAAGTTCCGGATAATATCGGATAGAGGCGGAGCCTAATAGAGACACGTTATGTCGTAATTTTTTTAGCTATTTGCATTTTACTTTTGAAACTCCTTAAAAAATTAATATCCGTAACCGAAATTATCCGATACTAACGGATAATCCGAAATTATTTCATATCCGCATCTGTATCCGTATCCGGTACAATAATCATTTCTATATCCGAAACCTATCCGTATCCGAAATTACATATCCATAACATCCCTTATATATATATATTGATTACATAGTATAAAATACAGTCGCTCCCACTGTCTGTTCGCTTAGACCTCTTAAACTACGCAACAGATTTCAATGCAGTTGTCAGCAATAGATAGATTGAAGAGGAAGTGTTATACATATAATACATGTACACCCGTGCGAAACCGGGGCGGTAGCTAGTATATATATAAATTGGGCTATTATAATTTCTACAACTCTAAAAAAGATTCCTAAAAAGAAGGAATCTTTCATTTAACCTAACCTCACCTCGAAAAGTGATTATTTTCTTTTTTCTGCTATTTTTTCTATATAGGATCTTTTTACTTTCACAGCTCTCCTAATGTTAGTCTAAATTTATCTTAAAGAATATATATATTACTTTACCTACACTCAAACAACTCGCATTACCTATCTGCAAATGGAAGTCCCATCGAAATCAGTCCAACCTTTTCAAATTTTAGCAAGAACAGACAGTTTATTTTTATTTTTATTTTTTAGAAGGTACTTTCATTTGCATTTAGAGAAATGTTAATTTGAAATTACAGACAGACAATTTTATTTTATATGATTAAAAATTTCCTTACAAGAAGTCTTTAGTTAAGGATATATAGACTTATGACGTAATTACTAAGATTGAACGAATCTGTAGTAGTTTCTGAACTGTAGAATGAAAGTATTTGTTTAAGTAATACAGATTATATATTAATCACCAGGGTGATATCAGAAAAAAAATCATATGGGTAACTTTATCTGATAATTTAGTTAAAAATGTATCAAGAAAACTTTATGTATCACAGAAAAAAGTTACTTTATCTGATAATATATATATGTTAAAAATGTATCAAGGAAAAATATATTTTTGTAGGTCGCAGTACTACAAAATTCCAACCCAATAAAAAAAAATACAGTATAATAAGAAATATATCACTAATTTGTGTTTATGTGACACATATATGACTGACATGGCCCTATATTAACCGTCTTAGATAATTTTTTTTTAATACGATAATACATACATATATACATAGAAAATACCCAGAAGGCCGGCGATCGCGCACCTGCCTGTTTTATCTAAAAGTGCCAGATGCCCGGTAGCAAGCAAATACAAGCCAACATAAAGAAACATTTAATAAAGATATTGTACCATTAAGACTCAATTTAATTTGTTTAATCACTTTATTTATAATTATTAATTCAAATTGTATTGTACATAATTCTAGTGATTCTCCCATAAGCGGCGTGAGCCAATAATGCCTAACATGACATCGACCTAACAGATGCACGTCAAACACTGACATTAGTGTGTCAAGACAGATTCACGTCAATTGACGTTACTGACATTAGTGATGTGCCAACCTTACAGATATTGTACAAATAAATAAATAATATAATTACAAAAAAGAGACGACGAGTGCCGATGGCACTCCAAACCAAAGGAAGGACTTCTGGAGCGGCTGAAGGACAAAGCCTCGAAGGATATAAACATTTGTTTAGGGTACCCCATGCATCATATATGTATGGGACATAGTTACCTAGATTTTTGTTTTTTCCTGATTACTTTAATAATGTTGGCCGCAGCTGGCCTTTACAGCTTCACAAGACAATAAGGGGCGAGTGCAGGTGGCACTTCAAACGAAAGGAAGGACTTATGGAGCGGCTGGAGGACAACCCCCGCCTGACGGATATGACGCCAGTCTGAAGACACCGCTAGGGGTTCGAACCTCGGCTCGTACCGTCGTAATTTCGATTCCATTTAGAATCAAGTACCGACTGATAAGTTTTAAAACGTTTTGTGTATATAATAGTTGATTTGCTCAGCAATTCCACAGTTCAGAAATTACTTAGTTTTGTATAAAAGATTGATGCCTTCTGTGAAGTTGTACAATAAACAAATAAATATAAGAGATTGTAAATAAACGATATTTTTTTTTCTATGAATTTTAATGTTTTTTTTTTACCTAAACATAATCTAGTATAAATGTTGATACTATTATCATTAATTAAAAATAAACAGCTTTCTATATTGAATTGTGCATTCAGAAAATCAAATTATTCTTATTTCTAAAGTAATATGTATTAATTTAGCCATAGAAATGATTTATTTTTAAAAATTTAATTTTAATGTCATAATATTTGATTGGTTCAATCATTGGCTTCGGCACTAACGAGAGTTTCGACTGCGTCCCCACCGTCAGGCTGAAATAAAAAATAACATTTCAAATATACCGCGAGAATTTGACAAAAATTTTTTAAATGACATGACAGGCGCAGGAACTATATATACACAATATAATGCGCAACTCTAAGCATAACATTTCGCTTAAGTTCGTTCTTAGGCACAAACTTCAGTCTATGGTATTCATTCGAGTACAGTGAAATTACAGTATCTTTAGTAATTTAAGTATTAGAAAATGTACTTAAATTCGTAAATTAAAAAGCATTAGGTATATTTCAATATAGGGATTACAGCAGAAGAGTACAAAATCACTTTATTTCTGCCGTCAAGCAGCTTGCTTTGTAATCTGGCCTTTACAGCTTCACCGGACGTTAGGGGGCGAGTGCAGATGGCACTCCAAACCCGCGGAAGGACTTTAGGAGCGGCTGAAGGCCAACTCCCGCCTGACGGATACGACTTTAGTCTGAGGGCACCACTAGGGGTTCAAACCTCGGTTCAGGCCGTCGTAATTTCGATCCCCGTTTGAATTGGACGGGGGATCGATCGGAGGGTATGAGGTAAGTATGCATGACAGTTTAGTAGTAATTTTTGTGGCTAAACAGCAGATAATGAAAAAATAAAGAGGACCTGTTTTGTGCAGATATTTTTTCACTACAACTTTTATTGAAACCATTTTTTCCACTTTTCTTACCTTTACGAATTATTTAAAAAACGTTTTTCAACCATTTTATCAATATTTTCATCCCTTTCCCATTAACTTGAATCAAATTTCTTTCTGAATGTTATTATTCACGTATTTTCGGACTTAATTCTATATATTGCGCCTAAACTGTCACATCACGTGGAGAAATCGGGGATAGCGGATAAGGTAAGTGGACTGTATGGATTGAAAATAAGAGGGGGGGGGGGGATGCACAGTATGTACCTGCGACTATAGACTGCTGCACTCGATGAATACTAAGTTTAAAACAGGCACGCACACATTTTTAATGTCAATTATTATGGTAATGAATTTAAAGAAAATAGACGAGAGCGTTAGGGCACTTGATACGGCACGATGATTTCATGAAAATTATTATTGAGGGGAAAATAGAAGGCGAGGAATAGCTACATCATTCAAAATGTTTTATCAAGTTAAAGAGCATGATGGAAGATCGCGGAAAGTGGTCAAGGCGACAAGAGCTCAAATTATGAATGAATTATAGTAATTAATTTAAAGCGGAGCGGTCGGGGCGAGATGTCACCATTCGGTTTTAACCGTTAGACGAGGGGATGAGGATATGGGGAATAATATCATACCACTTATATGTTTATATAAAATTCTCGTGTCACAGTTTTCGTTCCCATACTCCTCCGAAACGGCTTGATCGATTCTCATCAAATTTTGTGAGCGTATTGAGTAGATCTGAGAATCGGCCAACATCTATTTTTCATCCCCTAATTTTTTTTTTATTTTAAAGCAAAACAACGTTTGCCGGGCAGCTAAAGTGCGATTATTAATTCCAGTCAGTAAAATGACAAGGGCAACTGTCACTGATACAAAAAAGGATGACCCGCTACAATAGTGATGTTCGGCAATCAATAGACTTAGACATTTAGTCACGCTTTATTTTATTAGGTATCTAAACTTTATTTTTTTATTTTTAATATTTAATACATATCGTATTAAACAATACGATTTTAGAAATATGGACCTTACCAGCATATTAAAATTTCTCACTATAACATTATTACAAAAGCTGGGAAAAAATGTAAAAAGAGATTCAGAGAAATTAATACTAGAATTTTTATTTATATAAAGGCAAATTGATATTGAATAAAAAAAAGTGTAATCTCGACTAACTTTTAATTGTAAAATCTCGATTCTACCACATCACTATTTATTTGGGACTAAAGACCTGCAACACTGGAAATGTCATTTTACTGGCTGGAATTAATAATCTTACTTTATGATGGTTTCAGCAGATTACGGGGTGAATAAATGATAGATTTCGCTTGATAGTCTCGAATTTAATGGCAAATATACGATTTATTACAAATTTGGTGGAGTGAACAAAATGTACGTTAGATCGATCGGTTGATATTTTAAGTCAGTACGTTACTTTGCGTATTTAAAATTGGAAGGGTGTGCGGTCCAATCAGAATGCTCCCTTTGTATTGCGTTTTGTTACTGCTTGGTACGCGACAGTATGTTTATAAATTGCGCGAACATCATGTTTAATTTAAAATTTTCTGGACTAATTAGGTAATCGATTCTAACCTGCATATCAGCCACAGTCAAAGGCGGGTCATCCTCTCTTATGACAGTTTCTCCGTCAAGTTTCTTCAGTCCAGGCAGTCGCCTGGCAGCTTCCGAGCGCCACGCTTCCAACTCGCAGCCATCGTATAGCGGGTTCCCGACGAATAGCAAATCCTCTAGGTGTGGTAATTCCTATTATTCATCAGTACATGAATTAAAAAGAAATCATGTTTATTTCTTTCAAAAAACCATTCGATTTTATTAATAATAGTATTTTTTTAATGTGGAAGTGATTGTGAATGATGATATGGTGAGAAAGGGAGTAAGTAACGAGATGACTGCGAACAGGGATGAATGGAAGAGAAAAATATTACGACGATCACAAATAAATGGGATAAGGAAGAAGCAGATGATGATGTCAAGAAATGACTGTGATTGAATATATATAAAGTCCCTAAAATATTTCCCATCGAGAGTTCCCACTACTCCATAAATTATAAGTGCAGAGGGAGACCGAAAAAGAGATGCATGGACCGTGTGAAAGATGATATGGTGAGAAAGGGAGTAAATAACGAGATGACTGCGAACAGAGATGAATGGAAGAGAAAAATATTACGACGACCACAAATAAATGGGATAAGGAAGAAGCAGATGATGATGGTGATGGCGATAATGGAATGATCCACCCGCCTGCGGTAACTGTTTATGCTGGCAGGGTACCAGTGGATGATAAGATGAGCATGAGGTCAGATCAGTTAGCTCAACGTGACAAATTCACTGGGACTTTATGTCGATGGTTTCCAGGAGGAACCGCGTGGAGGTCGACCTAACATGGTACATTTCTAGCAATGGAAGTTACTAGTGCCCATTACTAACAATTCCCTTCCCCCCTATATTATAGACTTGGTGGTCTAGTGGTTTAGCACACCGTTTTACTATCCGATGGTCGTGGGTTCGATTCCTCGCTCGATATAAACATTTGTATTCATGAGCATGATTGTTTGTATGGGTCTGGGTGTTTTCTATGTATATTATGTATGTATTTAAGTATCTATGTTGTTGGCGACAGACCTCTTTTTATAGATATTTCTATTTTTAAACCATATATTTTTTATATACAATTTTTGACATATATTTTTTATTATATTGTTTTTCTACATTGTGTCATATACGCTACCACTAAATACATCTATAATTTTGGTAAGTAATTTTATTTGAAGTAATTTTATTTCCGCCTTTCTCACACATCAGTCTCGAGTTCATTTGAGGTTTGGCATTGTCGATGACATTTCGCGCCCTAAGCCCATAGAAAAGGCTCGCACGCATGTCACGACTAATGTCAGCTCAGACGAAAGTCTGAGTGACATATGTTATGCCACCGCCTCAAACTCCATAGCTCGTAAGTTGTCAAAAGGCAAAGTTACTCCATCTACGGCCGCAGTTAATAACAATAGGCCCTCAAATTCTCCCTCTATTGCTTATTGTTTATACTGTAAAAAGAATGGTCATGAGGTCTCAAATTGTGATTTATTTAAAAATATTTCTGTTAATGAAAGATGGGATTGGGTTAAAAATAATAAAGTTTGTCAAAGATGTCTCAAGCGGGGCAAACATTATTATAGGACTTGCAAAGGTAACTGTAGGGTAATAAATTGCAAAGGTGGATATTACCATCATGAGTTACTTCACAAACAGTTAACAAATTCTGTTCATTACAGTTCGACAACAACTGGCGAACGTGACGTAAGTTCGGAGAGTGAAGTCGCACCAGTAATTGTGGCGCATGCTCACGGCAGCAGTGTGGTGCCGTGCGAGACGCCCTCTCCTTCGCGCTCACTTCTTAAAGTGCTGCCGGTAACTGTAACTGGACCAAAGGGTGAGATGGATATTTATGCTTTATTGGATGACGGGTCTACAGTTACTCTGATTGACCAAATAGTAGCCGACACAATTGGTGCACAAGGGCCGAAAGGCACTATTCAAGTTAATTGTGTGGGCGGCTTGGCGAAAGATTCTGTAGTAACCTACATTGATATTAACATCAAAGGCAAGCACTCTGTCGAAACCTTTAATTTAAAACGAGTTCGCTCAATACCTAATTTGGATGTAGCATGCCAAACAATTCGTACTGTAGATGTTGCAAAGTTCTCTCATCTTCAGGATTTGGTAAAAGAACTGTCTTACGAGAAAGCCAAGCCTCTCTTAATAATTGGTATTGACAATTGGCATTTGTCATTACCGCATGGCATCCGACGCGGTTCTCGTAACCAACCTGTGGCTGTCCAAACCGTTCTAGGATGGACAATGTTCGGTAGGCTTCCGGGTAAATCCGCGGAGTTTATCCATCATAGCTCGGTTTCCGATTTAGAATCTTTAATAAAAGAACATTATCATCTCGATTCGATTGGCATTACAAAAAAGGACTTCCACAGCATAAACGATGAGCGGACTTCGGCTATTTTAAATGAAACCACCCAACGTCTTCCTTCAAGTAAGTTTGAGACTGATTTGCTCTGGCCACCTGATATCATCTCAATTCCAAAAAGTTATAAATTAGCATTAGCCAGAGTTCACTTCAGAGTATACCACCCCCGAAAGAAAAAGTTTCTTCTGGACGGATTCCCTAACGGTTTTAAAGTGGTTGCGTAGCGATGCCCGCACGTTTAAGCCGTTTGTTGCTCACCGTGTAGGAGAAATATTAGAGACTACAAACGTTGCCAATTAGCGTTATGTTCCATAGGCCTTGAATGTAGCAGATGATGCTACACGCGGTCTATACTCTCTTTCCTCTTCCTCTCGATGGTATACTGGCCCAGATTTTCTTTTGTCTCCACCAGACGAATGGCCTCGCGAGCCTGCGGTCATTGCTCCACTAGTAATTGAGGAACTAAAACCCGAACACGCGTTAACATTTTTGCTAACCGAACATCCGGAAATGCCATCTCCGATCGTAGCGAATCACGATCATTTCGGTCGTTGGGTTCGGTTGGTTAGAGCAACCGCTCGTGCACATCATTGTGCTAAAATATTTCGGTCGCTTTTGAAAAAACCTCCAAATTCAAAATTAAAGAGTGCTGCCTCCAAGGTCTCCTTCAAAGTTTTGAAACCTCTTTCGGCCGCAGAAATCTTGGGAGGCCGAGAGGCACCTATTTTTATATACTCAATTGGAATCATTTAAACACGAATTCTTGAGTCTTACCGCGGGTCTTCCCCCAACTAATCAAGGGAGGCTTAGAGGTCTTGTGTTGATGTTGGGAGAAGACGGTTTAATCCGTTTAAATGGAAGAATTCGTGCTGTATTAGATGCTCCCGCGCAGGACATTAACCCTATTGTTTTAGACGGTCGACATCCAATTATAAAACTCCTTCTCGATCACTATCATCGGAAATTTGGTCATGGTAATATCGAGACCGTCGTTAACTTCCTGCGCGGCAAATTTTATATAATAGCTTTACGCCCAAGTGTCAGGTCTGTTGCCAAACAATGCAGTTTCTGTAGGATTAGGAAGCTTCTCCCATCTACGCCTCAATTTGGTGATCTTCCTGAAGATAGATTATCCCATCATCAGCGCGCGTTTTCCTTCTGCGGTCTTGATTACTTCGGTCCAGTTGAAGTTGCCGTTGGGCGCAGACGAGAAAAACGCTGGGTAGCCCTATTCACATGCCTTACCATCAGAGCCGTTCATTTGGAGATCGTAGGAAGCCTTTCCGCAGATGCTGCTATCATGGCCCTAAGAAGATTTATTCTCGTAGAGGAGTCCTCCGCGAGAATCATCTCAGATAACGGCACGGCTTTTGTCGGCGCAGCCAACCAACTCACAGACGTTTTCGACTTCGCGGCCAACCATAAAATAGAGTGGGTCTTCATTTGTCCAGCGGAACCATCAATGGGAGGTGCGTGGGAAAAACTTAGATGCGATCAATAAAGTCTGCGCTTTCCGTAACCCTGAAAGAACAAGCTCCAAGAGAGGAAGTATTGAGTACCCTACTTCTGGAAGCGGAAGCAGTAGTCAATTCTCGCCCGCTGACACACGTACCAGTAAGGGCCGGAGATGATGTCAAGAAATGCCCTCACACCCTTCCATATTTATTGGGCACACCATCAACCGATTGGTCCGTCCCCGCACCGATAGATCTTTGCCGTCGCTTAGACCGACAAAGGTACTGCGGTTAGCGAAAGATGTTTTAGTGAGAAAGATGGCTTCACGAATACCTACCCAGATGATTCCACGAAAGGCCGGATCGACGCAAGCCAAAATAAAGTGGAGATCCAGTTCTGATGGCGGATCCAAATCTTCCGCGAGGAACCTGGCCCAAAGGCCGTATTTCTAAGATATTCACTGGTTATTCTGACGGAGTGGTCATGGTGATGGAGATCCGGGGAAGTTATGGGGATCTTGAAAAGACCAGTGCGCAAAGTGTTGCCCTTACTCCTAGAGCAGGGCACCCAAGAAAACTGCGCACAGTCGCCACTATAGATTGGTGCTCTGCACCAATGGGTTATTAGTGCCATGTTGGCGACAGACCTCTTTTATAGATATTTCTATTTTTAAACCATATATTTTTTATATACAATTTTTGACATATATTTTTTATTATATTGTTTTTCTACATTGTGTCATATACGCTACCACTAAATACATCTATAATTTTGGTAAGTAATTTTATTTATATTACCCTATTTCACTGCCGTTGCCAGCCGTAATATATGTATTTATATGAGTAATCTAGTACCCATAACACAAGCTCAGCTTAACTTGGGGATAGATGGCGCTGTGTGAAGAGTCCAAGGACATTATTATTATATATACGATATGTTATTATTAATTATTGTGTATATAGATAGAGATTCAAGAGGAAGTTTTATATGTACCTGTATTATACATGTAAAACCGGAGTGGGTAGCTAGTAAATTTACAATACAATATATGTATATATATATTTATATATATATATATATATATATTATTATAAATGTAATAGTATAAATATTATAATAGCACTTTTTTGTTTATGGCTAGATTTGTTTTTTTTGTTATGATTATTTTTGCACCGCCAACAATTTTTCTCTGTACGACCACAGATAACATAATATTGTACTATCTATGGTTGAATGGTAGAAAATACCGCACGGTGTTAAGTCCGCCAAATGTACTGTTACTTTTGTACTGTGTGCATTAAAGTTATATAAATAAACCGACTGACATAAAAATGCAAAATTTTAGACTTTTTAAATTTAGACTTTATAATTGGTTATTAGAAAATTGTTTTTATAGTATTAAGGATTTTTTTGACATGTAAAATATTGTTAGTTTTGACATATTTTAATATAAAAACAATTTCATTGAATTATTAGAAATATTTTTAAAATTAATTTAATTTATAAAAGTAATAATGTATATAAATTTTGCACGCCTGTTAGCAGGCTGAATACATTGAACGAATATACATATTGTAAGACCTATGTACTTGTAACATTGTATTCTGCAAATAAATTGTGTAGTTTTGTATTAATTAATTTAATTAATACTCCTCAGTTATCTCTAGAAAAACCGTTTATTTCGTAACTTCTCTTAAATCTATCTTTAGTACACACTCAATGCTCTATGGGTCCAGAGTCGCCATAGACTATATCCATATATTCTTTTAAGTCGTTTATCACTAATACATTACATTACACAAAAATAAATATAAAAAAAATAAAAAATACACTAATGACAAAACCTACCTGCAACTTGTTAAATTCACTCCACTCCTTCACTAAATTGTTGCTCATGTATAACACCTTTAGGTTTCTTAGTACGTTGATACCTTTTAACTTTTCAATTAGATTGTACGAAATCCATAACTCTTCAAGAGTGTCCCCTAAACATTCCTGGGATAAAAATAAATCTTATTTTATTATTATAAATGACGTAATATAATAACAAATGTCACGTAAGTGTTATGTAGACGAAGCTGATTTTTTTTTCAGACTACTCTAATGCTGATGGCCGCAGCTGGCCTTTACAGTTTCACCGGACGTTAGGGGGCGAGTGCAGATGGCACTTCAAACCCGCGGAAAGACTTATGGAGCGGCTGAAGGCCAACTCCCGCCTGACGGGTACGACTTTAGTCTGAGGGCACTACTAGGGGTTCGAACCTCGACTCAGGCCGTCGTAATTTCGATCCCCGTTTGAATTAGACTAGTATTATATACTAGCTGTCTCGCTCAACTTCGGCTCCCCTCCGATCGATCCCCCGTCCAATTCAATTAATTACTAATAATTAATACTACCTGCTTTTAAGTCCTAAGGCTGCTACTTACGTAATTACTGTAAAGTTCACTTAGTGTGACGTAAATAAATAAATAAATAAATTATTCACTGGATGGATGGATGGATGGATGTTTGTTACTCTTTCACGCAGAAACTACTGAACGGATTTTGTTGAAACTTTACAGTGATATAGCTTATACATCAGAATAATATATAGGCTATAAATTTGACGAGGGTGAAACCGTGCGCACAACTAGTGTATTATATATTGACGGCCTCGGTGGTTTAGCGATTTAGTATACCGCTTTACTTTCGATGGCCGCGGGTTCGATTTCTTGCATGTTTCCAATTTTTGTATTCAGTATGATTGTTTGTATTGGTCTGTGTGTTTACTATGTATATTACCACAGATAACATAAGATTACAATATTACGCATTTATTTAAAAAAAAAAAATATATCAGTTGTCTAGTACCCATAACACAAGTTCTGCTCCCCGTGGGAATATATCTTTTAAATTACAACGGATTTTAATGTGTGTAGTTTTAGAAATCTAACAGCGCCATCTAGTATCTATTGATCGGGACTAAATTTCGGAAACAACATTTGCATTCTACAGACAATCATTATGAAATACCTACTTATACAACTTAGCTGCTACAGTATACTAAAAGTACTATTTAATTTAAAGCTTTAATAGAGTGATTCAAGAGGAAGGTTATTATATGTGTAATATGCCTGTTCAAGTAAGGAATAAACCGAGAAATTAATAGATATAAACCGAGCGAAGCCTGAACAGGTCACTAGTAATATGTATATAAAAATTGTCACATTGTTAGTCAGCGATGGAATAAACTACTGAACCGATTTTGATAAAAATATATGTGTATTGTACACTCGGTAGGTCTAAGAATAGGTTGTGATCAATTTTGTTATACCCCTAAGTGATAAGTGTGGCTTACTATAAAAAAACCTTTAATTTTTTTTTTTTATTATTTGTTACTAATAAATACATTAGTACAAAAGGTGAAGGTGAAAATGTATAGTTCAATTTCACCCTTCTATCATCAACCCTTATTTTTTAATAACTATATTAATTTACATGGCAAAACATCGCTAGTATATATTATAAACTTACCATGCCAGCAAACGACTTAATGTAATTTCTGCCCAGAGACAATATTCTTAACTTTTTTAATGTATTGAGTCCCGATACTTTCTCAATCGTATTTGTAGAGAGACTTAACTTTCTGAAATATTTCTTTGATTATGTTTATTTCATACGTAAACTCCTTCATTATTTATTTATATAACTTCAATGTACAAAATACAAAGGTCAAAGTACATACAGCGGAGTTAAAGCCCGCCATTTTCTACCAATCAACCATAGATAGTAGAGAGAAAAATTGTATGCGGTGCAAATATGTATACCTAATCAATAAGAAAATCAATATATCATAAAAAGTATATACTAAAAGATGTAAACACAAGGACACCAACGTGACAAGTTCATGGTGACTTTACCACGATGTGCTAACTATACTTACTCATCCTATTATTTTCCACTGGTGCATTATTCCATATTCATTTATCAAATAAGAAAATATACGCACTTTATACAAAATGAGAGAAAATGACTCACTCGCAATTCAGAAGACTGGATAACGTATTGTCCATTTTCTCAATTGGAGGCCACTGGAATATTAAACTGACTTCAGTAGCCGTTGCTGCTTGGAGACCTGTCTTATCTTCCCATTTTTTTATTGCCTCTTTGATTGTTGTGGCCTTGGCCATTATTGCAAAATAAGGGTATTGAAAGAAAAACTCGTGCTATTATGGTTACGAAATTTATTGATAAAACAATTGAATTCTGTGTTGTATAGAAGCGGTAGAAAATAAGTTATCATAAACTAAATTGACGAACTGTAAAAAATAAACATAAATGTAATGAAGAAACTATAAAATAAAATAAAATCGGAGCATCTGCAATTTTCAAGAGTTTCATCATCACTAATTTGATAGTTTTTAGATAATGTAAGAAGTCTTTTATCTCATTTTCTCTTAACCATAGACAATACTTAATACTTTTCACAAACCAATAAGTCGCTTTAACAATAGTATTTTAAAAAGTATAAGACGTCGAAGGAAGACCCTTCGGCTAATTGTATTTTTATTCATTTATAAGTACTTACTAACTACATAAAAACACAAATTGATACATTATAGTGATAATTGGCTGGAATGTAGCAATACTGATTGACTGACTAAACTGACAAACAGTAAAACCTATCGTGTAATACCCGTCTAATAGACGCTTCACGAATCGCATATTCACTAAATGGCGTCCATTTATCTTTAAACAAGACACTCTCTTTGTATTTATCTTATTCTGGAATATTTGTCGGAAGATTGCACAAATTTTTTTGCTATTTTAGTAAATCTTAATCGTAATAATACCGGTAAGTACAAGGGTCACGCCATTTTGACATATTTTTGAATTCTCACGTTTTTTTTTAATTTTTTCTTTTCGATTTCTTTTTTTTAATAAAAAAAAACAATTGCCTGTCTATCTATATTTTTGAATGTAAATATTTTTACACATTTCTTGTTTGTTTCATTTGCTTTAGTTTATTAAAAGTGTTCAATTGATGTATTTACACAGTATTATCCAAGTATGTTCCAAGGACCCTGAAAAGTGAAAATCAATACTTGAATAGGCTCCGTATATTTTTTTCATGGTACGTTTATTGGATCCCAAATCTTAAAAAGTTATTATAAAAAGTTATTTTTGACAATTAACATTCCCGCTTTTTAAGTTTTTGTTTGAATTTAATCTTTATACTGCATTTTTTCATTATTTAATTATTAACCAGTTGTTTGTGTAGATACGAAATACAAAGATAATTGCGTAAATATATACAAAATGACCTTTGATGTGATATTTGCTCCAATCGGTAGCATCTTTATTCTTAATTTATATTAACATATAGTATGATTTTTATTTTACGATACATTTACACTTTACTATAACAGTTTTCATCATTACATTGTGTAATTATAACCTATCTTTACATTTTTTATAATGAAGTCGTTTTCGCTGTCTTTTTGCTTATTGCAATTTTAGTAATAGATAAACTGATTCAAGAAGGTTTATATGGATAATACATGTATACCCATGCGAAAATAGCATGGCAATAGTTGTTCATACACTGGATTTTTTTTAATGTTAGATATAGACACCTATGTAAATATACATTGTAAATAAACTACCTTTTAAAATAAAAAGTAATTCAATTGAGTTTCTTGCCAGTTCTTCTCAATTGGGTCTACATACTGAACTGGACGGTAGGGAAGAATCTATAATTGTAATATAAAAAAATATGACATTCATAAGCGGCTAAAATGTCCTACATGAATGACTTTTTCATTTGAACCGGAGCGGTTGCTAGTAATTTATTTAATCCAACTGATATACTTTGTTTGGATCATTGGCAGTCAATACTTAATTAGGTTATGGCACTTGATAGTACTAAGAACAATATTGCATACTCTATCATATCTTATTATTATTCACAGCCACTCGTAAATTTAGATGTTTACTATTTTCTTTTATTACAGAGCCTGAACCAGAAATGACTCAACCAATTCGCTTTGTTAATTTGGTGCCAAACATAAAGATTAAGGTAAGTTCCTACGAGGTTCATATTCCTTATGTACAATTTAAATATATAATATTATTGGGTTTTTCAGGTTATTATCAGGTGACTGTAACACCTGTAGCACTGTAACCTACATAGATCTATTGTGCTCTCTCTTTTTTAGAGTTTGTTACCTAGACCCGTTAGGTCAAGTATATATAATAGCAATAATACTTATTTATTGCTAGAAAAAAGACACATAAACATTTGAAGGCATACACTGTTCCCTTAAAACAAGTATGCCGACCTGTCCCTATGATTCTTTCTCTGATAATTTAATTTCATTAGTATAGATCAGTTTTTGTATGTATTACTATGTTGTAATATGTTTTTCACTGTCAGCTGTAATCACTTTCTCATTGTCAGATTATTAGGCATGTATTTATGTATGTATGGTATATTTTTGTATGTATATGTATTTATGTATATTTGTAGGGATATCTATGTATATATATATATTTATTTGTGTACGTTTTATAAAATTATTATAATATTATTTGCACTGCCAACAACTTATCTCTGCACAACTCATGGTGGATATGTACACACGCCATATGTACTCTTTACTGCATTAAAGTTCAAATTCAAAAATCATTTATTCATGTAGGACATTTTAGCCACTTATGAATGTCAAGTTTTTACATTATAATTTTTTTTCCCTACCATCCGTTATTTTAATAAATAAATCAGTGATTCCCAAAGTGGTCTATATCGACCCCCAGGGGTATATGACAAACTGCTAGGGGTCTACGACAGTGGTCATCTTGTTGTTTTTACTTTATGTTTTTACTACAGTTAGAAATTTACAAAAAATCAATACCAGGTGAGAATGGTGGGTTTACCCAATACCGAAAAATATGGCAAGGGGTCTATGACACAAAAAAGTTTGGGAACCTCTGGTATAGATAGATAAAAAAAGTATAATATTTTACAGAAAGAAGTGGTGGAAGAAGAAGATGAGGATATAGTGCACTGTCGACTGTGCACCAAGGGGTTCGTCAGCGAAGTGGCGCTGCGGAACCATGCGCGGATGGAACACTTCGAGTCGTACGCCACTGGAGACTGCAAGGTCTGGATGCAGACTCCTCCGACTTCGGTAAGACAACTCAAGTTTATTTATGTTATTGGTGTAGAAAACTGATGACCCTAATGGTAAGCGATAACCATCACCAATAAGGGTGAAGAGTGTTGTAGAGGATGGAGACCAAGGTGACGAGCAAAAAGTAAAACGGCACCGTTGTAGTTGTAGAATATTTTTGTACTGAATTGACTTATGTCATATAAAAACAATATAATATTATAAAAAATATAGACAATAAAAAGGTATATAAAATAGTTTCCAACAAGGGTATTGTTACCAATGTGGACTGATGACTATGAGCAAGAGACTTACGTTTTGATCTTTTAAATATATATTATTTATAGGTTTCAAGTTTATGAGTATAAATGACCGAAACGGCTTGACTGAATAAAAAATACATACAACCCTAAATTTTCACCGTTCTATAACCAACCCCTATTTTTTAATGGTGATAATAATTTACATGGCAAAACAACGTTTGCCGGATCTGCTAGTGATTCTATAGTGTTATGTTTCAGCCAAAACGCAAAGCTGACACAGAACTCCCTGATCAGAAGCCAATAAAAATTAAAACTGAAGACTTACTATCCACAATTGAACCTGGGAACCTGATGAGTTTAGCTTCTGAGGATGTCAGCTACATCATAATTAAGAGTGAAGATCTACCGAAGCTGAAGGCCGGGAAGAAGAAGGATATCAAAGTGGTGAAGGTACCGAAAACATCAACTGCGAGGAAAGATAAGGAGCCACCACAACCTATCACGTAAGTTAACTCTTGGCCGGCGGTAATCACTTACCATCAGGTTAGCCGCATTTTCGTTTGTCACCTATGTTATAAAAAAAAACCACTAGGTGAGCTGCCATTATGGGAACGTTAGGATCAATAATAATGTGCCTCGGGCAAGTTCGATATAAGTAAAAACAACATATGCAGGATGACTAGGGCCTTCACAGGACACTGCAAATTGAACATATGGCAAACCTAGGCCTGTGCACAACAAAAATCTGCAGATTTGGCCAAAGTGAAGTGGAAACGCCACTACACATCCTATATTGGTTTATATACCCTTCACCAGTTGTTCTCTTTCATGATGGCGGAGAGCCGGGCCACAAACGCGTTATGGCTCGACTCCAGCTGCGTCTCAATATCAGGTTACTCTTGGTTTGTATATAATCGACAATGTCCTGTTCCTTGTTAATTTATAATTGTATACTCCACAGTGGTCCATTCGAATGTCTACAACCATCGACATCGGTGGCAGACGGGACCTGCCATCAGATCTTCTTCTCGTGCTGCGAATACTCGGTCCACTTCAGAGATGAACACACCAGGAGACGGAAGGGCCATAGGTGTCAAGTTTGTGAGAAACCCCTGATAGCTTGCGACGATAGTCTGCCATATCCTTGTGAGGTAAGAATCTTGTTTTTTACTAGTCTTAATTAGTAATATTTATTATATTTTAGTAATTTTATTATATAAAAATTACGTGTCACGTTGTTTGTCCGCGATGAACTCCTAAACTATTGAACTGATTGTAAATTTGATTTACAGATTGTGTGCAATTTGATCCAACTTGAAAGATAGGATAGCTTACATCTCGATTTATAGTCGCAATATTATTTTATTCAAGAACTTCAGCCACAGCAACGAGTGACTAGTTTAATATATTTTTAAGAAGGGTATATTAAGGTTTCTTAAGGGTCGGTAACTCGCATATTATACATACAGAACATTTCAACTTAAAAATATAAAGTTACAACTAAATTATTTAAAAGAACAACACACAATTTTTTTCTAGTTCTTGTGATGAGGCAGCTTTTTGAATGACCGGAGAGAGATAAAAAATAAGTTGTACACAGTAGGTCTATTGGCTACAGGCTCTTATGATATGTCAAATGTACCGTCAGTTCGGAATGATTTCGAGATGAGAACCGACAAGAAACTCATAGTGCAAGAGCCCATGAAGTCCAGACCTTGCTCTCTCAGCTCGTATTCTTTTCAAAATGTTATGACTATTCAAAAGTGCTTCAATGTAAGTTTATTTGAATAACTGATCTTCTATTCTGTGTGAAATTGTACAATTACAGTTGTGTGGAGTGGGTTTTCTGACGAATAAGGAGCTGGCGGAACATGCCTCAATAATCCACGTGAAACAGAAGCCGTTTGAATGCACTATATGCAGGAAACGATTTACTCAACAGGTAATACTTATATTTAAAGATTTGGGTTTGTATACATTATTAATAATATTATAAACCCAAAAGTTTGTGAGTATGGATGTTTGTTACTCTTTCACGCAAAAACTACTGAACGGATTTTGATGAAACTTTACAATAATATAGCTTATAAATCAGAATAATATATAGGCTATAAATTTCTCGCGGTGAAACCGCGGACACAGCTATTTTAAGATAAAGGTAAATACCTTGGTAGATTAAAGGTATTAAATAAAGGTTTTTTAAGATATAGTACCTCTCTCGATGTTTGGACTAGGTTGCACTAGCTGACTAGAGTAACAGCGATGTCAATGTTATTATATGAAGGTAATGAAGTAGCTATGTCCATTCTCAGGATCTTGACTATCTGTGTAACAAAGTTATTTAAATTGGTTCAGTAGTTTTGACGTGAAAGTGAGGCAGCAGACAGATACGACTTACTTACGCATTTATAATATTCATAAGGATAAAAACAATTTATCAGCGAAAGCGAGACAGACAGACAAACAGAATTACTTTCGCATTTGTAATATTAGTAAGAATAATAAAAATTTATAATCGTAAAATAATTAAATTAAAATTAGTTTGCACACAATTATAAGAAATAAGTTGTGTTTCACGTCGAGCTTCTTGAATTCAGCGCTATGTTGCAGTAGGCGAAATTATTAATTTGAACTTTATTGCAATGTTACAGAGTGGTGTACAACAGCATATGAGAATGCACACCGGAGACCGTCCCTTCCCCTGCACGTTCTGTCCGAAAGCCTTCACTCAGAAGTCGGGCCTCGACCAGCACATCCGCATTCACACCAAAGTAAAACCCTACCGCTGTGTCATATGCAGTAAGTCATTCTGTCAATCTGTTCATCTCAAACAACATATGAGGACCCACACGAATGTCTCTCCATTCCAATGTGGGATATGCCAGAAACGCTTCAAACAAAGCAGCCATTTGAACTATCACCTCAAGAATCACAATCCCGCGAACATGACAGAAGAACAGAAGCTCAAATATGAGGAGCTGATGGGAATGATGCAGAAGGAAGTGGAGATAGATCCTGTGGAGATACAAATCGAAGAGGCAGAAGGTGAACAGGTTGTTGTGACCGTTCAGGGTGTTCCCGGGGAGTACAATTTGGATGAAACGGTTCCTGACTCATGGAATGTTCAGCTGGTAGATGATTGAAGAGTTGGAAGTACGAGGATGAATTACAGCGTCAGCTAGAACCGAGCTAAGCAGAGCTTATATGGTACTAGATAATTCATTGAGTTTTTAATATCAGGGGTCATGCATAAATATTAATTTCAGGACAATAAACACAGCGCCTTCTAGTCCCAAGCTAACCAGAGATTGTGTTATGGGTACTAGATAACTGATAAATACATAGATATTATTTTATAAATACATACATCATATATATAGAAAACACCCAGACTGATACAAACATACTCATGAATACAAATGTTTGTGTAATAAAGGTCTAGAATACTCGAAACCTTTTCCTTATGCGACCAACTAGTCTGTATTTCCAGCCTCTTACAACATTGAGACTTTCTAGTCAAGAGTGAATAGGCACTATAAGCTTGCATGTAACAGCTTACATCGCATCATCACTTAACAGGTGAGATTTCGGTCAAATGCGCTCAAATTAGGTAAAAAAAAGAAAGTTTCATCATTGCCTTCCTTTTATCCCATTATCTGTGGTTGGCGCAGTATGTCATTCTCTTCCACTGATCTCTATCGGCCGTCAAATCTGAGCATACTCTTTTATTCACGTCATCTTTCACATAATCCATCCATAATTATTTAGGTCGTCCTCTCTCTTTAAAAAAAAAGAATGTTTAATGTCACAAAATCTAGGAGCCCTAACTACCCTCTCAGAATGTAACAACCTTTGAAATAATGGGATGAGGTTAAACAGTACTGAATTTGATGTGACATTTATGTATGGCCCCTAACTGAAATGTCGAACAAACTGACGGTCCACCTGATGGTAAGTGGTAACTGTTGTCTGTATACAACACCAGCAATTTAATACCTTAGGACAAGTCAAACAGTCATTTAGTGCCAAGCTAAGCAGACCTTGTGTTATGGGTACTAGACAACTGATACAAAAATGATTTTTATAAATGCATACATAATATATACAAAGAACCCAGATATGTACAAATATATATATCAGCAGCTAAACAAAATTTGGTTAAATAACGGTAGCTAAAAGGTTTCACAACTTACACCTTAGTCCTCAGAGTGAGTACTATAGGAGTGGTACAATATTGTCTTTTGTGACACCCGGGGTGCTGACCGAAACTAATCTGCATCCCTCTAAGAGGGTTAGGGCCTCGGGGCCCCTTTGCCGTTCAATTTCAGAGAACGTTTCTTAAGAACTAGTGCCATGTTTGGGTTTTTATTGCTCAGGGCGTTGTTCATGTATATAGGTGACCCTTGCGGACTTGAAGCCCCTTTACCCCAGTATTTAATTCGAGGGAAGCTTTCTTCAGAACTAGTCCTATGTATGTGTTTCTATTGCTCGGGGTGTTGTTCATGTATATAGGTGACCCTTGAGGCCTCGACGCCCCTTTACCCAGGTATCTACTTTGAGGGAAGCTTTCTTAAGAACTAGTCCTATGTATGTGTTTCTATTGCTCGGGGTGTTGTTCATGTATATAGGTGACCCTTGAGGCCTCGACGCCCCTTTACCCAGGTATCTACTTTGAGGGAAGCTTTCTTAAGAACTAGTTCTATGTATGTGTTTCTATTGCTCGGGGTGTTGTTCATGTATATACTTGACCCTTGGGGCCTCAAAGCCCCTTTACCCCGGTATCTACTTCGAGGGAAGCTTTCTTTAGAACTAGTCCTAAGTATGTGTTTTTATTGCTTCGGGTGTAGTTCATGTATATAGAAGACTGTTGGGGTCTCGAGGCCCCAACAGTCTTTCTAAGAGGTTTGGAGCCTCGGGGGCCTTTTACCCCGGTATCAAATCCGGCTGAAACTTACAATAAGATCTAGTGCCATAATTGGGTTTTTATTACTCAGGGTGTTGTTCATCTATATAGTTGACCCTTGAGGCCTCGAAGCCCCTTTACCCCAGTATCTAATTCGAGGGAAGCTTTCTTCAGAACTAGTCCTATGTATGTGTTTTTATTCCTCGGGGTGTTGTTCATGCACATAGAAGACGGTTGGGGCCTCGAGGCCCCATTGCACTGACATCAACTCCGGGAAAAACTTAACTAAGGCACTGTTTGGGTTTGGTTTTGCTTCCACCGCTGTATATAGACGATGTAAGGTACAATTATTCGGACCGTCAGTTTGTTTGTCATTGTAATTACATAATAAAATCTAAACTGAAACTTGCAATATGTAGTAAAACTGACCGAAATTGTTATATTAAATAAGGTCAGTCTGTATATAGAAATTTTTATAAGGAAATTGCATTTGTAATGAAGTTTGTGTTCTTTTAATATTCGTAGTGACTGAGTATTAAAATGTATTGTAATAATAATTAATATAATAAAATATTATAATAAGTTCCCAGGACAATTCACACAGCGCCATCTAGACCCAAGCTAAGCAGAGCTTGTGTTATGTCTACCAAGTGATAGAAATACTTAAATTAATTAACATTCTTTTTGTAAATACATATCGATACAATCTTACAAATGTTTGTATCGTGCGAGGAATTGAACCCGCGACCATCGGAAGCGAAGCGGTGTGCCAAACCGCTAGACCACCGATGCTGATTATTTATATAGATACGAAATAAATTGCGAATATTTGGATAGTACCATATGCATATTAATAATAATAATAATCTCAGGACAAATCACACAGCGCCATCTAGACCCAAGTTAAGCTAGCTAAAGCTTGTGTTATGGGTACTAGATAACTGATGCATATACATTGTTTTTTTTTTCGTAAACACTATAATATTATATATAGAAAAAATCCAGACCGATACAAATGTTTGTGCTGTGCGAGGAATCGAACCCGCGACCATCGGAATTAAGGCGGTATGCTAACCGCTAGACCACTGAGCCCGTCATATATATATATAGTAATATACATATATATATACGACTGATATACATATATTTTCTATTTATATCTATAACAAAATGAACTTTAAAACTTGTCTTTTCAAATTAACATGCATGTTTTAAAATAACAACGTGAGAATGTAATTTCATCAGATTATTGTATTGGTTAGACACTGTAATTAAATAAAACAATATTACAATATTTAATATAAAAATTTTATTTAACATTTCGGCCGAATTAAAAATATATCTATTAATAATTTACTACCCTGAATTGAAATTTTGAACTAGCATCTATGAGTATTATAATTATTTTTTCGAACAACTCTAATGCTGTTGGCCGCAGCTGGCCTTTACAGCTTCACCGGACGATAGGGGGCGAGTGGAGATGGCACTCCAAACCACAGGAAGGACTTATAGAGCGGCTGAAGGAGAACTTCCGACTGACGGATACGACGCCAGTCTAAAGGCACCGCTAGAGGTTCGAACCTCGGCTCAGGCCGTCTAATTTCGATCCATAGGCTATAATTAAAAATATATGGAAATTGGCCGAAGTATAATAAATAAATGTCAGGTTAGTGTGATGCAGGCGAAATTGCGCGGGTCAGATAGTTACATATAACACAAATAACGAATGTCAATGTGTGTGGTGTTTGACATCGCCAGAAGGTGAGTATGGCGTTTATCAATCGGTGCGACAGACCTGGTTGCTTCTAGTGTACCAGCAACTGCAATTAAAAATAAGAATGGTAAAGAAAACATACTAAAATGTCTCAATTAATGTAGGCAGAATATCAGCTTATTAAAAAAAAATCATTTTTTACTCGTTTAACCAAAATGTTTTTTTTTATTGGATAATTTGGACTATTGTCACGTGCTTGGACCTGTAGCACTGCGACCTACATAGATCTATTGTGCTCGCCCTTTTTCACAGTTCGCTACCTGGACCCGTCAGGGACAAGAATTGAAGGATATTCTTGGGAGCGATGGTTTTTATCTCCTCAGGATAAAGTGTATACTTTCCAAAGGAGATATTTCGTTTATGCATGAGTGGGCTGCAACCACATAGGATGTGTAGTGGCGTTTCCTCTTCGGTTTGTTAAAATCTGCAGATTTTTGTTGTGAACAAGCCTAAGTTAGCCATATATTTGTCCAATTTGCTACTTAATGTTTGGAAAGAAAGAATATCTCGTTTAAAAGGCTCACTCACTTGGTATTGCATAAATGGCACTCAAAACGAAAGGAAGGACTTATGGTGCGGCTGAAGGACAACTTCTGCCTGACGGATACGACACCAGTCTGAGGGCACCGCTAGGGGTACGAACCTCGGCTCGTCATAATTTCGAACCCCGTTTGAATTGGACGGGGGATCGATTGGAGGAGATCGTAATATAGTGATGCAAATCAGCATGTTCGATAGTAGATTGTGCCAGCTCACGTTTTATCTAACGATACGTAGGTCACGCAGTTGTCTAAATATATATAACTCAAAGGTGACTGACAGTGATCTATCAACGCACAGCCCAAACCACTGGACGGATCGGGCTGAAATTTGGCATGCAGGTAGATGTTATGACGTAGGCATCCGCTAAGAAAGGATTTTGATCAATTCCACCCCTAAGGGGATAAAATAAAAAAGTGGTTTCTCTATTCTCGTTGTTGTTTTGTATCACAAAAAAATTAAAACGAATATGTATATTTAATACATTTTTGATTTAATAAATAATTTTATTACATTTTATTCATATTTCTGCGAATTTGAATTGTTTTAATACTGTTTTTTTTAAATCACCGCTTTAAAACGTTCCATTTCATGCAATGTATAGTAAGTATTGTACATAATTGTTACAAAGAGATTTAAAAAAATATAATAAACCATTAATTAGAAAATGAAGGCATTTTGATGGAATATTTAAGAAAATAAAATTCGGTAAATTAATAATGCAAACTAAAAAAGTTTTGTGAAGAATATTGTGAAAGAAATATTAATGAACTTAAGAAAATTGCCATAAAATCCAAATTTATACTGTAAGCAAAACCATATTAAACGTGCTTAATACTATTGTTATAGTGCTTTTTCTTTACTTTATATCGTAATGATAATGTAATCATTATCATAATATTATTGTAATTCTAAAATATATTGTAATACCTTCTTAATTTATGGTAAAAATACTCTTTTCTAATCTGACTATAGTCGTCATTTTGTCCGCCGTCAATATTGTAAGTATTTTGTTTAGGCTGTATGGGCCATGCCTTTCGCCTGATGAATTAGAAAAAAGAATTGTCAGGTGTGTCAATCATAAGCCAGTCACTTGTTAACTTTACATAATACTGCGTCATACACGGGCCATTCGTGGTATTTTATTAATTATCTATTTTATGTAATTCTATTCAAATTATAATTAGTGTCACCAAGTGTAATTTATAATGTGAAGTGACTTAACACATAGTTAGAGGATACAATTTGTTCAATTATAGTAGGTAAGTTTATTCAAAGGTCATTGTTTGTTGATTCGGCTAAAATTAAAATTCTGTACACATGTTGGTGATTAGTGAAGTGCATCAGAAATAATACATGTACATATCGATTTGTAATCGGCAATACTGTATAATAAAAAATATTCGATAAAATTAACTATCTCTATTCTTTCTTATTTTATTCTTGGCTTAAGTTAATTAGTTAATTTATTACGTCCATAATCTTCGGTAACAATAATTTGCAATTTTCCAAAAACCAGTTATTCTACTTACACTAATGTAATGTAATAAGTAACTAATTAAAAAATAGATACGAGTGATATTTATTTTATTATTATTAACGAAATGATATTGTCTGGATTGAAATCGATTTAAATAATTTAATAAATACATTTTAATCGATTCGCTTATCGTACCAACACCTCACTAGTTCTCCCTCCAGCCGAGTTTTGTGTGTGTGTTTAAACGTCAGAATTCTTGGAAATCGCTACGGGTATTTGTTGCGGAGCGGACGTTCGCTCGATACAGGTAAACTGTTTGATATCCCGGAGATAGGATAAAACTAACAAGTGTCTGTTCCTTTACAACGCACGCGTTCGAAATACAAAAAAGTGTTTTTTTAATTTATCCATAGTGTCATGTGTTTTTGTTAAATCGTATTCCGAGAAATCGCGAGAGGTCGTTTTGTAAATGTGTTATTAATCTATCGATTAGTGGATTTAATTAAATATTTCCGTAATCGTGAGAATATTTGAATGGCGTAAGTATACTTAGTATTGATGTTGTTTATGGCCAGTGTTATAGAGATGGCCATGAATGTTTATGCACATTTATAATTATGTCTATGAGTGAATTGTTTTTTTTATTGCATATTTTTTCTTGATCGTTAGGAATGTACTTGTTTGGTCAACTTCATAAGGTTTGTAACTGTATGATGTTTTATTTATTACAGGTTTTATAATTTGGACAGTTTTATTGAATCAGTATTACTTATTTTTGCATTACACATTTGCTTTTATTTATTTAGGTTTTGTTCTCATTGTCTTTTCTAATAGCATGCATATTTTGAACGTTTTATTCTCATGACTAAGCTTATCTTTTCTAATAATAATAATATCTCTGAACACTTCCCACAATCCATCTAGTTCCAAACTAAGCACAGCTCCTGTTATGGGTACTAGACAACTGAAATAAATACATAGGTACATTATTTTTTTAAATACACTCAGACTGATACAAACAATCGAATCAAACTTTTGAATACAAATGTTTGCACCATACGAGGAACAGAACTCACAACCATCAGAAATTAAGTGGTGCTAAACACTATTTATAAAATAATATAGTTTAGGGGGATCTGGGGGGTTGGAACCACACTAAGTGTCTGGCAATGAGCAGTGCAAGTTATAATACTGCTACGAACAATATATGAAAAAATGGAGCATCTTAAAATAACGAATTTGATATAAAAATTTTTACACCTTTGTTACCTGTTACCTGCCAAAGGAACAACGATCCAGGTTTCATGTTTGGGGATCATTTCACCAAATTTCAGCCCGATCCGTCCAGTGGTTTGGGCTGTGCGTTGATAGATCACTATGTCAGTCACCTTTGAGTTATATATATTTAGGTTAAGATATATATCTACGTCGTGATATATACAACGCGGATGATGCAACTGTACTCTTAAGTGGTTCATCATTTATTTATTTATTTAACTTCAATGCACATAATATACAAAATATAGTAAAGTACATTTGGCGGACTTAACACCATGCGGCATTTTCTACCAGTCGACCATTGGTGGTGCAGAGAGTAAATGTTGGCGGTGCAAATATAATAAATGATAAATAAAAAGCAACAAAATATAAACAGAATGATAAATACAATATATATCTAAGGAATACAATCATAAATTACATAAATATATGCAAATATTATATTATACATATATACAAATAATTATATACACATATATATATATATATATATATAAAAATAAATATATACTAGATACTCAATAGTCTGACAGTCACAGAACCATAGAGAGTAGAATGGAAAAATAGTGAAAGAAAGAGAAATAGAAGAGAGTAGTAAAAAGTTACAAATTGAGATAATGTTCATCATCATCTGCTTCTTCCTTATCCCATTTATTTCGGTCATAACCCATCTTTCTCACAGTCCATCCATCTCTTTCGGCCTTCCTCTGCCCATATAACCATCCACATTCATATGTAACGCCTTTCTTAAAACATTATCCTCGTTCCTACGCATTACATGTCCATACCATGATAGACGATTACTCTTCAACCTCTCTGACACCGGCGCCGCTTTACTCTGAAGAGGTTATTATATATTTTTTGGACTACTCCAATGCTGGCCGTAGCTACGTGCAGATGGCACTCCAAACCAAAGGAAGGACTTATAGAGCGGCTGAAGGCCAACACCCGCCTGACGGATATGAGGTTTTCGAATGCTAAAGAAAAATCACGTAATGGTTAGACCTACGTGCCTATGGATGTATTGATGCTGTGTTTAGATAATAAATAGATTTCTCTAATTTACATAGAAATATAACATTCCTTAGAAATATTACTACAATCTTTTTTTAGAGATAAGTTCGCCTTTGAACATTACATTTATTGTATACCAGCTGTTCCCGTGACTTCGTCCGCGTGGAATTTAACTTTATTTTCTAAAATGAAGTAGCCCAAGTTACTCCTTATTACATAAATAAAATTGGAGTGTCCGTTTGTAATACTGAAGTAACCGTTTTTTACTACACGCATATGAATATAAATACGGTACATATAACAAAATAGCATTTTCTACAATTTTTGTCTCTCTGTCTGTTTGTTGCGGCTAATCTCTGAAATGGCTGGACCGATTTCGACGGGACTTTTTTGGCAGGTAGTTGATGTAATAAGGAGTAACTTATGCTACTTTTATTTTAGAACTATAAAGTTAAATTCCACGCGGATGAACTCGCGGGTACAAGCTAGTATAAAATAAAACTACAACAGAAATATACCTACAATCCTAAATTTTCACCCTCTGTTTGCGCGTCTTCTAAAGCCTTAAAAAAACCAACAAAAAAAAAGTTTGTAAGCCGCCACACTGCTTTTTCCCGCCCCAATTCCCCTGCACAATATGGACAAGAAAATTTCGGCGCCATCTAACAAAAAACAACCACCGCATGCATCAATTACACAAAAGGAGCTCCTTAAATATTAAAACAAACTGTATTTGTGTCGCGAGTGTGGTGTATTGTTATTGAAAACCTCAAGTGCTTCAAGTCACCGACTCAGATCATCTATATACTATAATTTTGTGCAATTTGTGTGAGTTCCTTATTTACCTTTTCATACGATCACTGCAGTGTGGCTAAAAAATATATCACCCTCCAACATCTGTTTTTTAATAGCGATATTAATTTATATGGCTATGCAACGTTGGCGGTTCAGATAGTAGTCATCTTGATAAGTGTTTCTGAAGATAAGTTAGGTAATAAATTTATAAAGAGATACTAGTAGACATGTATAAACTTTGACAATTCAAAATCATATTCAAAATATCTACATTCATGTAGGGCTATTACAGACTCATATGATATGTCAAATCTACCGTCAGTTCGGAATGATTTCGAGATGAGAACGACTGACAAGAAACTCAGCTCGTATTCAAAATATCTTTATTCATGTAGGTCTACTTCTTCTTCTTCTTTTCTTCTATGGCAATCGGTCGTTATTTTTACGACCATTTATGCCAGCATCATGTATCAGAGGCACGCACTGGAGACAAAATATATCCAAAAGAGTAATTTTAGTCTTTCTGGTGTAGAAACAAAACAACACAAATTTGGTTAGTAGTTAATAGAGTACATATATAATATATAGGTAGATATATTTTGTATAGGTCAATTTATTTAATTAATACATATTTAGATTTTAATGTTATTACTTTTAATGAAATTTACAATTATCCATAAAACATTAGGATTTTCAAAGTACAGACTCTTATCATACGTCAAATCTACCGTCAGTTCGGAATGATTTCGAGATGAGAAAAACTGACAAGAAACTCACCTCGTATTCAAAATATCTTTATTCATGTAGATCTATTACAGACTCTTATGATATGTCAAATCTACCGTCAGTTCGGAATGATTTCGAGATGAGAAAAACTGACAAGAAACTCAGCTCGTATTCTTTTCAAACGAACTTGTACATGTTTATTAAAATACAGATTCGTTTTTAAATTCATACTGGCATACCCGGCCATGTTACTGTGGCTAAGGTCAAATAATATTGCGACTATAAACTGAGATGTAAGCTATCCTATCTTAAGTTGGATCTAATTGCACACAATGTGCTAATCAAATTTGCAATCGGTTCAGTAGTTTAGGAGTCCATCGCGGACAAACAACGTGACACGTAATTTTTATGTATAAATATATGTTTAGACATATACCGGTACATAAAAAATATTTATAAGTGTTTAAGCAGATAATTTACCTTATCTATGACACACCCACAGTGTATGTACTTTGATATTGTTGCCAACTAACTAACCTAGCAAGTTTTTTTAATATTACGATGTTGGCAAACAAGCATACGGCACATCTGATGGTAAACAGTTACCGTAGCCCATGGACGGACGTTGTTTTGACATATGAATTACTATCTAACCCGCGTAACTTCGCCTGCATCACACTTACTTGACATTCATCATTATATTTCGCCCAATTTACATAATATCTTTTTAAATTATAGCCTGTGTGTTATTCTGATGTATAAGCTATATTACTGTAAAGTTTCATCAAAATCCGTTCAGTAGTTTTTGCGTGAAAAAGTAACAAACATCTATTCATACTCACAAACTTTCGCGTTTATAATATTACTAGCTACTCGCCCTGGCTTCGCCCGGGTGTACATGTATTATACATATAAAACTTCCTCTTGAATCACTATCTATTTTTTAAAAAAACCGGTTCAAAATCCGGTGCGTAGTATTCAAGATTTATGCATACATAGGGACGGACAGACTGCGACAGCGATTTTATTTTATACTATGTAATAATAATGATTAGCAGTGCCTGTGTTATTCTGATGCATAAGCTATTTTATCGTAAAGTCTCATCAAAATCCGTCGAGTAGTTTTTGCATGAAAGAGTAACAAACATCCATCCATTCTAACAAACATTCCCGTCTATGTATTTATATCAGTCGTCTAGTGGTTCCAAGGGGAATCGCGTAGAATATCACGTGTCTAGTACCCATAACACAAGCTCTGCTGTGTGAATTTTTCGAGCTTGTGTTAACTATCGTGTGAGACACCATTAATTAAAAATGGTAAAGTCAATAATCATGCTTCTTTATCTAATGCTACGTTTACATTCAGCCGCTTCCCCTGCCACGCGCGGAAATATTGCCGGGCGACAACTGAGCGAGAGGGCTGAATGTAAAAACACGCTGCCACTCGCGCTGCCAGTCCTTTGATTCGCGCACCAAAAACCGACAATCGAGGGATCGCCGGGCAGCGCGAGTGGCAGCGCCAATGGCATGGGATGTGTTTCAACTCGTGTTTACACCCTCGCGCTGCTCACTGTCCACTCGGGCTGAGTGTAAATTGGGCAGAAGGCATTCAGAATAACCTGAAATGGAACGGCAGAATCCAGAGCCTAAATAATCTTTGTGACATTGACAAGTAGATTGATGGATGATGGAACTGAGCAGTGGTAGTTTTGGAGCGAAAAAGTTGGAGTGATTATATTATTATAAAAATAAATAAGAGATAGGTAATTGTGAATATTCAAGGCATTGGGGGGCCTCTCTCTCTGACCAACCGGCATCACGCCTGAGTTATCAGGATATTAGCGATTTTAATACTTGGAATTAGATGGCACTAGAGATGTGCTAACTCGTAATAAACATAACTTATAGTTAACTCGTAACTCGAGTTGAAATTCAGGTAACTCGAGTTACAAATCTAATGTTTTTGGCCGCAGCTAGTCTTGAAAACTTCACCGAACCATAGGGAGCGAGTAGAAATGGTACTTCAAAGCCGCAGAAGGACTTATAGAACGCATAATCATTTTAATGATTACATAACCGGACGAATATGCGAAAAAAATGATAATGACCTCAAATCAATATTGAAACATTTGTGACGAGTGAAAATTGTATGATATGAAATGATCGGGAAATTTCATGTTATTGTCGATTCGATGACAGACTCATGCTCTCGCTCCTTCACTTGATTCGTTCATTTACCAGTTGAATACCTCCAACTCGAGTTGGCAGAATTCAACTCGAGTTAACTCGAATTCACCACAACTCGAGTTAACTCGAATTCACCACAACTCGAGTTAACTCGAATTCACCACAACTCGAGTTAACTCGAATTCACCACAACTCGAGTTAACTCGAATTCACCACAGAGTTAACTCGACTTATAGAACGCAACTCGAATCATTTTAATGATTAACTCGAATTCACCGCACTCGAATTATCGAATTCGAAAAAAACCACAACTCGATAATGAAATCACCGCAACTCAAATCAACTATTGAAACTCGATTTGTGACGAGTTAACTCGAAAATTCGTAACTGAATTCATCGAAATCGACCGAGTTAAAATTCACAACTCGTCAATTCACAACTCGAGTTAACGACACCGCAACTCGAGTTAACTCGAATTCTCGAGTTAACTAGAATTCAACTCGAGTTAACTCGAATTCACCACAACTCGAGTTAACTCGAATTCACCGCAACTCGAGTTAACTCGAATTCACCGCAACTCGAGTTAACTCGAATTCACCGCAACTCGAGTTAACTCGAATTCACCACAACTCGAGTTAACTCGAATTCACCGCAACTCGAGTTAACTCGAATTCACCGCAACTCGAGTTAACTCGAATTCACCACAACTCGAGTTTACTTAGACACCACACTGATATCTTATAATTATCATTGTTGTTAACGAGCAGAAGTTACCGAGGAATATATGATATTCACACTGTCTTCCTTTGTTTCAGATAACCATATCATCTCAGGATACAGACATATAAGCATTTGGTAAGTTCTAGAAGATTATTACAACTCTTGAATAACACTGCATGGTCACTATTGTTATAGTAAGTGGAATGAAAATAAAACAAACAGATCACCTGAATGAATCAAATTACAAAATCATTTATTCATGTAGGACATTTTAGCCGCTTATGAACGTCAAGTTTTTTACCATTATAATGTCTCTCCAGTTCGGTATATAGATCCAATTGAGAAGAACTGGCAAGAAACTCAATTGAAATACTTTTTTTTAAAAGCCAGTTTATTTACAATGTATAGATATTTATATAGTCAGAAACAGACTTGATCACTAAAATAAGAACTGACATGAACTTTAAATTTATAATTATAACGCATAAGAGTGATTTTTATCCAAAAAGTTCATTTTCGTTTGCTTGAAGGAAATTAAAAAATATCTCTCCTGCTGCTGCATACATACAACCAATCAATCAGGAAGTTCTGTCTCCTCACTATTTTACAATTTTATTATATGTATAGATTCTTTCATATATTTTATTTATTATTTTATGACTAGCTACTAGCCCGGCTTCGCCCGGGTGTACATGTATTATACATATAAAACTTCCTCTAGAATCACGCTATCTATTTAAAAAAACCGCTTCAAAATCCGTTGGGTACTTTTAAAGATTTAAACATGCGTATGTATGCTTAACTATGGACGGACAGACAGCGACAGCGACTTTGTTTTATAATATGTAATGATGTAAAGATACATTGTTTTTTTTTTTTTCAGATTAAAGATGTCGCTCTGGGCCCGAGCTCAGCAGCTTCCGCCGGAGTGCTTACAGGAGGTAAAGCTCAATATTTTAATTATATATTCACATAGAACCTTTCCGGTTCTTTTTTTCTTCTGGATCTGACGATGTATGTCCATTAGTAATTTTATAGTTTGTTTTTAAAAAGCGGGGGAACGATAAAAAAATACATAATTTAGGAACGTGCTTACAGGATAATTCGACCTCTTATACACGTCAACAAAACCGTGACAAACATCTCTACTTGTCACATTTATCATATTATTAAGGATACAATATCATCGATTAAATAGAAAAATGATATTTGTCAAAATTAGAAGCTAGAATTACCTCCTTTTATATAAGTCAATTAAATTAACCACGCCATCTTAATCATTATCTAAATACTTTTAAAATGATATATGATACTTCTTTGTAAATTTAAAACTTTAAAGAAGAAAAAATAATTTAAATAAATTTAAAAAAATGTAAAAATTGTCATTTTTCTATTTAACCGACAATATGTATTATTTATGTATTATATTCTCGTACTATGTGTGTATATGTCACATTGTGTATTTTCAGGTTCGTGCCATCTACAGGGATGCTTTCCCCATTGAAGTTCGCCATTGTCTAGCGTTATGGATAGAGAACAGAGTTTGGTAAGTGTCAAAATTTGAAAAGAAAGAAAGAAAAATATATTTATTTGGCGCATACAAAACAATCATACAACATTTTACAAAAATTATAACAAATTATTTTAAAAATACAGCTGCGACCAAATTGGTTTCCACTCAGCTTTGTGTCTGGGCTGTAATGCCCAAACGCTGATTTTCAGTGGAACCTTGTAGAAAATAATTTAAAATATAAAAATTGTGTACCTACTGTTGCCTGCGTGAACGTACGCTGTTGGTGCTTTTGTGTTAATCATTTTTATATGATTAGCTGCCTCTTATCGTATGCTGTTTCACGTGCTAATCGTCTTTCAACGTATACAATCAGATAAGTGTGGTATATTCTCTTATTATTATTATTATTCTTTCTTCCTTTTCGACTCATCCCGTATAAAGAAAAAAAAAAGTATACAGAGTAGGTTATGTACCTTTTTTTTTTCTTACGTGGGTAAAATCCCTCATGAAGACCCGGCTGTCTCAGCGGTTGGACGGACGGGTACTGTGAGACTCCTACTCAACAAAAACCCCACGATATTCCTCCTCGCCGCCATAGTGCCAGGGTCACGGGATCGAGCTGGCAATCAACCGCGACCCTAGCGGCGACACTTATAACATCCCAGGCCTTTCAAGTGGTTATAAATTGTTAAATTTAGTAAATTTAACCTGAATCCGATCTCACGTGTTGTGTTATTCGCCGGTTCACATCAACCAGTGCCTTTATCAGCTTCAGCCGGCCTTCCCGAGGGTGGTGCATCTTCGACATCAAAATTGCCGGATCGAAATTTAGTAAACCAGTTCTGGCACTGGCGTACTGTACTAGCTTAAAAGCTAGAAGGATATAGCCTTCCTCGACAAATGGACTATCCAACACAAAAATAATTTTTCAATTCTAACCAGTAGTTCCTGAGATTAGCGCGTTCAAACAAACTCTTCATCTTAATAATATTAGTATATTTTTTATTTTTATAGAATAGAATAGAATAGAAAATCATTTATTCAAATAACCTTAATTTAAGCACTTTTGAATAGTCAACATTTTTTTAAATCTACCGCTTATTCGGAAAGCTGTCTCATCACAAGAAGAATAAGCAAGAAACTTGTGTGTTGCTCTTTTAAACAATCCTTGTAAGTTCACATTTTACAAGTCGAAACGTGTGAATACAAACTACCAACCAGCACTAATTTATTTAGGCTCAAATATAAAAACACAATAAGATTAAATCAGTCGTAGTGATAAGAGCAGATCAGTCCCTACAAGCAGTACACGTTCACGAGTATGACGGATGAGCCAGCCATCACTGCGCTCGACCATATTTTAGGGAGCCCAATGACCCGGCCCACCACGCCGCCACATGTCTGGACATTTTAGTGAGCATCACTACTCATTCCACTCGACCACGTCACAGCTACAAAAATTACTATATGGTAGTTACAGTATTCGCACTTTACATGAGGATGCATGCGGCAATCAATACAAAAGCCGCTACGCTATCATATATCAAGAAAGCAGTATGAACAATAAATTATAACGTTGTCCGTAAATAAACTTATACTTGCTATATATTGCTATCATCTATAAATTCATCTATCCTATAATAGACTTTTTTACATAACATTTGTTAACTTTATATAAGTTTGAATTGCCTCTCTGTCAGATTTAGCGTAGACTCTGGCAGTTTATTATAGAATCTTACGCAATTACCATAAAATGAATTACTAACTTTGTGTAGACGGCATTTAGGTAAAATTAACTTATTTTTATTGCGTAAGTTTCTAATATAAGATTGTTCTTCATCCAGGAATGTGGAGCACGAGGAACACCAGCAGTTCTTCGTGGAGGAGCTGGTGCACGAGATCAACACGCATGCAGATCTGCTGCACACACCTGATATGTTTGTTACCAAGATGAAGCTGCTAGAAGCAGCAAAAAATATACACCTACAATATGGGTGAGTACGCTTAATCTTAGATATAAAATTCTCGTGTCACAGTTTTCGTTCCCATACTCCTCCGAAACGGCTAGACCGATTCTCATGAAATTTTGTGAGCGTATTGAGTAGGTCTGAGAATCGGCCAACATCTATTTTTCATCCCCGTAAATGTTAGGGGTAGTCCACCCCTAAATTTTTTTTTTATATTAATTCAAAACAACGTTTGCCGGGACAGCTAGTATCATTATATTCTTCTTCTTTCTTCTAATATATATTATGTATATTGTTACCCGGGTCTTGACATATTAATTTTATGGTAAACTAGCTATTCCCGCGACTTAGTCCGCGTGGATTTTAACTTTATTTTTCTAAAATAAAATATTTTTTGTAAAATAAAAATAGCCTAAGTTACTCTTCATTACATCAGCTACCTGTCAAAAAAAGTCTAGCCATTTCAAAGATTAGCCGGAACAAATAGACAGACAAAAATTAAAAATGTTAAAAAATGTTTTTTTGGTGTATGGTACATACACCAAAATAATATTTTTTACAATTTATATTCATATGCACGTAGTAAAAAACGGTTATTTCAATATTACAAACAGACACTCCAATTTTATTTATATGTATAGATAAAAGTTACCTTTGACTTTTTGAAAACTGTGACACGAGAATTTTATATATAAGATATTAGATTGTGTATGTAACTGTATTTTCTGTGAGAGGAACAATAAAGAGTTTCGTTCAATCATTCATTCATTATTAAGTCTAACACGAATGAAGGTTATTATGTTTGTCTGCAGGCATCAACCTCAAGAACTCTTCAACTACATGCGGCAGTGTTTGACTCGGGAGCTAGCCCTCATACAGAAGGCGATGGGCACACAATACGTGTCCCCACCGCAAACAGAGAGGAAATACAGCGAGGTATGATGCCTTATTGTATTGTTTTTACTCTATGGTCGGATTTCCGCACTGAATGTTTGTGGTCTCACACATGTGAATAGTAGCGGTGTTAAACAAAATAATATAAATGTTAGGAGTCGTTTTTTGTTTCATCATATACTAAGGATGGTGTTACATATGAATGTGGATGGTTATAAGACCGAAAAAGAGATGGATGGACTGTGTGAAAGATGATATGGTAAGAAAGGGAGTAAATAACGGGATGACTGCGAACAGAGTGAATCGAAGAGAAAAACATATTACGACGACCACAAATAAATGGGATAAGGAAGAAGCAGGTGATGATGAGTCGTTTCTTTTTTTTGGAAAATATAAGAAAATTTTCGTCTAGACCAGTGTTTCCCAATGAGGGGCCCATATGCCCCACTGGGGGGCTATTTGATTGTCTAGGGGGGCAATTCGAAAATGGACTCTTTTTTAATTTCAATTATTATTAAATGTTTGAAAATTTACTTTCTGTTTCAACGTTTTTAACAGTTTCCTGGTGATTTCTTGCTAAAACTTTACCTTATTTAAGTTTCTTAAGTGAATAATTTAATTTTTTATGTTATAAATTGCGTTCGAAAAGATACAATAAGATCCTTTGTCGGGAAAAACGAAGTTACTTTCCCAACAACCTAATATATAAAGTAGCAATGAATGCGGTGTTCCCCTCTCTATCTTTTTTGTGCCATGCCCATCTTAGCCTTTTTTTATACTACTATGGTGGCAATCAAGCATACGGCCCATCTGATGGTAAATGATTACCGTAGCCTGTGAAGCCTTTCCTATTATTTAATAGTTCAGGGAATAAAGACAAAATAAGACAGAAATAAATTGAAAAAAAATGGTTGTTTTGATAACCACTATTTTTCCAATAACTGACCGTTAACGAGATATTCGCGAAAAACTGTTCTTTATGACCTTTGACCTCTAATAACTTTTTTAGCGGCAAACGGATCAATTTTTTGAGATTTTGTTGATTTTGTTGAGAACACCAAAAGGAAGGTTCTTGCAAAAATCCAACTTTCCACTAATTTTTCCGAAGTATAACTTCTTTATTCCCTATACTATAAATCCACATTCAGCTAAATATGAAACGAAAGTATACCTAATAATTATTTATCGCAGTTATTGAAGAATTTGCTGTTTTCGTTAAATTTGGCACCGAAATCTAGCATTGCATTTAAATAGCCTTCAGCAAAGGTTGACCCCCTATCCGAAATGGCCCCCTGTGGGGCATAGGCCCCACGTTGAGAAACACTGGTCTAATGTAACAATTGGTGTACAGCTGCTGACGGGTTTACGGACGGTGCAGCAGAAGGTGGCCCTGGTCGGAAAGGAGATCAGCAACTGGAATGCCAACATGGAGTCCTTCTCGCTCGAGTACCACGAGTGTGTCAAGAAAAAAGGTTAGTCAGTCTTTTGAGGATAATAATAGAATGTTGCTCCCGTCCTCACTAAAGCTAGTACTAAGTACACTGGCGGAGCACAGAAAAGACGGGGAAAGTTGTAGAACAAAAGTTGTTTGTTACCATGGGTAATTACGTATCCTTGGGACTTAGTATTTCCGACTAACCCTGTACCCTGGTCGTAACAAGTACATCAGAGGCCATATATAAATTATATAGTTTTTTTCATGAGTTTTTAGTCAAGAATGGGGGGAGAGGGGTAACCTTGTCATTGTGAAAGACTTTTGGTCAAGAACGCGGGGGAGGGGGTAACCCTGTCATGGTGTCAGTTTACGGTCAAGAACGCTGGGGAGAGGGGTAACCTTGTCACGGTGACAGTTTTTGTCAAGAACGCAGAGGAGAGGGGTAAACCTTGTCATGGTGACAGTTTTTGTCAAGAACGCAGGGGAGAGGGGTAACCTTGTCATGGTGACAGTTTACGGTCAAGAACGCTGGTGAGAGGGGTAACCTTGTCATGGTGACAGTTTTTGGTCAAGAACGCTGGTGAGAGGGGTAACCTTGTCATGGTGACAGTTTTTGTCAAGAACGCAGGGGAGAGGGGTAACCTTGTCATGGTGACAGTTTTTGTCAAGAACGCAGGGGAGAGGGGTAACCTTGTCATGGTGACAGTTTTTGTCAAGAACGCAGGGGAGAGGGGTAACCTTGTCATGGTGACAGTTTTTGGTCAAGAACGCAGGGGAGAGGGGGTAACCTTGTCATGGTGACAGACTTTTGTCAAGAACGCTGGTGAGAGGGGTAACCTTGTCATGGTGACAGACTTTTGTCAAGAACGCTGGTGAGAGGGGTAACCTTGTCTTGGTGACAGTTTTTGGTCAAGAACGCAGGGGAGAGGGGTAACCTTGTCATGGTGACAGTTTTTGTCAAGAACGCAGGGGAGAGGGGTAACCTTGTCATGGTGACAGTTTTTGTCAAGAACGCAGGGGAGAGGGGTAACCTTGTCATGGTGACAGTTTTTGTCAAGAACGCAGGGGAGAGGGGTAACCTTGTCATGGTGACAGTTTTTGTCAAGAACGCAGGGGAGAGGGGTAACTTTGTCATGGTGACAGTTTTTGTCAAGAACGCAGGGGAGAGGGGTAACCTTGTCATGGTGACAGTTTTTGTCAAGAACGCAGGGGAGAGGGGTAACCTTGTCATGGTGACAGTTTTTGGTCAAGAACGCAGGGGAGAGGGGTAACCTTGTCTTGGTGACAGTTTTTGGTCAAGAACGCAGGGGAGAGGGGTAACCTTGTCATGGTGACAGAGTTTAGGCTCAAGAACGCGAGGGAGAGGGGTAATTTTATCATAGTGACTTAGGTTTTAGTTACGAATGCGTGGGAGTGGGGTATCCTTGCCATGATGCATGGTAACAGTTGTAAAACTAATTCAATGTCCAGGTCACATGAGCTACCTTCAACAATCGCCAATGACGACCGACAGACGAGAATTCGAGGCGTGCCTCCGTCTCCAGATAGAAGAGATGGAGAGGAAACTCAACATTATGGTGAGTTCATACTCATTTTCTATTTAGTAGAGGTATACTGTATGTAAATAGATAGATATATACTGTTTTAAACTTGACGCGGTCATTATATATTCAGTTTACCCGTGATCATGGTGGTTGAAACACTACCGAAAATACCGGAACTCAGCAAATAAATATAAAACGTGGTAAGATCCCGTGATTTTTACTAATTATACGTATAAATAGATAGATAATTGATTTATTGCCAACATAACACAAATAATTTACAATGAGACACACAATGAGAAATAAATAATAACATAGAAAGTTGTCAATAGGAGCTGCCTCAGCTGTTGCTGATATAAGCACAACCTTAGTGAGGTGCACCTATACAACGCTGGTTATCAGGCAGCCCCCATTACTCATTAAAAAAAAACTAAGATACGGGTTTTTTACTATATACAGATGCATATAAATTTATTATATTTAAATTAACAAAAAAATATATTAAATAAGATCTTGGAAACACAAATATAAATAGATATAAAATGAATTGCAATATTCAATGCTCAGAAAAATCAAAATCAGTTACAATAACAGTATCAAAAGGAAAAAAAAATTAAAAGAAAAACCAATCCGTGTCACCGCATGTAGCTCAATCTCACCCATTTCAGCCAAGCAGTTTGCGTTGTAGGATGCAGGTTAGGCAGTGAAACTACAGGATAATAAGTATTTTGGACGGCCTCGATGGTCTGTCCTTTTAGCACACCGCTATATGTCCGATGGTCGCGGGTTCGATTCCTCGCACAAACATGATTATTTATGAGTATAATTAATAACAATAATAATAATAATCTCAGGACAATTCACACAGCGCCATCTAGACCCAAGTTAAGCTATTACTAGACAACTGATACATATATACATAGATATTTTTTTTAGTAAATACATACATATTATACATAGAAAACACCCAGACCGCTACAAACAATCAACTCATGAATAGAATTGTTTGTGCCGTGCGAGGAATCGAACCCGCGACCATCGGTCGTAAAGCGGTGCACTAGACCGCTAGACCACCGAGGTCGTCAAATTGTTAGTATCTTTTTAATTTACATAATTCCTTTTTAAATTATAGCCTATGTGTTATTCTGATGTATAAGCTATATATTAATATAAAGTTTTATCAAAATCTGTCCAGTAGTTTTTGCGTAGAAGAGTAACATCCATACTCATAAACTTTTGCGTTTATAATATTATTAGGAATGTCATAAATATTATTATTATTGTTGTCTGTTTATAGATCGCGCAAATCAACCACGCACAACTGGAATTGGTGGACCACTTGAAGGAAAACATCGGTATACTCGGAGAGTTGCAGAGTCAAGTGTTGGACGGAGAACTTATTAAGTGAGTGGAATATCTCTATTCATATAGGTCTATTGCTAACTCTGATGATATGTCAAATCTACCCTTAAATAAGTTTAAAAAATCTGATAAATTTATATTTATTGCGCAAAGACTATTACTCACTAAACAATTACTTGAATGACGAGCATGCATGGCAATAGTAATTCATGCACGGGATTTTAATTTTATACATAGACACAATACATACATTAGTACACAATGCTGCTACACCGACCACGACAAAGTACCTGTCCCGTCTACATTACGCCACTAAGGAGCAGGACATTGTCGATTATATTCGTACCAAGAGTAACCTGACATTGAGGGTAACGCAGCTGAAGTCGAGTCACAACGCGAGTTTCAAAGCGTTTGTGGCCCTGGTCCTCACCGACTTGCTGCCCACCTTCATGAAAGAGGACTACTGGCCGAAAGGTGTGGTATATCGGCGCTACCGTGGCAGATTGCCGTCTTCAGTGCCGTGATCACACAGACAATATCATTGTATTAGTTTTTAAATATTATATTATATGTATGTTAGTCTATAAGGTATTTATAATATGGGCCTAGTTGCCTGAAATAAATGAATAAATAAAAAAAATTAAATAAACTGGCTTTTAAAACAAAATCTTGTTGAGTTTCTTGCCAGTTCTTCTCAATTGAATTTGTAAACCGAACTGATTCATTACAGTAATAAAAGCTTACGTAATAATAACAAACTGGTTTTTACCTAAATGCGTTTAACTAAAGTTAGTAATTCGTTTTATGGTTTACAACAAACTACCAGAGTCTGTTCTAAATCTACCTGAAAAAAGATTTAAAAATCCTATTAAAAATTTTGTAAATAAGCTTATTATAAAATTGAAGAGATTGTAAACAATAATAATGTTTTTGTAGAATAATTTTAAATCCATAGCGCTGACTGTACCATCTGATTGCACTAGAAATGAGTGTGTAGTGGGTTTTATGTTGATTATCGCATGCCTCTTACTTGTTATTGTGTCATTATTTATTTAAACTAACATTTATTCAAAAGAGCAACACACAAGTTTCTTGCTATTTCTTCTTAAGATGAGTCTGCGTTCCGAATGAGTGGTAGAATAAAAAAAGATGACTATAGTAGTACTTGTAATGAGTTTATTTGACTAAAGATTATTTCTATACAAAATAATTGACGTTCTTAAGCAAATAAAATGCCCTACATTTATAAATGATAAATGAGATTTTTTGAATTGATTTGATAAGCCGCTGATATTTCTTACAGATGGAAACGAGAGCAGCAACTCAGCGGCAACGGGGTGCAGATGCAGACGAATTTAAATGTGATACAAGAGTGGTGCGAACTGCTCGCAGACCTGATATGGACCAGTCGGCAGCAGGTCAACAACGTCTCCAGAATCAGCAGCAAGGCGTTGGCGGACGCTCGTCAGCCGGAGCTGATCAATATGCTGGATGATATGAGCAAGCAGGTGGGTCTTTTTAAGTCGGTAGTGATCACTAGTAATCTTGCATATAAAATTCTCGTGTCACAATGTTAATTACCATACTCCTCCGAAACGGCTGGATCGATTTTTATGAAACTTATATATATATATTCAGTAGGCGGTTACTCAATTTTCTCAAATTTGAATTAAAAATTGAATCTATATTATTGTAAACATATACAACATTCATTTGAATGGAATGCGAGCTGAGTTTCTTGTCAGTTCTCATCTCGACATCATTCCGAACTGACGGTAGATTTGACATATCATAAGAGTCTGTAATAGACCTACACGAATAAAGATATTTTGAATTTTAGGTCTGAGAATTGGCTACTATCTATTTTTCATAATCCTAAGTGATAAGGGTGGCCCACCCCTAAATATCTTTTTTATTATCTGGACAATTAATTTTTTTATAATGTGGCATTAATACATACAACCCTAATATATTCACTCTTCTACCACCCTTATTTTTTAATAGCGATTTTAATTTACATGGCAAAACAATATTTTGGGGTCAGCTAGTAATATATATACTTATTACGGTCTTTTATGTTTATCTGTCTATTCCACCAGGTTACCAGTCTGCTGTCCACGCTGGTCACATCCACGTTCGTCATAGAGAAACAACCGCCGCAGGTGATGAAGACGATGACGCGGTAATTCTTCTACATTTTTATTTTTTTTTCTTACAAAGTAAAAAAAAAAATACACTGTTCTAGCTTCAAAAATGACGAATTGTCATACAAACTTTCATCCCCTATTTTATTTCCCACCTTAAGGGTAACGTTTTTACAATATTAGAACGACATATTTATTTATATTTAATCAATAGCCTAAATATTACGTTTCAAGTGCCTAGCTTTAAAAATGACGATACTTCCATACAACCTTTCATCTCCCATTCCTTACAACCCTTTTTTCGTATTAAAAGTAGCCTATGTCCTTTCTGAGAGTGTATACTATCAGTGTACCAAATTTTATTTAAATCAGGTCAGTACATCTTTCATCTCTCTTTTTCAACCTCTTATAAAACGTTTTTAGCAGTAAAAAGTAGCCTATATCCTTTTTCAGGGTCTAGAGTATCTGTGTACCAAATTTTATTTATATCGCTTCAGTAGTTTTAGCGTAAAAAAGAGACAGACACGACAGAGTTACATCCGCATTTATAATATTTATAAGGATATTGATATCGTTGTTTGTTTGTATGTTTCCAGTTTCACAGCTACTGTTCGTCTTCTCGTCGGTGGTCAGTTGAACGTCTACATGACCCCACCCCGAGTTAGCGTAAGTTTATTTTAATTAATTAAAAAAATAATATAATGTTGGTAAAGGGTCATCAATAAGGTATGTCACAGGTTGAGGGAGGGATGTTGACGAAGTGTGACATTGACTAGGGATTATAGGGGTTCTAAACTTCGTAATGTCACACTAAATCTAATGATAGTTTTTAGTATTATTTGTAGTATTTTTTGTACATAATCTATACATATAAAAAAAAGTGTCTGTAATATTGAAATAACCGTTTTTTACTACATGCATATGAATATAAATACAGTACATACACCGAAATGTCATATTTTACTATTTTTGTCTGTTTGTTCTGGTTAATCTCTGAAATGGCTGGACCTATTTAGAGGCGACTTTTTTGGCAGGTAGCTGACGTAATAAGGAGTAACTTAGGCTACTTTTATTTTAGAAAGAGATAGTTAAAATCCACGCGGACTAAGACGCGGGTACAGCTAGTTGTGTATATAATTGTAGTAGAGTAATAAACAGTTTTATCTCTACCATTTAGTTGTTAATTATATTATATTAAATGTTTAATTATATTTCGCTCTTTTTCCTGTAAATGTTATTTGTATGACATACTCATATTATGACGAGTTTATTTTGCTAGTATTTAGATACCATAGTTGAGGAAACTACAGTCAACTATCGTCATTGACTAATAAAACATTGTTGTTATTATTAAACTCCTATTATCCAGGTCGTAATAATCTCCGAGCAACAAGCTCAGCAACTCCTGAAGAGTGATTCTCAAGCTGGTAAAAACAAACAACCAGTCGAGTGCGGTGATATATTGAACAACACCGGTGTCATGGAGTACCAGGCCACGAGCAGGCAGCTCAGCGTGAGCTTCAGGTGAGTTGTGACGAGTGTGGCGAGGTGTGACGTGTGTGACGAGTTGTGACATGTGTGACGAGTTGTGACATGTGTGACCAGTTGTGACGAGTGTGGCGAGTCAACCAGTCGAGTGCGGTGATATATTGAACAACACCGGTGTCATGGAGTACCAGGCCACGAGCAGGCAGCTCAGCGTGAGCTTCAGGTGAGTTGTGTGGAGTGTGGCGAGGTGTGACATGTGGGACGAGTTGTGACACATGTGACGAGTTGTGACATGTGTGACCAGTTGTGACGAGTGTGGCGAGTTGTGACTTGTGTGACATGTTGTGACGAGTGTGGCGAGGTGTGACATGTGTGACGAGTTAGATAGATATCACTCCGTAGATCACTCCGTATTGTAGTACGCGGGAATGCATTCACGACTTGCGCGCGCGGTCTCTCGTTCTCTTTGTCTACATTTATATGCACATTATAATCTCAGGACACAGCGCCATCTAAATCCAAGTTAAGCTAGTTAAAGCTTGTATTATGGGTACTAGATAACTGATACATATACATAGATATTTTTGTTTTTTAAATACATACATATTATACATAGAAAACACCCAGACCGATACAATCAATCATACTCATGAATACATATGTTTGTGCCGTGCGAGGAATCGAACCTGCGACCATCGGCCGTAAAGCGGTGTGCTAGACCGCTAGACCACCGAGGTTTTGTTTGTTGCGTGAAAGACGGGTCACGAGTGAAAGTGTGTAAGTGTAACGCAGTTATTGCGTTGATTGTAACGATTAAATAAACCTTTTGTTGTAAGTACCGTATATGTATATGTTCATATGTTTTTTTAGCAAACAATAAATAATGTCGGTCTTGGTGGTCTGGTGGTTTAGCACATCGCTTTACGACCGATGGTGGCGGTTCGATTCCTCGCACGGCACAAACATTTGTATTCATGAGTATGATTGTTTGTATCGGTATGGGTGATTTTATGTATTTATGAAAAACATATCTATGTATTTGTATCAGTTGTCTAGTATCCATAACGCAAGCTTCAGCTAGCTTGACTTGGGTCCAGATGGCGCTGAGTGAATTGTCCTGAGATTATTGTATAATTTTTTTTTCTAGAAATATGCAGCTCCGCTATGTGAATTGTCCTGAGATTATTGTATAATTTTTTTTTTCTAGAAATATGCAGCTCCGCTATGTGAATTGTCCTGAGATTATTGTATAATTTTTTTTCTAGAAATATGCAGCTCCGTAAGATTAAACGGGCCGAGAAGAAAGGCACGGAGAGTGTCATGGACGAAAAGTTGACATTGCTGTTCCAGTCGCAGTTCAATGTGGGCGGCGGCGAGCTAGTGTTCCAGGTCAGTGGCCGGTTTGATCGGACTGACAACTAACTGACATCATTTTTTTTATACTAAGATGGTGGCAAACAAGCATACGGCCTATCTGATAAATGGTTTTTTTAAAGGATGATAATGGAATGGTGCACCCGTCTGCGCTAACGGTTTACGCTGGCGGGGCACCAGTGGAGGATGGTAAGATGAGCATGAGGTCAGGTCAGTTAGCTCAACGTGACATATTCGCCGGGAATGTATCACAATGGTTTCCAGGGGGAACCGCGTGGAGGTCAACCCGACATGGTACATTGCAAGCAATAGGATCCTCAGTCCATATCACTAACAATCCCCTTTCTTCCCCCCAAGCTTCATGGTTGGAGAACTAGTTGCCGAACGAGACTACGACTAGAAGGGTATTTAGGTTTCTTATTGGGTCCGAAGGTATCACGATGGTTTCCAGGGGGAACCGCGTGGAAGTCGATCTGACATGGTACATTGTCCAATGGGATCATTAGTACATGTTACTAACAATCCACTTCACCTCTCTGATAAATGGTTACTGTAGTCTGAGACACCAGGGGTGTGACGCGTTGCCGACCCTTAAGAAATCTTAATCTAAATATATATATAACTCAAAGGTGACTGACAGTGATCTATCAACGCACAGCCCAAACCACTGGACGGATCGGACTGGAATTTATCATGCAGGTAGATGTTATGACGTAGGCATCCGCTAAGAAAGGATTTTGATTAATTCTACCCCCAAGGGGATAAAGTAGGGGATGAAAGTTTGTATGAAACTTTGTCTATTTTATACCGATTGGGCTGAAACTTTGCAAGCATAAAGGTACTATGACGTAGGCATCCCCTAAGAAAGAATTTTGATAAATTCCACCCGTAAGGGGATAAATTAACGCGAGCGAAGCCTCGAGCAAAAGCTAGTATGGGTATATTAAGGTTTCTTAAGGTTCTTGAAAAAGCATGGGAATGCTGTGGTCTCGTGAGAAAAACTTGGACTTAAGACTAACAGATAATATGAAGAATTTATAAATGATAATAATGTTTTTGTAGAAAATATCTAACTTAAAATTCATAGCGCTGACAATGTTGTCTGATTGAACAGATATTAAGTGCGTAGCGGTTTCTATGTTGATAGTCGCATGCCTAATCCTTGTTGTTAATTAAATATAAGTAAATTCAATATTTATTTAAAAGAGCAACACACAAGTTTCTTGCTTATTCTTCTTGTGATGAATCTGCATTCCGAATAAGAGGTAGAATAAAAAAACTTGACTATTCAAAAGTGCTTATATTAAGTTTATTTGAATAAAGAATTAGCTGGAAGGATAAAGTAAGAAACGAAGAAGTACTACACAGGGTAAAAGAAAAAAGGCAGATATTGAACAAAATAGAAAATAGACGAGGAAAAATGTTAGGACACTTGATACGACACGATGATTTCATGAAAATTATTATTGAGGTGAAAATAGAAGGAAAGAGGGGGAGGGGAAGACCAAGGAATAGCTACATCAAACAAATTGAGGACAAAATGGGAGTCGTGTCGTATCAAGAATTAAAGAGCATGATGGAAGATCGCGGAAAGTGGCAAGAGCTCCACCGACAAGAGCGTAGCTCTTAAATTATGAATGAAATGAATGAATGGATAAAGATTATTTCTATTTGTATGAGGTGTCGGTGTGGGTGTGTGCAGGTGTGGACGCTGTCGCTGCCGGTGGTGGTGATCGTGCACGGCAACCAGGAGCCGCACGGGTGGGCCACCATCACCTGGGACAACGCCTTCAGTCCCTCCGGACGGGTGCCCTTCGCTGTGCCCGACAAGGTACTTCACACGCTTTTAATTGCAAATGGCTCGATGGTCGCGGCTTCGATTCCTCGCTTTATTTTATTATTTCATTGAATTAGTGCTAATCGGTGGTTTGTATTCACACACTTAAACTTAAATTGTAAGTAAGAATAAATTATTTAAAAGAGCAACACACAAGTTTCTTGCTTGTTCTTCTTGTGATGAGACAGCATTCCGAATGAGCGGTAGATTAAAAAAAAAAAATGTTATGACTATTCAAAAGTGCTTCAATGTAAGTTTATTTGAATAAATAATTTTCTATTCTATTCTATTCTATTCGTACGGTGCAAACATTTGTATTCATATGTATGATTGTGTCGTTCTGGATGTTTCTATGAATATTAAGTATCTACTCACCTGTGCAACTTCGTCTGCAACACACTTGACATTTTTTTTTATTAATAATGGGTTTGCGCTTGGTCATACCTCATCTGATGGTAAATGATGGTAAGATAGGATGTAGCGCGCTTACCCAGAAGATATCTATTCACCATAGACTTGAAGAATCCGGGGTTGTATTTCTCCGGGAACACAAAAGCTGGAAGTGTGTTCCACTCTTTGGCAGTGCATATTAGGATGCGAACCGCTCAGTGCGAATGGGCGGAATTTCCACGACATTTATCATTATAGCCTATATATCGACAGCCTCGGTGGTCTAGTGGTTTAGCACACCGCTTTACTATCCGATGGTAGTGGGTTCGATTCCTCGCACGGTACAAACATTTGTATTTATGAGTATGATTGTTTATATCGGTCTGGGTGTTTTCTATGTATAATATGTATTTATTTAAAAAAAAATGTATCCATGTATTTATATCAGTTGTCTAGTACCCATAACACAAGCTCTGCTTACCGTGGGACTAGATGGCGCTGTGTTAATTGTTCAGGGTTATTTATTTATTTATATTTATTATGCGCAGGTCACCTGGGGTCAGTTGGCCGAGACACTTCGCATAAAGTTCTACTCGGCGACGTCAGGTGGCGATCTCTCTGAAGATAACTTAAGATTCCTGGCTGAAAAGATATTTAATAACAAGTAAGTATTACTATACAAAAAAGAAAACGAGGGCGACAGAAAAAGAGGTGGGAGGATGATATAAGGGCAGTGGCGGGACCAACATGGAGAAGGAAGGCATAGGACAGAGGAGCCTGGAGTCTTTTGGAGAAGGCCTATGTCTTGGGATAAGCTGATGATTGTCAGCACAAAGGCTATAAATAAAAAAGTATTACTATCCATACTCTTTACTATTTTACTCGTCAGGCTTTTACCTATCTTCTCTTTACTGAAGAAGACTTTGTGAGAAATCGTCAGCCTTTTACCTATCTTCTCTTTACTGAGGTGGACTTTGTGAGAATTCATCTGCGTTCTGGATATTTGACCTATCTTGTTAATTAAATGAATCATACTTTTATCATTAGTCCTTCGAGCCGGATTACCAGCGACCTATCAATTATACTATTATTAGTTTTGACATCGCGATTTCATCAAAAAACTCATCAACAGAATGAACCTGCCTCTAAACACACACGAACTGAACGCACTGCCGGTGAGCTGGACGCAGTTCTGCAAGGATGCATTATCGGACCGCAACTTCACATTTTGGGAGTGGTTCTACATGGTGGTGAAGGTGACCAGGGAGTACCTGAGGACATTGTGGTGTGATCGGTGAGTTGTATCTTCGTTTGTCCCACAAAATATTCAGGATTAGATTTCATATTTATTTGCCATGTAAATAAGGTAAAGCTACACATTTAGCTGTTACAAAATTATAAGTCAATAAACAGTAAGATTAGGATAAATTTAAACTTGACATGTTTTTAAGTATATTAATATCAAATATAACGTCTTGCAATATAAATGGCATAATATAACATCTGACAATTCTTTTGTGGTTTCACACGATACAGGCTCGCCTAGTTCAGGGTCCAATGTATAATCAACTTGTTAATATTTGTAAGTTTCAAAATAAATAAATAAATGTTATAGATATACTTGACCAAAAACAATGGCTATTGTCTTTGGTCAAGTTTATCTGTAACATTTTTTTGTGGCTACAGATACTACTATATTAGCCATGGAATTTGTGAAAAAGTGTAATTGTTATTTGCAGCTTGATAATGGGTTTCATACAGAAGAAACAAGCAGAGGATATGCTCTCCAAGTGTCCACCGGGCACGTTCCTGCTGCGGTTCTCTGATTCAGAACTGGGCGGCATCACCATCGCCTGGGTCGGAGGTAATGGTCCATGCAGAGCCGGATTAATATAGTACGGATGACAAATGTTACGGATATCGCGTATTATTAACATAAACACAAGAAAAAAACAATCACAATGAATATTAAGGATTTTTTTTAACTTGTCAAAGTTTTAGTTTTTTTTAAACGGAAACTTAGAAGCCGATACCTACCCATGTGACTTGAAAAAAATTCTATCCATATAACGTGTGATGTTATCCATAGATAGAACATATATATAAAGATAAAGCCTTCCTTTCGAACACCATACCTCCCCTAAGAATATCATCCCTCTCCTTAGGAGACCATCCTGCACCTTATGAGTGGTCTCATTTCCCTCCCTTTAGGAGATACCAACTTCTCCTGCAATAGTCTGAAGTGCAGGACAGTCGATAAATGGCGCCGAAAGTGTTAAAATGTGACGTAACCTGTGTGTGTTTGTCTGTCAGACAACAACGGCGAAGTGTTCAGTCTGCAGCCGTTCACGGCGCGAGACCTCGGGCTGCGCTCGTTGGCCGACCGAGTGCTGGACCTGCCGCAGCTGCAGTTCCTGTACCCCAACATCGCCAAGGACGACGTCTTCTCCAAGTACTACACCAAGCCCGGTCAGTATAGTACACGGCCCTAGTACTATATTACGATATATGTGCTGACCTGCCGCAGCTGCAGTTCCTGTGCTACATTCTACCCCGTAATAATAACTCTGGACAATTCACACACATTAATACAGCGCCATCTAGTCCCAAGCTAAGCACAGTTTGTGTTATGGGTACTAAACAACTGATATAAATACTTAAATACATTTTTTAATACACGATTTTCTTAATTTTTACGTGCTTCATTTGTAATGTGCTGTTTTTTTTTTATTAATGAAAACTTGTACATTATTCATAAATTACAAAAAAAAACATTACAATATTTAGACCTCTCCTACAGCGAGCTAAACGACAACTGCTATAGCGCTCCTGGCTGACTAACTGGACATCCGTACCCCTTAGGGGTGAAGATTGGGGCCTCGGGGCCCCTTTACCCCGGCATCAACTCCGTTGCCCTCGGAGAACTTGATTAAGAGCCTCTTAGGCGGGTAATTTGCTAACTTAAGCTGTGCTTCTCGTTCTCTTTGTCATGCACACTCTTTCCTGCATGAAAGAGGGCACATGCCAAGGCAATTAATAGTGTGAATAACGTTCTATAATGTTTGGTCTCCGCAGAGGACCAAGTGCTGAAGAACGGGTACGTGAAGCCGGTGCTGGTGACTCAGCTGCCGTCCTACATGTCTCCAGCGTACGCTCACTCACCGGACTCCCATCGTAACACGCCCAGCGTGCAGAGCAGGTACTATCATCCTACTCTATGTTCTTTTTTTTTCTTAATACAGAGTTTCCCCTTCAATTAATTCCCAGTCCTCTAAATTTTGACACTTACCAAACTATTCTATATCCATAACGCTAGACAATGGCGGACTACAATGGGGAAAGCATCTCTATAGATGGTACGAACCTGAAAATACACAAAATGACATATAAATACACAGTACAAGATATTTTTTATCATACAAAAATAAACATGTATCCCATCCGATCGATCCCCCGTCCAATTCAAACGGGGATCGAAATTACGACGCCTGAGCCGAGGTTCGAATCCTTATCGTGCTCTCAGACTGGCATCGTATCCGTCAGGTGGCAGTTGTCCTGCAACCGCTCTATAGTCCTTCCTTTGGTTTGGAGTGCCATCTGCACTCGCCCCCTATCGTCCGGTGAAGCTGTAAAGACCAGCTGCGGTCAAAGCATTAGAGTAGTCTAAATCTAATCGAAAAAATCTAACTACCTCATCCAGGATATCAGTCGTAGGCTAGTGATTTATATTTATGTTTATTATCATTTTATTTTTGTATGATGCGTAGGAACGATGATAATATTTTAAGAAAGGTGACATATGAATGTGGATGGTTATAAGGGCAGAGGAAGGCCGAAAAAGAGATGGATGGACTGTGTGAAAGATATGGTAAGAAAGGGAGTGAATAACGCGATGACTGCGAACAGAGATGAATGGAAGAGAAAATCTTATTACGACGACCACAAATAAATGGGATAAGGAAGAAGCAGATGATGATGATATCATTTTATTTTTGTTTATAATTTTTTTATTTGCTATTTTCTTTTTCTCCTAGGTACATGATCGATTTTTAGTTATAAGCGGTGACGTCGACATCGTTTTTTTTTTAATTTAATATAGTTATTTTTTATAATTTAGTTTTAATTTTTTAACGGTCACATCCTTTAATGATTTTTGTTTAATTTTATAACTTAGTGCCTTATACTTAGTGCTTCCTTTCGCTTGTCTTTCCTATTTTTTATTATTATTATTATATAATTTTTCTAGCAATATAAATTATTAAGGTATTGTAAATTTAAGAATAGAAATAGAATTTTGTGAACTGGACATGTCTGAATCATGATCTTTGGTTTAGTCTATGGTCGTTAGGTCTATTTTGTCTCTGCTAATTTGATGACTGAAAGAGATGGCAATATGCGGTGACTATGCGTTTTGCGCGTGAATTAAATAATAAATAAAATGTTTTTAAATACTTAATACTAAATATGTTTAATAATAATAATTAATGACTGGATTCTTTAACAAAAATCTTTTTAAAATTATTTTTAATTAAAATATTTGCGTAAAAAAAATTAATATTTCTAAACTATGACAAGTATTGTTTATAAATAAAATTACTAATTAAGAAAATGCATTTTTAAAAGTAAGTCGATGAAAATGAAAAGTATAGCAGAAAAAAAGTATTAGTAAGTTAACGTAAGTAATGAAAATAAAAAAAATAAATATATTTTTGGTAATGTATTGTAAATCACGGGGAATGTACATCATATAATTTCAGTTCGGTTTAGATGAGGTTGAACATAATTGAGTATAACTAAATATATGAATTGAAAATATAAAAAATATAATACACATGTAATAATTATAATCAATCGAAAATCCACTCTAAAATTTCAACTTTAAAGTCGATATTTCAAATTTGCAATTCTTGTGTTATAAATGGTATAATAGGTTTAAAAAATACAACTTGCACTAGATCGATCCCCTGTCTAATTCAAATGGGATCGAAGTTACGACGGCCTGAGCCGAGGTTCGAACCCCTAGCGGTGCCCTCAGACTAACGTATCCGTCAGGCAGAAGTTGGCCGCTCCATAAGTTCCTCCTTCTTATGACGTGATGTGATTCAGAATATTCCTTATTTTGTTTGTAAGCTCTAAATAAACTTAAATTTAAGCACTGTTGAATAGTAACAGTTTTTTATAATCTACCGCTCATTCGGAAAGCTATCTCGTCACAAGGAGAGGGAGCAAGAAACTTGCATGTTTATTTGCTTGCTTTTAGTTACAGTTTATTAAAGATTTTTTGGAGGTTTATTTAGTTACAGTTTATTAAAGATTTTTTGGAGGTTTATTTCTAATTTCCATTCATTCATGGTTGTATGGATAAACCAGCGGGTAGAAACTAGTGTCGTACACCTGTCTCTGTTTTTCTAGTATGAAAAATGTGTAACATTATTTTTCTAGCTGCGGCCCGACCATACTGCAACTGTAAACTACGGGTTACTATTGAAACAAGTCAATTCGTAATTTTTAAGAGTATTTCCGCTGTAAATAATTAAAGTGCACGCTATACTATATTATGGAGGTTTATTTATTGTACTTATTAATCAATAGCTACGTATAATTTTATATTGTCGAGGTTTATTTTTTTTTTTTACTTTATTTCTTAATCAATTGCCGAGAGCCATTTTTAGTCCTATTACTCCAAGTAATATTATAAATTTGAAGTAAAATATTCATAAAAATCGGTAGTTTAGGACTCAATCGCGGACAAACACGATATTTTATTTATTAATAATATATGTATTCCGGTCTATATATACATTTACGATAATGCAGTAAATATAGCCCCATGTTAGCCGTTTAATTGACTTCTTCCTCGTATAAATCTTATATATAAAATTCTCGTGTCACAGTTTTCGTTCCCATACTCCTCCGAAACGGCTTGACCGATTCTCATGAAATTTTGTGAGCGTATTGAGTAGGTCTGAGAATCGGCCAACATCTATTTTTTATCCCCCTAAATGTTAGGAGTACCCCTACATTTTTTTTTTTAATTTAAGGCAAAACAACGTTTGCCTGGACAGCTAGTATATTTTGTCTTTTATAGTTTTTTTTATTGAATTCTTTTTGTAACAATCGTAATATCGTGCACTTTAGTTTATTGTACATGCTCATTTACATGTTGTGAAATATCAAAATAAGTTTAATGTTCAATGTCATTAAGGTTGGAATTGTTGTGTCTAATATAGAATAGGATACAATCCTAAAATGTGAGATCTAAATATATCTAAAAGTATCGATAATAAATATTTAAAAGTATAGTGAGATCAATTCTAAAATGTTATGTTTTGAAATTGAAGTTTTTAATTAACACAGCGCCGTCTAGTCTCAGGCTAAATAGAGGTTGTGTTATGGGTACTAAACTATTCATATAAATACATTTTTTTTGTAAATACATACATAATATCCTAATAAACTCATGAATAAGAATGTTTGTACCGTGCGAGGAATCGCACCCGCTACCATTGCAAGTAAGGTTGCGCTAAACCGTTAGACTATGGAGGCCGTAGAAGATAGGTGTGGAGTGAAATAATTTTAGCTCAAAAAGTTATTCTATTATATGTCTCAAAATTAAATATTCTTTTATGGCTCGTCACCCATTGTTTAACAAAGTCTTCCATAAATTTTGAGTCTGTAGATCTATATACCATACCTACTTTTCATAGAGTTCACAAAACTGTGACTGCATCTCTAAAAAAGTATTTTTAGATCTCTAAATTTATTTTATTGTTTAGTGATTTTTAGAGAAGAATTCTATAATATTTTAGTATTGATCCCACTGTATCTTTTTAAAAAGAGAAGAATTTAATATGATTGTTAGAAATTTAAACCCTTTTCAAAGATATTGTAATGGTTCTTAAACACGTTACTATTATAAGAATTTTTGATGTTAGTGTTAATATTGTATTTATTAATTATACTAGCTATTCACCTCGGGTCCGCACGGGTGTACAGTATATGACGGAGGTCGATAAATATGTACATATGTTATACATATAAACCTTTCGGAAGAAATTATCAAAATTATAATAAAAACCGTACCAATATCGAGATCATGTCTTATACAGACGATGACGACGATTTCGCTTTATACTACTCATTTATTATTAGACTAAATTAAAAATATACACATACATGCTATATACAAGGATTAAATACAAAACAAACGCTAAATTTATCGTAAAGGATGAAAATAAACCTTCCGCAAGATATTGTAATTAAAATAAACCGTATTAACATCGACTGCGCGGTTTAAAAGTACTAAAATGACAACGATCTTGCTTTATACTATTTATATATTAATTCGTAAACTAAATTAAAAATATACATACATATGGCCATACTATTTTGTATGGATGATAGTGGAATGGTGCACCCGCCTGCACGGGTATACGCTGGCGGAGCATCAGTGGAGGAAAGGATCAGTATAAAATCATGTCACATGGAATTAACTACAAAAAAAACCGCTAGATTAGCAGCAGGTAGATGGTAAACAGATGTTGATGAACGGTAAACTAGCATTTTATTTCTAAATTATCAGTATTATTGATAGAGTAGACTGTTCATTAGCATTTATTTTTGTATGACTTAATAAAGAATGTTTTATAACACTGAATGAAATGTATGTATGGATTATTATTTGAAGATTGTATAATATGAAATTGTCTCAAAGTTTTATTGCGTAAGATTTTCATTTGTTTCATGAACTGGAATCAAGTGGGGAATATTAAATAAACTCAAATACACATGACATATGTAAAATATGATGTCATTTGATAACTTAAAAGTATAAATACTTAATTTTGTAATATAATGGAATCATTATGTTATGAGTTAAGAATAATTGTACTTGAGAATAAATATAAAAACTTTTTTTGTCCTATCAACAATCCGGTCCATTATTTATTCCAAATAGTCGAAATATTTATTAAAATATAATAAATAATAAGTGATTGTCTTGGTAAATAAAAAAAAATTAATTGCCATGGCAAGTAATGATAAAAGAATTATATTCCGAAACGTTTTTGCCAGTTGTTTTACCAACGAAGTGAATCTTAAAACAAATATTTATGAGGTTTTTATATTGTAACTATTGAAAAAATATTTTGAGCGATAATAAATATATTGTAGTGGTTTAAAAAGCTGTTATAAAATATC